GTAATGAGAGGGTTTGTTTGGGAGGTTCTAAATTTTTGGGAGTAGGTTAGAGTTTTGTAGGAAAGTGGCTATGGCATGGAAGATATTGGGCGGATTGTGGGGGTTGAGAAGGAGGTGTATGTTATTGTGGTATTTCGTGGGAATGTTGTTGTGTAATTGGTTAATGTTTGTTTGTTGCAGCTGGCAATGTGTGAATATGTGGTTTATGTCTTCATGGGTGTTGCAATGTGTGCATAGTCCATCAGGGTGTCTGTTTTGTTTGTAGAGTGTGTAATTTAAGTTTGTGATGCCTGTGATTAGTCTGGTTATTGCTGTGTCTATGTTTTTGATATTTGAATATGTGGGGATTTTTTTTATTGGAGATTTAATAATGGAGGTGACCCAGGTTGATTTGTTTGTGTTGATATTGTGTTGGAAGCTTGTATTTGATATGTTAGTTTTAATCAGTTTTTTTATTTCTGATTTGGATGTGTGGAAATTGAGATTTGGTGATATATGGGATGTGGCGAGTTTGGCTGCGGTGTCTGCGGTGTCGTTTCCTGTGATGTTTGAGTGGCTGGGTATCCATGTGAATGTGATATTTTTGTTTGAGCGTGCGAGTGAGTCTGTTTGGATTACTATATTGTGTATGAGGTCTGGACGAGATTTAGAGTGCATGTTGTGAAGTTGTTTGATAGAATTGAGTGAATCAGTTAAGATGAGGAAGATTGTTTGGGGAAGGGTGGGTATTAGGTGAAGTGCAGTGAGGATTGCAGTGAGTTCAGCAGTGTTTATTGTGGTGTAGTTGGTATAGTGGAAATTAGTTGTGATGGGAGGGGTTTGTTGAACATGTATGCCTAGGCCTGTGGTTTTGTTTGTGTTGATTGATGCATCTGTATATATGTGAGTGTGGGTGGGGTAGTTTGTATTTATGTAGTTGTTTGTGATATTAGTTATGGTGGTTTGATGGGTGTCTTTAGGTAGTTGTTTGAGGATTGTGTCAAGGGACATGTCTGTGGTGGGTGGGGGTTTGTCGTGAATGTAGCTTGTAATGGGAGGTGTGTGTTGAATGGTGTTTAGCTGTTGTGCATGTAGCAGACTGTATAAGTGAGTAAGGCATGATGCTTTAAATGGGTTTGATTTGAACTTTTTTAAGTGTAGATTTCTTAATGTTTTTATATTTGTTTGTGATTAGTTTAAATATGGGATTGTGTTGGGCCCCAGCCCAGTAAGTGAGTGTGGTTTGGTTTATTCTTTGTGTGATTGAAGAGGTGCCTGTGAGTAGAAGTAATGTGTTAAGAGAGGTACCACTCCTCGCGCCGAGAGCTAATTTGAGGGCTTTAAATTGAATGGAATTAAGTTTTTGAAGATTATGGGAGGAGAGGTTGTGGAGAATCGGGGCGGCGTAGTCCAATCTCGATAATATGAGAGTTTTATATATGTTGATGAGGGTATGTTTGTCGGCACCCCAGTTTGTGCCGCTGATGGCTCGCATTAAGTTTAGATCTTTTTGACATGAATTGACCAAGTTATTAATGTGGGGTGTCCATGTCAGATGGCGGTCGAAAGTTACTCCTAGAAATTTGGCTTCTTTTTTTAATTCAAATTCTTGGTTATTTAGGTGAAGTTTGGGGGTATAATTTTGCATATACTGTGTTTTGAATAATATGCCCACGGTTTTTTTAACGTTGATGTGAAACCCCCAATTTTGGGCCCAGTTTTGAATGGAATTTAGCATTTTTTGAATTTTGAGTGATGCCTGTTTAACTGAGGTGGAGGAGGTCCAAAATGAAATATCGTCTGCAAATTTGGCAGTTGTGATTTCTGGCCATTTATCTGGAAAAATGTCATTATCATGAAGTTGAATAAAGTTGGGGATAATATGCTCCCCTGGGGGGTTCCATTTTCTAGGGGGTATGGGTCCGAGATGGTGTTGTGAGATTTGATTGTTATTTGTCTGTCGTTTAGGAAAGAGTGAATGAAATTTATAATTCGACCGTGAATGGCATGTTTTTGAAGTTTTTGTAGTAGGTCGTTGTGCCAAACCATGTCGAATGCCTTACTGAAATCAATAAAAATGGCCATAGTATATTGTTTCTGAGCTTGTGCTACTTTGATATCTTGTTCTAAATGTAAAATGTGGTCTAAAGTTTGTCGATTTGGAGTAAAGCCGCTCTGGTCCTCCTTAAGTAAGTTGTTGGTTAAAATAAGGTGTTTGAGCCTGTTGTTTACAATTGTTTCTAGGGTTTTACAGAGGTGGGAGGTAAGAGAGATGGGACGGTATGAGTCAGGCTCGCTGTTGGGTTTCCCTGGTTTGAGGATTGGTACCACTCTGGCTGTTTTCCAAGTGTTGGGGATAGTTCCTGTGGTCCAGATATGGTTAAAGAGGGTAAGTGTGAGGTTATGCATGTTGGGGGGTAGTTTATTTAGTATTGTGTATGTAATGGTATCTGGACCTGGGGCTGAGGCTGATTGTTTGTTTTTTAGGGCGGATTTGAGTTCATGTATGTTGATAATTTTATTTATGGGTTGGTCTGTGTGAGGAGGTTGTGGGGTGTAGGGGTGGTAGTTTTTAATAGTGTTTTGGAAGGTGGGTGGGTAGTTGGTGGAGCTGCTTGTAGCCGAGTAGTGGGCAGCAAATGCATTTGCTTTATCTTTGTTTGTGGTTAGGTCTGGAAAGTTGGGTGAAATGGGTTTTTTAGAAATGCCCTTTATGGCTTTAAATTTATTCCACATAGTCCTGGGATTTCGATGAGATTGCCTGAGGGTAGAACAGAATTTCCTCCAATGGGTGATTTTTGCTGCCTTGATAATTTGTTTAGTTTTGTTACGTAGTTGTGTAGCTAAATGTAATTTAGAACGGTCCCTTTTTGATTGATTAAGGGCCTTTTTTCTAGCCTTTCTGGCATTTATAATTTCATGGCTCCACCACGGGACTGTTTTTTGTGCAGGGTTAAACCGAAAAGTGGGAATGCATTTATCTGTGATATTTAGGATAGTGTTTGTAAGATTACTGTTAAATGTGTTTATATCGGGGCTGTAGATGGATGAGGTGTTTACTTGGTTGCATAGTATTGTGATTTTTTCCAATCTGCTTTATTAATGTTGTATCTGGTTTCTGTGGGTGTGGGTGGAGGAGTGGTGGTTGGTGAGGTGGGGATGTGTGAAGTTATAGTGATTTTAATGGGGCAGTGGTCGCTGCCCCAGGTGTCGTTGTGTACCTCCCATATGCAAGCTTGTGTTAGTTTGGGTGTGGTGAAGGTGATGTCTATGGCTGTGGGTGAGTGGAGGTGGGAAAGAGGGTAACGGGTGGGTTGGTTGTCATTAAGTGAAGTGAGATTGTGTTGGCCTAGCCAGTCGGCGAGGCGGGTTCCGTTAATATCTGTGTAGGGTCTTGTGCCCCACAGTGGGTGATGTGCATTGAAGTCTCCGAGTAAAATGGTATTGGGGCTATGAATGTACAGAGTATTGCCAAATCTTGGGGAGTGATTTTGATATTAGGACTTCTGTAGACATTAATAATGGTGATTTCTTTGTTCATCATTCATTATGTTTTTCTGCGCTTGGAGCTGGTCACGTTGAACGCCCCGCACCGATCGCCGTCTCAATCCATAACCACAAAGCTGGCTTCGTCCCCTCTAACCTCCTCCTCTCTACCGACCACAGCCGACTGACTACAAATCAACACATCCTACCGGTCGCTGCACCGTGGCCCCCCAGGGCCAGGAAACACGCAAGTGTTACCTGTGAAACCTTGACTATCATTGACTCATAAATCATCCGAACTGTAGCTCGCTACCATATCAAACCTTTTTCTTTCATCTCATTTGTATATATGCTTTCTCCTGTAAATTTGTTTGTATTTTCATTTTGTATATTGTGTACTCTACCCCAGCCCACACTCCCCCCCCCCATTCCCCCCCCCCCCACCCCCACCCCCCCCACTACACTATGGCCTCCCCACCCCTCCCGGCCTCACTATTCTCCACTCCAACAAAAGAGTTCCCACCCCTTACCTCCCCAATTCAAATGGACCCCATCCCCATAAACTTCGGAATCGACATTGATTCCCTTCTCCCATCCCTACAAACATCAAAACCACCACCCCCAGCGTAACAACCCCCAAGCAACACAACTAAATCCACTAAACGCCCGCACATCTCTCCCTCTGAAAGCTCACAATCAAACAAAAAATAATGCGACAAAGCCACCCCAAGCCCAAGACAATAAGCTCATACTACTAGCCTTTGCCACCAACACACACACTCCGCTCAATCACACATACTCTATCAACAAATTCGCCCTTTGCCTCAAACAGCACAACATACAATACAGATACATAAACAATTGTGGCCGAGGCTTTAAAATCACATTCACTGACAAACAAGCACTAAACAACACACTTAAACACACACTGATTGACGGCAAGCAAATAAACTGGCAATACCCACGCTGGCAAACATCTATACAGGGAGTCATCTACATAGACACAAGGGAAAAAACGGGCGTGTTCTAAACAGGTGCCCCTTCTTCAACAAAAAACGTAAGCATCTGTAGATCAAATGTCGGCATCCTCTCGTTCGATTCCCCACATGGGTACAATGTGTGAAGCCCACTCACAAGTGAAAAATAGGATGTTCCTAACCGTCGACAAAACAAAAAACCCGGAGTGTCGACATCACGTGGTCAACATACCGTGACGGTGTTAATTAATGAAAGGGAATGTTTGCTTAGTGGTTTGCAAATGGCTATGGTGGCTACAGCTATGCTCGTATCATGAGTTAATGAATTAAGTTGATTAAAGAGAATGTCTTTTTAACAATTTGCAAGAGAATTAAGGTTGCAAAAAACAGACTATTATTTTACGTTATGCGAGTGGAAGGATTACCATTTTGGAGTTTAACATGCAACAACAACCGGAAAGAAACAGAGAGCTTACAAATTATTTTGTGATATTGGGAGTAGAAGGATTATCGAAATGCTGTTGTAAACATTTAGCATTTGGGTATATATAATAGATCATGAATATTTTGTTACCACTGTCAAAATGGCAAATGCTATGGTGCGGGTTACATTGATTGACAACATTCATAGAGGTCAGAATCTTTACCACAATGGATTCAAGTACAGAGTCAACAGACGCAGAGCTCAGAAAACATACTGGAGATGTACAGATGCAACCTGTCCATCATATCTGGTTACAGAAAACAACCTGCTGAATATGGTCGGTCAAGGTCACAACCATCCTGCTATTCCGTATCTTACTGAAGTCGATGCGTTCAAGTCAAAGCTCCATCATCGTGCAAAGACTGACAAAGCTACGCCTATCCCCCAGATCTACCATGAAGAAGTCAGCAACTTGAGAAAGAATCCAGCAGCTGCTCCGGACGCCCTTCTCCAACACATTCCTGTCTTTGACTCCATGAGAACCAGCATATATCGACAAAGACATAAGACCGTTCCTAAGCTCCCACAGACCCTTGCAGACATCAATCTAGAGAATGAGTGGACAACGACTGAAGCAGGAGATGACTTTCTTCACCGACGAGATGATGGCAACATTTTGCTCTTCTTCACCAGCAAGAATATGGAGCTTCTCTCTGCAGCAGATGTGATCTTAGCAGAAGGTACATTCTCGTCTTCACCGCGACTGTTTGACCAAATCTACTCGATCCATGCTGAATACCAAGGACACATGCTACCCCTGATCTATGGACTCTTGCCTAACAGAACAGAAGCGACCTACACAAGAGTGTTTGACTATCTGAAACAGACTGAAGCGACTCAGGGACTTCAGCTTTCTCCTGATGTGTTTCAGTTGGACTTTGAAGGTGCAGCTCACAACGCCTCCAGTATTGTATTTCCAAATACTCAGCTTCGTGGCTGCTTCTTTCATTACACCCAGTTCATCTGGCGTCACACACAGAAAGTAGGCTGATGGACTACGTTACTATCACCTGGGTAGAAGGTCCATGGACACTGCCAACTTGGAATCATTTTGAAAATGATGGACACAAAACTAACAATGATTTGGAAGGTTGGCACAACAAAAGCAACAAGTATGCTATAAAGACACATCCGAATGTATTTGAGGTTGTGCGAATGCTACAAAAAGAACAGTCATTTGCTGAAGTAAAAATTCAGCAGATCCAAGGACAGCAGAGAGATCCCGTCCGTAGACGTCGCTACCGAATCATCGACGCTAGGACAGACTTACTGACTCGAATTACACAGACCATGTGTCAGAGTTCCTTCATCTTGGCTGAACATTCAGATTACTTTAGTGCACATATAAAGGAGTTTTGGCAAGAAGAAATACCTGGACTCATCTTTTATATATTTATTACTTATAATACACCTGCAGAAATCACTTATTTATATGAAACACGCACAAATATATTGTGTGAGCTTTATGAAATATATATACAAATATGTTATATTGTGTGACATATGATACATGCATGTTGTTATATTGAATGAATAAATATATTGTCTACTATATATATCACACTCTGTTTTAATTGGTTTCAAGAACACTGGGAGTGAAGTCACTCATGTAGAACATCACCTCCCTTTTCCCGGACTGTCGACAAGTAATTTGGACGGATTATTTCTTGTTGTCGACAGTCCGGGCATAAACCACTCCAAGAACTAGTTGAAGGGCTACGACAAAGCACATATGTGAAAAGCTATGTTTAAAACAATCCATTCATTCATTTTAATCAGACACCATAGAATAAACCTATTTTACGGTCTCCACCTTAATGCACAATGGAAATGGTTGAACACTGTTAACAGATGACTCACTCACGCCTTCACAGAAAAGTATTTCGTATGTTTTACACTATAGCAAGTGAAGGTAGAATTCCGGTCTATTGTTGTCAGGAATCAAAAGTCTGTTGGACAGCCATGGTGGTGTGACCTTCAACTTGTCAGCCGAGGCCTCGATCTCACTTGACCTGCACTACGTGACCCCGGACATGCGCTTCACCTTCTGCTGTTCCGCAATGCAGACTGGGTGGGTCGTCGTTGTAGTAGTAGTAGTAGATCCAGATCCTGAGCAACCCATACTTGTCTTAAGATGCGACTAACAGGATCGGGTGGTCAGGCTCGTCGTATTCCAGTTGTGCAGATCGATGCTCATGTTGTCAATCACCGGATTGTCTGGTTGAGACTTGACCGTCAACACACCGCCGTCATACGTGAGGTATAGATGGTGTGGCGTGAAACTGGTAGTATTCTCAGTGTTCTGAGAAGTAGTAGTAGTAGTAGTAGTAGTAGTAGTAGTAGTAGTAGTAGTAGTAGTAGTAGTAGTAGTAGTATTTGTATCTTCTGATCGTCATCATTATGACCTTCATCAGTGTTAAATAATGTCTCTTACAGCGCCGCCAACCTTCACGTGGATTATAGGTCTAAGGGAAACATCATGGCCGCCAAAGCGAGAACCGAGCCCATGATTCATCTGGTACCAAGAAACCTCTCCTCTAACCTGGAAGGTATAACACGTCGTGTCTGGCTTCCCAACCAACACACGTAGCTGAATTTATCTCTTCTGAATGAAGTGACGCTAAGTATTGCATAGATCCTACATGTATTTCATACAACATTAAAATTCATAACATGGAGAACGTTTATGACATACTACCATTCGGGATTCCTTGTTAAAGAATTGGTACTGGTCGATTACGACGGTCGTAACGGTAAAGTGATCGTAACTCCATTATTTCAACACACACTTACGACGGTCGTAGCGCTAAAACGATCGTAACTCCTATACTTTAACCTACGCTTATGACTGCCGTAGCGCTAAAGTGATCGTAACTCGATTACTATAATAACCCATGCATAATATAGTCGTCGCGCTAAAGTGATCGTAACTCCCATACTTTGACACACACTTACGACGGTGGTAGCGCTAAAGTCATCGTATCTCCCATACTGTAACACACGCTTACGACGGTGGTAGCGCTAAAGTCATCGTATCTCCCATACTGTAACACACGCTTTTGACTAGTTCATATTACATGTCAGTATACTACGACGACGTGGACCGTTGCCCATAATTTCAATCACTGGATTGCCTGGTCCATATTTTCAGGCCGCCGTCGTACATCTTCAGCTGATTTTATAAATGCTATTGTCGTCTAATAGGTCAGTTCTTCACGCTGATGCTGATCGACCCGACAAAGGAGTTGAATACTACCACCCCAAACTCCAACGTTCACTGGCTTGTTGTCAACATCCACGCCGAAAACATCTCATCTGGCGATGTCCTCGTGGAATACATGCCCCCAATGCCACATGCTACAAAGAACATGTTTCTGGCGCTACTGTACAAGCAAGCTAACAGAACCGAACAAGTGAAGAACATCACGGGCTTGTTCGGTTATGATTGCCCTCGAAGCACCAAGTACGAGTAACGAGATTTGGTCTAAATATGGCTGAGTGAGTGAGTGAGTTTAGTTTTACGCCGCTTTTAGCAATGTTCCAGCAATATCGCGGCGGGGGGACACGAGGAATTGGCTTCACACATTGTACCTATGTAGGGAATCGAACTCGGGTCTTCAGCGTGACGAACGAACGCATTAACCACTAGGCTCCCCACCGCCCCTAAATATGGCTGAAATAACGCCGACGTATCTCCCATACTGTAACACACGCTTTCGACTAGTTCATATTACATGTCAGTATACTACGACGACGTGGAACGTTGTCCATAATTTCAACCACTGGATTGCCTGGTCCATATTTTCAGGCCGCCGTCGTACATCTTCAGCTGATTTTATATATGCTATTGTCGTCTAACAGGTCAGTTCTTCACGCTGATGCTGATCGACCCGACAAAGGAGTTGAATACTACCACCCCAAACTCCAACGTTCACTGGCTTGTTGTCAACATCCACGCCGAAAACATCTCATCCGGCCATGTCCTCGTGGAATACATGCCCCCAATGCCACATGCTACAAAGAACATGTTTCTGGCGCTACTGTACAAGCAAGCTAACAGAACCGAACAAGTGAAGAACATCACGGGCTTGTTCGGTTATGATTGCCCTCGAAGCACCAAGTACGAGTAACGAGATTTGGTCTAAATATGGCTGAGTGAGTGAGTGAGCTTAGTTTTACGCCGCTTTTAGCAATGTTCCAGCAATATCGCGGCGGGGTGACACCAGAAATGGGCTTCACACATTGTATCTATGTAGGGAATCGAACTCGGGTCTTCAGCGTGACGAACGAACGCATTAACCACTAGGCTCCCCACCGCCCCTAAATATGGCTGAAATAACGCCGACGTATCTCCAATACTGTAACACACGCTTTCGACTAGTTCATATTACATGTCAATATACTACGACGACGTGGACCGTTGCCCATAATTTCAATCACTGGATTGCCTGGTCCATATTTTCAGGCCGCCGTCGTACATCTTCAGCTGATTTTATAAATGCTATTGTCGTCTAATAGGTCAGTTCTTCACGCTGATGCTGATCGACCCGACAAAGGAGCTGAATACTACCACCCCAAACTCCAACGTTCACTGGCTTGTTGTCAACATCCACGCCGAAAACATCTCATCCGGCCATGTCCTCGTGGAATACATGGCCCCAATGCCCCATGGTACAAAGAACATGTTTCTGGCGCTACTGTACAAGCAAGCTAACAGAACCGAACAAGTGAAGAACATCACGGGCTTGTTCGGTTATGATTGCCCTCGAAGCACCAAGTACGAGTAACGAGATTTGGTCTAAATATGGCTGAGTGAGTGAGTGAGTTTAGTTTTACGCCGCTTTTAGCAATGTTCCAGCAATATCGCGGCGGGGGGACACGAGGAATTGGCTTCACACATTGTACCTATGTAGGGAATCGAACTCGGGTCTTCAGCGTGACGAACGAACGCATTAACCACTAGGCTCCCCACCGCCCCTAAATATGGCTGAAATAACGCCGACGTATCTCCCATACTGTAACACACGCTTTCGACTAGTTCATATTACATGTCAGTATACTACGACGACGTGGAACGTTGCCCATAATTTCAATCACTGGATTGCCTGGTCCATATTTTCAGGCCGCCGTCGTACATCTTCAGCTGATTTTATAAATGCTATTGTCGTCTAACAGGTCAGTTCTTCACGCTGATGCTGATCGACCCGACAAAGGAGTTGAATACTACCACCCCAAACTCCAACGTTCACTGGCTTGTTGTCAACATCCACGCCGAAAACATCTCATCCGGCCATGTCCTCGTGGAATACATGCCCCCAATGCCACATGCTACAAAGAACATGTTTCTGGCGCTACTGTACAAGCAAGCTAACAGAACCGAACAAGTGAAGAACATCACGGGCTTGTTCGGTTATGATTGCCCTCGAAGCACCAAGTACGAGTAACGAGATTTGGTCTAAATATGGCTGAGTGAGTGAGTGAGCTTAGTTTTACGCCGCTTTTAGCAATGTTCCAGCAATATCGCGGCGGGGTGACACCAGAAATGGGCTTCACACATTGTATCTATGTAGGGAATCGAACTCGGGTCTTCAGCGTGACGAGCGAACGCATTAACCACTAGGCTCCCCACCGCCCCTAAATATGGCTGAAATAACGCCGACGTATCTCCAATACTGTAACACACGCTTACGACTAGTTCATATTACATGTCAATATACTACGACGACGTGGACCGTTGCCCATAATTTCAATCACTGGATTGCCTGGTCCATATTTTCAGGCCGCCGTCGTACATCTTCAGCTGATTTTATATATGCTATTGTCGTCTAACAGGTCAGTTCTTCACGCTGATGCTGATCGACCCGACAAAGGAGTTGAATACTACCACCCCAAACTCCAACGTTCACTGGCTTGTTGTCAACATCCACGCCGAAAACATCTCATCCGGCCATGTCCTCGTGGAATACATGCCCCCAATGCCACATGCTACAAAGAACATGTTTCTGGCGCTACTGTACAAGCAAGCTAACAGAACCGAACAAGTGAAGAACATCACGGGCTTGTTCGGTTATGATTGCCCTCGAAGCACCAAGTACGAGTAACGAGATTTGGTCTAAATATGGCTGAGTGAGTGAGTGAGCTTAGTTTTACGCCGCTTTTAGCAATGTTCCAGCAATATCGCGGAGGGGTGACACGAGAAATGGGCTTCACACATTGTATCTATGTAGGGAATCGAACTCGGGTCTTCTGCGTGACGAGCGAACGCATTAACCACTAGGCTCCCCACCGCCCCTAAATATGGCTGAAATAACGCCGACATATCTCCCATACGGTAGCACACGCTTTCGACTAGTTCTTATTACATGTCAATATACTACGACGACGTGGACCGTTGCCCATAATTTCAATCACTGGATTGCCTGGTCCATATTTTCAGGCCGCCGTCGTACATCTTCAGCTGATTTTATATATGCTATTGTCGTCTAACAGGTCAGTTCTTCACGCTGATGCTGATCGACCCGACAAAGGAGTTGAATACTACCACCCCAAACTCCAACGTTCACTGGCTTGTTGTCAACATCCACGCCGAAAACATCTCATCCGGCCATGTCCTCGTGGAATACATGCCCCCAATGCCACATGCTACAAAGAACATGTTTCTGGCGCTACTGTACAAGCAAGCTAACAGAACCGAACAAGTGAAGAACATCACGGGCTTGTTCGGTTATGATTGCCCTCGAAGCACCAAGTACGAGTAACGAGATTTGGTCAAATATGGCTGAGTGAGTGAGTGAGCTTAGTTTTACGCCGCTTTTAGCAATGTTCCAGCAATATCGCGGAGGGTGACACCAGAAATGGGCTTCACACATTGTATCTATGTAGGGAATCGAACTCGGGTCTTCAGCGTGACGAACGAACGCATTAACCACTAGGCTCCCCACCGCCCCTAAATATGGCTGAAATAACGCCGACGTATCTCCAATACTGTAACACACGCTTACGACTAGTTCATATTACATGTCAATATACTACGACGACGTGGACCGTTGCCCATAATTTCAATCACTGGATTGCCTGGTCCATATTTTCAGGCCGCCGTCGTACATCTTCAGCTGATTTTATATATGCTATTGTCGTCTAACAGGTCAGTTCTTCACGCTGATGCTGATCGACCCGACAAAGGAGTTGAATACTACCACCCCAAACTCCAACGTTCACTGGCTTGTTGTCAACATCCACGCCGAAAACATCTCATCCGGCCATGTCCTCGTGGAATACATGCCCCCAATGCCACATGCTACAAAGAACATGTTTCTGGCGCTACTGTACAAGCAAGCTAACAGAACCGAACAAGTGAAGAACATCACGGGCTTGTTCGGTTATGATTGCCCTCGAAGCACCAAGTACGAGTAACGAGATTTGGTCTAAATATGGCTGAGTGAGTGAGTGAGTTTAGTTTTACGCCGCTTTTAGCAATGTTCCAGCAATATCGCGGCGGGGTGACACCAGAAATGGGCTTCACACATTGTATCTATGTAGGGAATCGAACTCGGGTCTTCAGCGTGACGAGCGAACGCATTAACCACTAGGCTCCCCACCGCCCCTAAATATGGCTGAAATAACGCCGACGTATCTCCAATACTGTAACACACGCTTACGACTAGTTCATATTACATGTCAATATACTACGACGACGTGGACCGTTGCCCATAATTTCAATCACTGGATTGCCTGGTCCATATTTTCAGGCCGCCGTCGTACATCTTCAGCTGATTTTATATATGCTATTGTCGTCTAACAGGTCAAATCTTCACGCTGATGCTGATCGACCCGACAAAGGAGTTGAATACTACCACCCCAAACTCCAACGTTCACTGGCTTGTTGTCAACATCCACGCCAAAAACATCTCATCTGGCGATGTTCTCGTGGAATACATGCCCCCAATGCCACATGCTACAAAGAACATGTTTCTGGCGCTACTGTACAAGCAAGCTAACAGAACCGAACAAGTGAAGAACATCACGGGCTTGTTCGGTTATGATTGCCTTCGAAGCACCAAGTACGAGTAACGAGATTTGGTCAAATATGGCTGAGTGAGTGAGTGAGCTTAGTTTTACGCCGCTTTTAGCAATGTTCCAGCAATATCGCGGAGGGGTGACACCAGAAATGGGCTTCACACATTGTATCTATGTAGGGAATCGAACTCGGGTCTTCAGCGTGACGAGCGAACGTATTAACCACTAGGCTCCCCACCGCCCCTAAATATGACTGAAATAACGCCGACGTATCTCCCATACGGTAACACACGCTTACGACTAGTTCATATTACATGTCAATATACTACGATGACGTGGACCGTTGCTCATAATTTCAATCACTGGATTGCCTGGTCCATATTTTCAGGCCGCCGTCGTACATCTTCAGCTGATTTTATATATGCTATTGTCGTCTAACAGGTCAGTTCTTCACGCTGATGCTGATCGACCCGACAAAGGAGTTGAATACTACCACCCCAAACTCCAACGTTCACTGGCTTGTTGTCAACATCCACGCCGAAAACATCTCATCCGGCCATGTCCTCGTGGAATACATGCCCCCAATGCCACATGCTACAAAGAACATGTTTCTGGCGCTACTGTACAAGCAAGCTAACAGAACCGAACAAGTGAAGAACATCACGGGCTTGTTCGGTTATGATTGCCCTCGAAGCACCAAGTACGAGTAACGAGATTTGGTCAAATATGGCTGAGTGAGTGAGTGAGCTTAGTTTTACGCCGCTTTTAGCAATGTTCCAGCAATATCGCGGAGGGGTGACACGAGAAATGGGCTTCACACATTGTATCTATGTAGGGAATCGAACTCGGGTCTTCAGCGTGACGAGCGAACGCATTAACCACTAGGCTCCCCACCGCCCTAAATATGGCTGAAATAACGCCGACATATCTCCCATACGGTAACACACGCTTTCGACTAGTTCTTATTACATGTCAATATACTACGACGACGTGGACCGTTGCCCATAATTTCAATCACTGGATTGCCTGGTCCATATTTTCAGGCCGCCGTCGTACATCTTCAGCTGATTTTATATATGCTATTGTCGTCTAACAGGTCAGTTCTTCACGCTGATGCTGATCGACCCGACAAAGGAGTTGAATACTACCACCCCAAACTCCAACGTTCACTGGCTTGTTGTCAACATCCACGCCGAAAACATCTCATCTGGCCATGTCCTCGTGGAATACATGCCCCAATGCCACATGCTACAAAGAACATGTTTCTGGCGCTACTGTACAAACAAGCTAACAGAACCGAACAAGTGAAGAACATCACGGGCTTGTTCGGTTATGATTGCCCTCGAAGCACCAAGTACGAGTAACGAGATTTGGTCTAAATATGGCTGAGTGAGTGAGTGAGCTTAGTTTTACGCCGCTTTTAGCAATGTTCCAGCAATATCGCGGAGGGGTGACACCAGAAATGGGCTTCACACATTGTATCTATGTAGGGAATCGAACTCGGGTCTTCAGCGTGACGAGCGAACGTATTAACCACTAGGCTCCCCACCGCCCCTAAATATGACTGAAATAACGCCGACGTATCTCCCATACGGTAACACACGCTTACGACTAGTTCATATTACATGTCAATATACTACGATGACGTGGACCGTTGCTCATAATTTCAATCACTGGATTGCCTGGTCCATATTTTCAGGCCGCCGTCGTACATCTTCAGCTGATTTTATATATGCTATTGTCGTCTAACAGGTCAGTTCTTCACGCTGATGCTGATCGACCCGACAAAGGAGTTGAATACTACCACCCCAAACTCCAACGTTCACTGGCTTGTTGTCAACATCCACGCCGAAAACATCTCATCCGGCCATGTCCTCGTGGAATACATGCCCCCAATGCCACATGCTACAAAGAACATGTTTCTGGCGCTACTGTACAAGCAAGCTAACAGAACCGAACAAGTGAAGAACATCACGGGCTTGTTCGGTTATGATTGCCCTCGAAGCACCAAGTACGAGTAACGAGATTTGGTCAAATATGGCTGAGTGAGTGAGTGAGCTTAGTTTTACGCCGCTTTTAGCAATGTTCCAGCAATATCGCGGAGGGGTGACACGAGAAATGGGCTTCACACATTGTATCTATGTAGGGAATCGAACTCGGGTCTTCAGCGTGACGAGCGAACGCATTAACCACTAGGCTCCCCACCGCCCCTAAATATGGCTGAAATAACGCCGACATATCTCCCATACGGTAACACACGCTTTCGACTAGTTCTTATTACATGTCAATATACTACGACGACGTGGACCGTTGCCCATAATTTCAATCACTGGATTGCCTGGTCCATATTTTCAGGCCGCCGTCGTACATCTTCAGCTGATTTTATATATGCTATTGTCGTCTAACAGGTCAGTTCTTCACGCTGATGCTGATCGACCCGACAAAGGAGTTGAATACTACCACCCCAAACTCCAACGTTCACTGGCTTGTTGTCAACATCCACGCCGAAAACATCTCATCCGGCCATGTCCTCGTGGAATACATGCCCCCAATGCCACATGCTACAAAGAACATGTTTCTGGCGCTACTGTACAAGCAAGCTAACAGAACCGAACAAGTGAAGAACATCACGGGCTTGTTCGGTTATGATTGCCCTCGAAGCACCAAGTACGAGTAACGAGATTTGGTCTAAATATGGCTGAGTGAGTGAGTGAGCTTAGTTTTACGCCGCTTTTAGCAATGTTCCAGCAATATCGCGGAGGGGTGACACCAGAAATGGGCTTCACACATTGTATCTATGTAGGGAATCGAACTCGGGTCTTCAGCGTGACGAGCGAACGCATTAACCACTAGGCTCCCCACCGCCCCTAAATATGGCTGAAATAACGCCGACGTATCTCCCATACTGTAACACACGCTTACGACTAGTTCATATTACATGTCAATATACTACGACGACGTGGACCGTTGCCCATAATTTCAATCACTGGATTGCCTGGTCCATATTTTCAGGCCGCCGTCGTACATCTTCAGCTGATTTTATATATGCTATTGTCGTCTAACAGGTCAGTTCTTCACGCTGATGCTGATCGACCCGACAAAGGAGTTGAATACTACCACCCCAAACTCCAACGTTCACTGGCTTGTTGTCAACATCCACGCCGAAAACATCTCATCCGGCCATGTCCTCGTGGAATACATGCCCCCAATGCCACATGCTACAAAGAACATGTTTCTGGCGCTACTGTACAAGCAAGCTAACAGAACCGAACAAGTGAAGAACATCACGGGCTTGTTCGGTTATGATTGCCCTCGAAGCACCAAGTACGAGTAACGAGATTTGGTCTAAATATGGCTGAGTGAGTGAGTGAGCTTAGTTTTACGCCGCTTTTAGCAATGTTCCAGCAATATCGCGGAGGGGTGACACGAGAAATGGGCTTCACACATTGTATCTATGTAGGGAATCGAACTCGGGTCTTCAGCGTGACGAGCGAACGCATTAACCACTAGGCTCCCCACCGCCCCTAAATATGGCTGAAATAACGCCGACATATCTCCCATACGGTAACACACGCTTTCGACTAGTTCTTATTACATGTCAATATACTACGACGACGTGGACCGTTGCCCATAATTTCAATCACTGGATTGCCTGGTCCATATTTTCAGGCCGCCGTCGTACATCTTCAGCTGATTTTATATATGCTATTGTCGTCTAACAGGTCAGTTCTTCACGCTGATGCTGATCGACCCGACAAAGGAGTTGAATACTACCACCCCAAACTCCAACGTTCACTGGCTTGTTGTCAACATCCACGCCGAAAACATCTCATCCGGCCATGTCCTCGTGGAATACATGCCCCAATGCCACATGCTACAAAGAACATGTTTCTGGCGCTACTGTACAAGCAAGCTAACAGAACCGAACAAGTGAAGAACATCACGGGCTTGTTCGGTTATGATTGCCCTCGAAGCACCAAGTACGAGTAACGAGATTTGGTCTAAATATGGCTGAGTGAGTGAGTGAGCTTAGTTTTACGCCGCTTTTAGCAATGTTCCAGCAATATCGCGGAGGGGTGACACCAGAAATGGGCTTCACACATTGTATCTATGTAGGGAATCGAACTCGGGTCTTCAGCGTGACGAGCGAACGCATTAACCACTAGGCTCCCCACCGCCCCTAAATATGGCTGAAATAACGCCGACATATCTCCCATACTGTAACACACGCTACGACTAGTTCATATTACATGTCAATATACTACGATGACGTGGACCGTTGCTCATAATTTCAATCACTGGATTGCCTGGTCCATATTTTCAGGCCGCCGTCGTACATCTTCAGCTGATTTTATATATGCTATTGTCGTCTAACAGGTCAGTTCTTCACGCTGATGCTGATCGACCCGACAAAGGAGTTGAATACTACCACCCCAAACTCCAACGTTCACTGGCTTGTTGTCAACATCCACGCCGAAAACATCTCATCCGGCCATGTCCTCGTGGAATACATGCCCCAATGCCACATGCTACAAAGAACATGTTTCTGGCGCTACTGTACAAGCAAGCTAACAGAACCGAACAAGTGAAGAACATCACGGGCTTGTTCGGTTATGATTGCCCTCGAAGCACCAAGTACGAGTAACGAGATTTGGTCAAATATGGCTGAGTGAGTGAGTGAGCTTAGTTTTACGCCGCTTTTAGCAATGTTCCAGCAATATCGCGGAGGGTGACACCAGAAATGGGCTTCACACATTGTATCTATGTAGGGAATCGAACTCGGGTCTTCAGCGTGACGAGCGAACGCATTAACCACTAGGCTCCCCACCGCCCTAAATATGGCTGAAATAACGCCGACATATCTCCCATACGGTAACACACGCTTTCGACTAGTTCTTATTACATGTCAATATACTACGACGACGTGGACCGTTGCCCATAATTTCAATCACTGGATTGCCTGGTCCATATTTTCAGGCCGCCGTCGTACATCTTCAGCTGATTTTATATATGCTATTGTCGTCTAACAGGTCAGTTCTTCACGCTGATGCTGATCGACCCGACAAAGGAGTTGAATACTACCACCCCAAACTCCAACGTTCACTGGCTTGTTGTCAACATCCACGCCGAAAACATCTCATCCGGCCATGTCCTCGTGGAATACATGCCCCCAATGCCACATGCTACAAAGAACATGTTTCTGGCGCTACTGTACAAGCAAGCTAACAGAACCGAACAAGTGAAGAACATCACGGGCTTGTTCGGTTATGATTGCCCTCGAAGCACCAAGTACGAGTAACGAGATTTGGTCAAATATGGCTGAGTGAGTGAGTGAGCTTAGTTTTACGCCGCTTTTAGCAATGTTCCAGCAATATCGCGGAGGGGTGACACGAGAAATGGGCTTCACACATTGTATCTATGTAGGGAATCGAACTCGGGTCTTCAGCGTGACGAGCGAACGCATTAACCACTAGGCTCCCCACCGCCCCTAAATATGGCTGAAATAACGCCGACGTATCTCCCATACTGTAACACACGCTTACGACTAGTTCTTATTACATGTCAATATACTACGACGACGTGGACCGTTGCCCATAATTTCAATCACTGGATTGCCTGGTCCATATTTTCAGGCCGCCGTCGTACATCTTCAGCTGATTTTATATATGCTATTGTCGTCTAACAGGTCAAATCTTCACGCTGATGCTGATCGACCCGACAAAGGAGTTGAATACTACCACCCCAAACTCCAACGTTCACTGGCTTGTTGTCAACATCCACGCCGAAAACATCTCATCTGGCGATGTCCTCGTGGAATACATGCCCCCAATGCCACATGCTACAAAGAACATGTTTCTGGCGCTACTGTACAAGCAAGCTAACAGAACCGAACAAGTGAAGAACATCACGGGCTTGTTCGGTTATGATTGCCCTCGAAGCACCAAGTACGAGTAACGAGATTTGGTCTAAATATGGCTGAGTGAGTGAGTGAGCTTAGTTTTACGCCGCTTTTAGCAATGTTCCAGCAATATCGCGGAGGGGTGACACCAGAAATGGGCTTCACACATTGTATCTATGTAGGGAATCGAACTCGGGTCTTCAGCGTGACGAGTGAACGCATTAACCACTAGGCTCCCCACCGCCCCTAAATATGGCTGAAATAACGCCGACGTATCTCCCATACGGTAACACACGCTCACGACTAGTTCTTATTACATGTCAATATACTACGATGACGTGGACCGTTGCTCATAATTTCAATCACTGGATTGCCTGGTCCATATTTTCAGGCCGCCGTCGTACATCTTCAGCTGATTTTATATATGCTATTGTCGTCTAACAGGTCAGTTCTTCACGCTGATGCTGATCGACCCGACAAAGGAGTTGAATACTACCACCCCAAACTCCAACGTTCACTGGCTTGTTGTCAACATCCACGCCGAAAACATCTCATCCGGCCATGTCCTCGTGGAATACATGCCCCAATGCCACATGCTACAAAGAACATGTTTCTGGCGCTACTGTACAAGCAAGCTAACAGAACCGAACAAGTGAAGAACATCACGGGCTTGTTCGGTTATGATTGCCCTCGAAGCACCAAGTACGAGTAACGAGATTTGGTCTAAATATGGCTGAGTGAGTGAGTGAGCTTAGTTTTACGCCGCTTTTAGCAATGTTCCAGCAATATCGCGGAGGGGTGACACCAGAAATGGGCTTCACACATTGTATCTATGTAGGGAATCGAACTCGGGTCTTCAGCGTGACGAGCGAACGCATTAACCACTAGGCTCCCCACCGCCCTAAATATGGCTGAAATAACGCCGACATATCTCCCATACGGTAACACACGCCTTACGACTAGTTCATATTACATGTCAATATACTACGACGACGTGGACCGTTGCCCATAATTTCAATCACTGGATTGCCTGGTCCATATTTTCAGGCCGCCGTCGTACATCTTCAGCTGATTTTATATATGCTATTGTCGTCTAACAGGTCAGTTCTTCACGCTGATGCTGATCGACCCGACAAAGGAGTTGAATACTACCACCCCAAACTCCAACGTTCACTGGCTTGTTGTCAACATCCACGCCGAAAACATCTCATCCGGCCATGTCCTCGTGGAATACATGCCCCCAATGCCACATGCTACAAAGAACATGTTTCTGGCGCTACTGTACAAGCAAGCTAACAGAACCGAACAAGTGAAGAACATCACGGGCTTGTTCGGTTATGATTGCCCTCGAAGCACCAAGTACGAGTAACGAGATTTGGTCTAAATATGGCTGAGTGAGTGAGTGAGCTTAGTTTTACGCCGCTTTTAGCAATGTTCCAGCAATATCGCGGAGGGGTGACACGAGAAATGGGCTTCACACATTGTATCTATGTAGGGAATCGAACTCGGGTCTTCAGCGTGACGAGCGAACGCATTAACCACTAGGCTCCCCACCGCCCTAAATATGGCTGAAATAACGCCGACATATCTCCCATACGGTAACACACGCTTCGACTAGTTCTTATTACATGTCAATATACTACGACGACGTGGACCGTTGCCCATAATTTCAATCACTGGATTGCCTGGTCCATATTTTCAGGCCGCCGTCGTACATCTTCAGCTGATTTTATATATGCTATTGTCGTCTAACAGGTCAGTTCTTCACGCTGATGCTGATCGACCCGACAAAGGAGTTGAATACTACCACCCCAAACTCCAACGTTCACTGGCTTGTTGTCAACATCCACGCCGAAAACATCTCATCCGGCCATGTCCTCGTGGAATACATGCCCCCAATGCCACATGCTACAAAGAACATGTTTCTGGCGCTACTGTACAAGCAAGCTAACAGAACCGAACAAGTGAAGAACATCACGGGCTTGTTCGGTTATGATTGCCCTCGAAGCACCAAGTACGAGTAACGAGATTTGGTCTAAATATGGCTGAGTGAGTGAGTGAGTTTAGTTTTACGCCGCTTTTAGCAATGTTCCAGCAATATCGCGGCGGGGGGACACCAGAAATGGGCTTCACACATTGTATCTATGTAGGGAATCGAACTCGGGTCTTCAGCGTGACGAGCGAACGCATTAACCACTAGGCTCCCCACCGCCCCTAAATATGGCTGAAATAACGCCGACATATCTCCCATACGGTAACACACGCTTTCGACTAGTTCTTATTACATGTCAATATACTACGACGACGTGGACCGTTGCTCATAATTTCAATCACTGGATTGCCTGGTCCATATTTTCAGGCCGCCGTCGTACATCTTCAGCTGATTTTATATATGCTATTGTCGTCTAACAGGTCAGTTCTTCACGCTGATGCTGATCGACCCGACAAAGGAGTTGAATACTACCACCCCAAACTCCAACGTTCACTGGCTTGTTGTCAACATCCACGCCGAAAACATCTCATCCGGCCATGTCCTCGTGGAATACATGCCCCCAATGCCACATGCTACAAAGAACATGTTTCTGGCGCTACTGTACAAGCAAGCTAACAGAACCGAACAAGTGAAGAACATCACGGGCTTGTTCGGTTATGATTGCCCTCGAAGCACCAAGTACGAGTAACGAGATTTGGTCAAATATGGCTGAGTGAGTGAGTGAGCTTAGTTTTACGCCGCTTTTAGCAATGTTCCAGCAATATCGCGGAGGGGTGAAACCAGAAATGAGCTTCACACATTGTATCTATGTGGGGAATCGAACTCGGGTCTTCAGCGTGACGAGCGAACGCATTAACCACTAGGCTCCCCACCGCCCCTTAATATGGCTGAAATAACGCCGACGTATCTCCCATACTGTAACACACGCTTACGACTAGTTCATATTACATGTCAATATACTACGACGACGTGGACTGTTGCCCATAATTTCAATCACTGGATTGCCTGGTCCATATTTTCAGGCCACCGTCGTACATCTTCAGCTGATTTTATATATGCTATTGTCGTCTAACAGGTCAGTTCTTCACGCTGATGCTGATCGACCCGACAAAGGAGTTGAATACTACCACCCCAAACTCCAACGTTCACTGGCTTGTTGTCAACATCCACGTCGAAAACATCTCATCCGGCCATGTCCTCGTGGAATACATGCCCCCAATGCCACATGCTACAAAGAACATGTTTCTGGCGCTACTGTACAAGCAAGCTAACAGAACCGAACAAGTGAAGAACATCACGGGCTTGTTCGGTTATTATTGCCCTCGAAACACCAAGTACGAGTAACGAGATTTGGTCTAAATATGTCTGAGTGAGTGAGTGAGTGAGTTTAGTTTTACGCCGCTTTTAGCAATGTTCCAGCAATATCGCGGCGGGGGACACGAGAAATGGGCTTCACACATTGTATCTATGTAGGGAATCGAACTCGGGTCTTCAGCGTGACGAGCGAACGCATTAACTACTAGGCTCCCCACCGCCCTAAATATGGCTGAAATAACGCCGACGTAAATCTATTTTGTTTTATGGTTGAGATGTGTTTGGGTGTGGGTTTTTTATTTTAAGAAAAATGGGTTAAACAATTCATATAATTCGAGATGAAATATTTTCATTGAGAACTTTGCCTTCAATTTTATATTTAGGTGGGAACTGTATCAGATAACCTATGAATGAGGGAGTGAGTTTATTTTTACTCTGCTTTTCAGCAATATTCCAACAAAATAACGGCGGGTGACACCAGTAATTGGCTTCACACATTATGTACATGTGGCGAATCGAACCCGAGCCTTTGGCGTGACGGGAGAACGTTTTAACCACTAGGCTACCCCGTCGCCCAGATAACTACAAGAAAATGCGAAACATGAACACGAAATCAGGAAATGACGTCATTATAAAATATTTTCCTCTGAATATTTAATCAACATGTTTGAAACAATACGAACAATATTTGATCCAATCCATTCCCCGTTTTACAGCTTGAACCATGTTTTCACTTTTGATTACCTCCCTTTACATGCTGAACACGATAACGACCGTGTTTCAACAGTAAGTAATGTCAGTAACCTGTTTAAGTATTAAGGTAAGGTCTTAACAAATGCGGGGTGGTGGGGTAGCCTAGTTGTTGAAGCGTTCTCTCGTCATGCCGAAGACCCGAGTTGTATTCCCCACATGGGTAAAATGTGTGAAACCCATTTGGGGTGTCCCCCACCGCGATATTGCTGGAACATTGCTAAAAGCGGCGTAAAACCATACTCTTAACAAATGTTATGCATTTCAGGATTTAAATGCCAACAGTTCATATAAGGAATTTTACGATAACGTAGACCATATATGACACGTTGTAAACAATTGTTTAAGGAAACAGAGATGCCCGTACCTTCTACAGTCGAACCTGCGTTTATTTAGATGTTGTTCGGATGAACGTATTTTCGGATACCTGAATCACCTGAATCAGGTGGTCAGAGTTACCTCCCCTAACCAAATTATACATAAGGGAAAACAAATTCAAAATTACAAAGTTCAAACCTTTAATGAGTTAGATATTCAATTACCCCCCACTGAGCTGGCACAATAAAACCAGCTTAAGTCTGGGCTTCCCCAAGGCCCATGTGTGTTAGTTATTCACCTATCATAAGATTACTTGTTGTGATTAAGTACATCTTGGGAACAAGATAAGATACATATTGTGTAATATGGACTCTTTATCAACAAATCGGATGAACTGTTATTCCAGGAATAATCAGCAAGTCAATTGTGACGTGAGTCACTATCCGGTTTCTGAATCTTGTGCGCCTCTGCATCAGGCTTGGTGGTCAGATAAATGACCCGTGGAGCCCAGATGTACTGTACGCAGAGCTCCAACACAGCGCCACAAGGACAAAAACAGACATGCGTCATACCTTATCCCCGGTCCAGACAGTCAAAAACTGCACTGTGACAGATCCTCAGCATGTCCATATATCACTTAAAAAAAAATAACGCTCATGGAAGCATTTGAAAACAAAACAATCCCCACCATCAAAGCCAGTCCTGTCACGACACATGACAGAACTCCACAAGGTCACGTGGGCCTGGCGTGGTACTACGGCCGGTTTGTGTATCTGTGAAGGACACGTGAAGTACTTACGATACATTTATAATGTGTCCAGGCACTTCACAGCTTTGTGGTCACGGACTCAAGGCACTCGGATTAGTATTGATACAAGGCGTCTTGTCAGTTGTTAATGTTAAAGAGAGACTAGGCTCGGGCCCTTTGGAAGACACATCAAGCGAGAACCAGTCATATATCCAACAAATTCATAAACCAACTCAAACGTTGGACTAACTGCCATTCAATTCAAAATTTTGACACATGTCTACAATTGCTATCATCAGTCAGCTCCTCCACTTTTCAATGATCTCATTCACAAATATGTACCACTTCGATCTTCCGACCATCATCTACTTGAAGTACCAAAGTGCAATCTGAAAAAGTTTGGATGTAGATCCTTTGCCTACTTGGCAGCCACTTTATGGAACCCGTTACCTCTTCAAATAAAGGAGGCAGAATCTTTTGACATTTTTAAGTGCGACCACAACACCCATTTCTTCAGGTCTTTCTATAATTTGTGAGCACCCAAGAAAAAAACACCTATGACAATTTGCAATGACTTCATGTTGTCTGTAGCGCCATGAGCAAGCACTCTGTGCCTGGAGTTTGGCGCAGTATAAATGCACACAATATTTTTATTATTATCTATTGGGTATTAAATACATCTTTTTTTATTCAGTGAATTACAATGTTTAGAATCAAGCCACAGAGCCCAGTCTCTCTTTTAAATGCATCCTTGTTACAGAAGCGGAAAGAAAATGGCCGACTTTTAGAAGGCCTTCTGACAGACAACAGTGAGCAACGCCAAGGCATAGATCGCAACGTAGGAGGATTTCAAAGGATGTCCTGTTCCTATTGGGCAAGGGTCGCCGTACCCAGCCCTGCCTCGACATGCATCTTTTACGGGTTTCATCCCTTTCTTCACTTCCTGGAGTCTGTTGTAGTCATCCTGTTCCACGTCCAGCTGACGGAGTCCACTCAGAACCAGGTTGTTCATCGTCACATAGTTCTGGACCTGGAACTTGCACCTAAACGGAAGAGGGTTGAATTATATGTTGAGATATTTACCACAAAGATGATGGGGCGAACAGTGTACCGATAGATAACCAGGTATTGAAGTTCTAGATATGAAACAGAGAGGAGATATGAAATAGAGCGGAGATGTGGAGTGCAGATATGACGGGTGCAGTGAAGGAGAGTGAAGATATGAAACAGGGAGGTGATATGACCGACGGGGGAAGCCAAAGAGAGCGGAAAGATGAAATAGAGTGAAGATATGAAACATAGCGAAAATATGAAACAGAGGGGTGGTATGAAAACGGGCGGCTATATGAAAACATAGATATGAACACGTGCGAACATAAATCAGGTTGGACATTTCGGAGACACGAAAACAGAATAAATTTGCGGTGAGGTGAAATGGGGTTTAACGTCGCACTTAAGAATATTTCGCTCATATGACGACGTGCATGTGTGCGTATGTGTGGCTGCTTGTGCTAGCCCAGACTTAAGCTGGTTTTATAGTGCCAGCTCACTGGGGGGGTAACTGAATATCTAACTCATTAAAGGTTTGAACTTTGTAATTTTGAATTTGTTTTCACTACAGTAATGTATAATTTGGTTAGGGGAGGTAACTCTGACCAACTGGCGAGTGATTCAGGTATCCGAAAATACGTTCATCCGAACAACATCTAAATAAACGCAGGTTCGACTGTAGAAGGTACGGGCATCTCTGTTTCCTTAAACAATTGTTTACAACGTGTCATATATGGTCTACGTTATCGTAAAATTCCTTATATGAACTGTTGGCATTTAAATCCTGAAATGCATAACATTTGTTAAGAGTATGGTTTTACGCTGCTTTTAGCAATGTTCCAGCAATATCGCGGTGGGGGACACCCCAAATGGGTTTCACACATTTTACCCATGTGGGGAATAGAACTCGGGTCTTCGGCATGACGAGAGAACGCTTTAACAACTAGGCTACCCCACCACCCCGCATTTGTTAAGACATTACCTGAATACCTAAACAGGTTACTGCCATCATTTACTGTTGAAACACGGTCGTTATCGTATTCAGCATGTAAAGGGAGGTAATCAAAAGTGAAAACATGGTTCAAGCTGTAAAGCGGGGAATGGATTGGATCAAATATTGTTCGTATTGTTTCAAACATGTTGATTAAATATTCAGAGGAAAATATTTTATAATGACGTCATTTCCTGATTTCGTGTTCATGTTTCGCATTTTCTTGTAGTTATCTGGGCGACGGGGTAGCCTAGTGGTTAAAACGTTCTCCCGTCACGCCGAAGGCTCGGTTTCGACTCACCACATGTACACAATGTGTGAAGCCTATTTCTGGTGTCCCCCGCCGCGATATTGCTGGAACATTGCTAAAGGCGGCGTAAAACTAAACTCACTCACTCACTCAGACATATTTCTAAGACCAAATCTCGTTACTCGTACTTGGTGTTTCGAGGGCAATCAGAACCGAACAGGCCCGTGATGTTCTTCACTTGTTCGGTTCTGTTAGCTTGCTTGTACAGTAGCGCCAGAAACATGTTCTTTGTAGCATGTGGCATTGGGGGCATGTATTCCACGAGGACATCGCCAGATGAGATGTTTTCGGCGTGGATGTTGACAACAAGCCAGTGAACGTTGGAGTTTGGGGTGGTAGTATTCAACTCCTTTGTCGGGTCGATCAGCATCAGCGTGAAGAACTGACCTGTTAGACGACAATAGCATATATAAAATCAGCTGAAGATGTACGACGGTGGCCTGAAAATATGGACCAGGCAATCCAGTGATTGAAATTATGAGCAACGGTCCACGTCGTCGTAGTATATTGACATGTAATATGAACTAGTCGTAAGCGTGTGTTACAGTATGGGAGATACGGTGACTTTAGCGCTACCACCGTCGTAAGTGTGCGTTACAGTATGGGAGCTACGATCACTTTAGCGCGACGACTATCTTAAGCATGGGTTAAAGTAATGAAGTTACAATCATCTTAGTTGCGTTACCACTGTCGTAAGCGTGGGTTAAAGCATGGGAGCTACCATTACCTTGGCGCTACTACCACCATAAGCGTGGGTATAATTATGGGAGTTACAGTCACTTTAGGGCACTGACCATCATAAGGGTGGGTTAAATATGGGAGCTACAATCACCTTAACGCGACGAACATCTTATGCATGGGTTAAAGTAATCGAGTTACGATCACTTTAGCGCTACGGCAGTCATAAGCGTAGGTTAAAGTATAGGAGTTACGATCATTTTAGAGGTTACGACCGTCGTAAGCGTGTGTTAAAGTATGGAAGCTACGATCATTTTAGAGGTTACGACCGTCGTAAGCGTGTGTTAAAGTATGGGAGCTACGATCACTTTAGCGCTACGACCGTCGTAAGTGTGTGTTAAAATAATGGAGTTACGATCACTTTAGCGTTACGACCGTCGTAATCGACCAGTACCAATTCTTTAACAAGGAATCCCGAATGGTAGTATGTCATAAACGTTCTCCATGTTATGAATTTTAATGTTGTATGTAATACATGTAGGATCTATGCAATACTTAGCGTCACTTCATTCAGAAGAGATGAGTTCAGCTACGTGTGTTGGCTGGGAAGCCAGACACGACGTGTTATACCTTCCAGGTTAGAGGAGAGGTTTCTTGGTACCAGATGAATCATGGGCTCGGTTCTCGCTTTGGCGGCCATGATGTTTCCCTTAGACCTATAATCCACGTGAAGGTTGGCGGCGCTGTAAGAGACATTATTTAACACTGATGAAGGTCATAATGATGACGATCAGAAGATACAACTACTACTACTACTACTACTACTACTACTACTACTACTACTACTACTCGGAACACTGAGAATACTACCAGTTTCACGCCACACCATCTATACCTCATGTATGACGGCGGTGTGTTGACAGTCAAGTCTCAACCAGACAATCCGGTGATTGACAAAATGAGCATCGATCTGCACAACTGGAATACGACAAGCCTGACCACCCGATCCCGTTAGTCGCATCTTAAGACAAGTATGGGTTGCTCAGGATCTGGATCTTCACGGTGCACTACTACTACTACTACTACTACTACTACTACTACTACTACTACTACTACTACTACTGCTAGAACTACTGCTGCTACTACTGCTACTGCTACTATTGATACTACGACTACTTCTACTACTACTATTACTACTACTACTACTACTACTACTACTACTACAACGACGTCCCACCCAGTCTGCATTGTGGAACAGCAGAAGGTGAAGCGCATGTCCGGGGTCATGTAGTGCAGGTCAAGTGAGATCGAGGCCTCGGCTGACAAGTTGAAGGTCACACCACCATGGCTGTCCAACAGACTTTTGATTCCTGACAACAATAGACCGGAATTCTACGTACACTTGCTATAGTGTAAGACATAGGAAATACTTTTCTGTATTCTGTAAAGGCGAGAGTCATCTGTTAACAGTGTTCAACCATTTCCATTGTGCATTAAGGTGGATACCGTAAAATAGGTTTATATTGAATGAATAGCTTTTCACATGTGCTTTGTCGTAGCCAATACACACACCAGAATGGGCTTCACATATTGTACCCATGTGGGGAATCGAACGAGAGGATGCCGACATTTGATCTACAGATGCTTACGTTTTTGGTTGAAGTAGGGGCACCTGTTTAGAACACGCCTGTTTCTCATGGTAACGGCGGCGTAGTCGTCGCTCCAGCTGCGCACGATGTTGAAGCTGACGGGATCTGAAACATATGTAACATGAGGCTGGTAAATATGTAACAATGTTTGTTGTTTACCGCCGCACTCAGCAATATTCCAGCTACATGGTGGCGGTCTGTAAATATTCAAGTCTGGACCACACAATCCAGTGATACGATGACATGTGTCAACCCAGTGAGCGAGCCTGACCACCCGATCCCATTAGTCGCCACTCAGGACAAGCATGGGTTACTGGAGATCTGGACTACTACACTACTGCTACTACTACTACTACTACTACTACTGCTAGAACTACTGCTGCTACTACTGCTACTGCTACTATTGATACTACGACTACTTCTACTACTACTATTACTACTACTACTACTACTACTACTACTACAACGACGTCCCACCCAGTCTGCATTGCGGAACAGCAGAAGGTGAAGCGCATGTCCGGGGTCATGTAGTGCAGGTCAAGTGAGATCGAGGCCTCGGCTGACAAGTTGAAGGTCACACCACCATGGCTGTCCAACAGACTTTTGATTCCTGACAACAATAGACCGGAATTCTACGTACACTTGCTATAGTGTAAGACATAGGAAATACTTTTCTGTATTCTGTAAAGGCGAGAGTCATCTGTTAACAGTGTTCAACCATTTCCATTGTGCATTAAGGTGGATACCGTAAAATAGGTTTATATTGAATGAATAGCTTTTCACATATGTGCTTTGTCGTAGCCACACACACCAGAATGGGCTTCACATATTGTACCCATGTGGGGAATCGAACGAGAGGATGCCGACATTTGATCTACAGATGCTTACGTTTTTGGTTGAAGTAGGGGCACCTGTTTAGAACACGCCTGTTTCTCATGGTAACGGCGGCGTAGTCGTCGCTCCAGCTGCGCACGATGTTGAAGCTGACGGGATCTGAAACATATGTAACATGAGGCTGGTAAATATGTAACAATGTTTGTTGTTTACCGCCGCACTCAGCAATATTCCAGCTACATGGTGGCGGTCTGTAAATATTCAAGTCTGGACCACACAATCCAGTGATACGATGACATGTGTCAACCCAGTGAGCGAGCCTGACCACCCGATCCCATTAGTCGCCACTCAGGACAAGCATGGGTTACTGAAGATCTGAAACCGGATCTTCACGGATGGGATCATATTGTAGTCGCGTCCATACAACATGGATCTTTGGGCCATGATATGCCTTATTGCATATACATGTACTCAGTGTGCAAAATAGCCACTGGCCCGCCAGCCCGTGGCTAGTAAATCTCCTCAGCTAAAGGCCCGACTGGCTAGTGAATTTTTATGGGGTCATTTTGTATATCACTCTCTCCGACTTGTTAAGTTATAACACACTTTTAAAATCATCCAAGATTATGGCCTGATAAACTGTTCATCACATTAGCGGCTTAATGATGAAACCCGTGTTATGCCGACAATATCTTATTCTCATCTATTTTTCTGTAATCTTTTGCTTAGTTTCTACGTTCAAATTTCGGGCTAGTGAATAATTTTGTGGGCTAGTAACTTTCAGGCATAGCTAGCCCAACTGGCTAACACAATTTGGAAACTATTTCGCACACTGCATATAAAGTACAACCAGAAATTATTGAGAATTTAAAGATTGTAATTTTTTAATTGTTTTTCACTCATTACTCACGTATTAAATGTGAATATTAGCAGAACATAACTCCAGATTCAAAGACAGGTGAACAGTTAGTATTTTGTCAAGTCACCATGGGCAGCAATGCAGGCTTCAATGCGGCGGGGCATACTACTGATCAAAGAAGTTAGAAAGTCGTGGTCCATGCTGTCCCAATATCGGACCACCTCTTCTTTCATTTCAGCAATATTTGTTAGATTTTACTTATTGACACTTTCCTTCCTAAGTCCCCAAACATTTTCTATTGGAATTAGGTCAGGGCTATAGCTTGGCCAATCTAATAATGTCATATTTTGGGTCCGAAACCAGGCCTGTAAATGCTTTGAACGATGTTTTGGGTCGTTGTCCTGCTGGAAAATCAAAAGATTTCCATAGAACACGTGAGTAGATGGAAGTAAATGTCCCTCGAGAATATCTGTGTACCGCTCACTGTTCATATTCCCTTCAAATACACAGATGGGCGTTGCCCCTAACACAGATATGCCACCCCACACGTTAAATTTCGGACTGTTCTTTGGGCGCTGATACAAAGATTTTTCAGTTTGTTTATTTTTTAAAACACGATAAACAGTGGACAAAGGGATGCCTGTTCTACTTGAATCACTTTGGCTGATCTGATGCCCATGTTATAATACTCTAAAATCAACTACCTCCTCTCTAAATTATCCATAGGATCACTGAAAATGTCGTCTTCTAGCAAGTAAACAAAGGGGGATAACTCTTCACAAACTAATGAAAACGGATTAACGGAATTGTCTCTCTTGAATGAAACCAAGCACTTGGTAGCTGGTCAAGGTTGTTTATACTAGAAATCCAATTAAACATATTCCTAAAATTCTCAATAATTTCTGGTCATACTATACTTGTTAAAAGTTCTAAAATAAATGTTTCATCTTTCATAGACATACTACTGGGAATATTTCCAAAATAAAAGTGGGTCACTAGATTAACACTCTGCGCTTACCTGAGAGATTATATCTGTCTATAAAATCTTTCATAAACATCGGATTCCTGAAGGTGTTGGTTGAGTTCATGTACGCTAGGACTTCGCTGAGTTCCATGTTCTTTCTTTGCTCGAAGACCATCCACACATAGATGTTTGGCCTCCACAGGGTATTCAGGGGGCCGCGGTGGGGGACGACCGGCTGGTTTAACAGAAACGACAGGTTAACAGCAACTGAAGCATGGGTGTTCAGAATATACGTTAGTGTCTTCAAACAACACTGTGTTGAAGTTGGCCATGATCAAACTATGACCAACGACTTTATCCAAGATCAAACTATGACCAACGACTTTATCCAAGATCATAGTATGACAAACGACTTTATCTGTGATCAAATTATGACCAATGATTTTATCCAGGATCAAACTATGACCAACGACTTTATCCAAGATCAAACGATGACCAACGACTTTATCCAGGATCAAACTATGACCAATGACTTTATCCAGGATCAAACTATGACCAATGACTTTATCCGTGATCAAACTATGACCAACGACTTTATCCAAGATCATAGTATGACCAACGACTTTATCCATGATCAAACTATGACCAATGATTTTATCCAAGATCAAACAATGACCAACGACTTTATCCATGATCAAACTATGACCAACGACTCTATCCAAGATCATAATATGACCAACGACTGTATCCATGATCAGATCATAGTATGACCAACGACTATATCCATGATCAAACTATGATCAACGACTTTATCCAAGATCATAGTATGACACAACCCCTAGTGTACAGTACACAACCCTGTGCACTTAAAAGAACCCACGAATCCGTTGGTATATGACCAGATGGTGGCCACATGGATGCGTGCAAACACCCAGTTGCGGGTACAGCAACATGCAGTAAACGTGGACAAAGTAATGTGACTATGTGTCCCAGTCCACCCAGCTGTGAATGGGTACCTCGTAAGGATGGGAATGCCACAATAACTCGGTGCGCCTAGTGGCTGCAAGAGTTGTATGCTCCCCAAGGAGTTGAGATTGACAATACGTATGTATGTATGTATGTATGTATGTATGTATGTATGTATGTATGTATGTATGTATGTATGTATGTATGTATGTATGTATGTATGTATGTATGTATGTATGTATGTATGTATGTATGTATGTATGTATGTATGTATGTATGTATGTATGACAACGGACTCCTGTCACTGTCAGAAGAACTACGGTGTGTCCTTGACTCAGTTACTGGCAGTTGTGCCCGTCTCTCTATGCTCTGCATGGGGTGATGAAGTTTAACACCGTTATAATAGTATTGAACTTGTATCACGGCGGGTTTAATATCAGTTATATATGGTCTCTTCATATTCTACATATATCAGAGGGTGAGTGAGTGAACTTGGTTTAATGCCGTCGTTGGAACGTAATTCACGTACATCACGTCGTGATCCTAAACCTTTAAATACGTATTGTCCTACCTGGCCCAAGGTTATGTTTCCACCGTTGGCGTTGATGTAGATGCCGTGGATAATGTAGTAGCCAACGTCGTAGTATACTACAGTGTAATTGACGTTAGGCTTGGCAGTCCACGAGACAGTTGGCATGTCCTTCAGCTCAACTGGGCCCCTTTGGTGAGGGTTGAGTGGACCAATCTTGAAGGACTCACTACTGGATGTCATTCTTATCTCTGCTCCACATCCATTGTAAATGCCTACACAGACAGAGATGGGTTCAGGCAACAGAAGGGTACAGGCTTAACAGTAGGGGAAGCAAGACAGATGGGTTCAGGCAAGATAGAAGGGTACATGCTTAACAGTAGGGGAAGCAAGACAGATGGGTTCATGCAAGATAGAAGGGTACATGCTTAACAATAGTGGAAGCAAGACAGATGGGTTCAGGCAAGACAGATGGGTACAGGGTTAACAGTAGTGGAAGCAAGACAGATGGGTTCAGGCAATATAGAAGGGTACGTGCTTAACGGTAGTGGAAGCAAGACAGATGGGTTCATGCAAGACAGAAGGCTACAGGCAAGACAGAAAGGTACATGCTTAACAGTACTAGTAGGGAAAGCAAGACAGATGGGTTCAGGCAAGATAGAAGGGCACAGGCTTAACAGAATGGAAGATAGATAGGTAGAGGCAGAAACAGAAGGGTAGATGCAAGACATAGGCAGAGGCAAGACAGAAGGGTAGAGGCAAGACAGAAGGGTGAGGCAAGACAGAGGGGTAGAGGCAAGACAGAAGGGTGAGGCAAGACAGAAGGGTGAGGCGGCAGACGGGTAGAGGCAAGAGAGACGGCTGAGGCAGGAGAGACGGGTACAGGCAAGACAGAAGGGTGAGGCAAGAGAGACGGGTACAGGCAAGACAGATGGGTAGAGGCAAGACAGAAGGGTGAGGCGGCAGACGGGTAGTGGCAAGACAGAAGGGTAGAGGCAAGAGAGATGAGTGAGGCAAGACAGAAGCGGGGGTGAGACAAGACAGAAGGGTGAGACAAGACAGAAGGGTGCGGCGGCAGAAGGGTTGAGGCAAGACAGAAGGGTAGATGCGCGAAGTGTTTATTAAAATATCAGCATAAGTAAAGTGTAATTGCATAATATCATAATACATGTTAATCATTGTCATCATAGGTCTGTTTGGTGTCTCGGTGACGGGAGATGACCCTGTGGTTGACATCAGGAGCATCTCTCTATGCAATGGGGATATGATGACACACATAAACCAAGCGGGTGACAATTACCACCTGATCCACATTGTCGCATTATACGCCACTGACGGAACCGAGTGGTCAAACTTGCTGTCCACGGATATCAATGACTTGATTTTCTTGTACAGACCCGTGAAGATCCGGGTTAGAACTGATCTTCAGCAACCCATGCTTGTCGTAAGACGCGACTAACGGGATCGGTGGGTCAGGCTCGCTGACTTGGTTGACACATGTCATCATATCCCAATTGCATTTATCGATGCTCATACTGTTGACCAGTGGATAGTCTGTTCCTAACTCGATTTTTTACATACCGCAGCCCCAGATAGTTGAACTATTGTGTCTTTAATTGCTCACAATCAAGTATTGTTGAATTAACAAACACGATATGTTTGAATTCTTGATGTGCCAGGGTGACGGTCGGCTGTCTACTTACGTTCAAGAGGTCGGGCATAGTAGATTTCCATGATCGAGGGTCTCGAGCCTGTTGTGACATTACTTCCGGCGAACATTCGGCTCATAATGGAGTCTGCCATGGTTGGTCGAGGATTGACACACATTTGGGTACCATCTTCACCATTTGGACACATCTTATCGTAGTCAGTGCCGAACCAAAACAGGGTGTTATTGTTCAAAGCGTCATAGGCAGCGTTCAGACATGTCTCATTGGTGAACTGGTTCGTGCAAAGAGTTTTGTGGCTGCGCACTGAAAGTCAATGTTAAATGGCATTGGATAGTATTATAGCTAAACAACATGCTTATTTTAAGACTGACTGACTGACTGAGTTTTACGCCGCTTTTAGCAATATTCCAGCTATTCCAGAGAGAGAGAGTCTCAAACTTAATCCAGAATCTCTTCGGATGAAATTCTATATATCATAAAAAATCACTCTTCATTACTTTTCAATGAAAAGTGTACATCTCTAAACACGGTTCTGCCATTATACTTGCAGTGCAGCGATGTCATAGTATTGTGACATGTTTGGTTGAAACTGAGCATAACTGATTTGCTACATCGGTTTTGCATAGCTCCATAAACATATTGACGTCAGATGTTATAAATAGATGCGCAATATTAACAATATTAGCCTCACAGACACAAAAACGAAATAATAATATTAATACGAAATCAATAACATCGTTTCACAAATCCCGCCCATTCTTATTTCAACCAATCAAAAGTAGTCAGTAAGTTGGCGTGGCCGTATTGCTTTCCGGTTTGTGTTTTCCAAAACAAATCGCTTTCATAAAGTGAGTGAGTGAGTTGGGTTTTTACGCCGCTTTTAACAAGTTTCCAGGAATGGGCTTCACACATTGTACCCATGTGGGGAATCGAGCCCGGGTCTTCAGCGTGACGAGCGAACGCTTTAACCACTAGGCTACCCCACCGCTGTACCCAATGCGGAGGGTAATTTCATGTCCCCAACTTGCGCTACATGCGCGTTATGGGATAAAAAAGGCCAAAAGGTAAAACCTCCTTGACTAGGACATAATGAATACAACACATATGACCATTTATGTAACAATACTATGAAGAATAAAATGATTTCCTTGGATACTGTCACATATAGATTATGATATCAAGTATCGCTATACATGTATATTACACAATTATCGGCTTTACTTTGATGTTAAACGACCGAAAAGATCAGATATCAATTAAGTTAGAAATGAGGTTTCGTCAGAAATATTGCAATAGCTTAGTTGTTTTAAAAAACAATAAGTAATGTTTCTAAAAAAATGGATTTCTGTCGCCAAAACAATAAACAACAATAAAGCTGTATTTTACAGATTCCGTTAATCTTTTACAAATTGCGTTAAAAATTGTTTTTACATTTTGCGTTAGGTGTTTACATATTGCGTTAAAGACATTTTTTATATTTGGCGTTAATCTTTTACATATTGCGTTATATTTTACGTTTTGCGCTAAGTTTTTACATATTGCGTTAGTTTTTACATATTGTCTTGATTTTACATCTTGGTGTTGTACCACCGCCCCTGCTTTGATACAGACCATGCAAGTATAATGTTCTCTACAACGTAAGGGATTGCACCGCTCTGTGACGTTTTAAGTATAGCATAGATACACACCGCTGTGGGTTTAACTACAAGTGATTCCAATCAAAAGCAGTATATATATACTCTCCAAAAAAAGAAACGCATAGGTGATGTTAATGTATGAAAGTCCAAGTATTTTTCAAAATTATATTGAAGACAACGCCCAACTGGATACGGACGTCTTCACTTCTTGAACTTTTCACAAACAATACATGTTAACAGACATTTGATCTTTTATACATGTACTTTGTTGCAGCTGTTCCAGAATTTTTGCGTTATATGCCTTTAAAGTTAGCAGATTAAGCATTTCTTTTTTGGGAGAGTATATACACTACATACAGCTATGATGTATTAATCCATTCTTTATTCAACGTGATTATTTTAACTGATCAAAATATGCTGAAATAGAGATGTAAAAATTTGGAAAGGTTTACGACAATCGGGCGGGCGATGGGCAACTGGGCGACATGACCATCTGTGAACAGAAGGGTACTCGTCTCACCCGGAATCACAATAGGGGTAACTCAAGAAGGGAGGTGTTTAATGTGTAGCACCCGCAAGACGACATGGGGACAAAAGCATCGTCACGTGACAGCATTATAAAGAGGGAAAGGGGGGAACCAAATATTCTTTATACAGAGAAGGTTGAAATAATATAATGCCATATCTTTAGGTCAAATCAACCCTCTTTCGGTCAAACACTAAATGGCCTGACGAGCCCGTGTGCAAAATACGCATTATGCTGGAAAGCGCACGTTAAATCGCCAAATCATCACCATAATCAATAATACGCATGGCTATAAGAACATTGCTGGAATTAGTGAGTGAGTATGGTTTTACGTCGCCTTTCCAACAAAATCACGGCGGGGACACCAGAAATGAACTATACAAATTGCACCCATGTGGGGAATCGAACCCGGGTCTTCGATGCGACAAGCGAACGCATTAACCACTAGGCTACGCTTCCCTATTAAAATATACAGTGGGCTGGGGTAGGGTGAGTGACGAAAGGCGGATGGAGAGGGCAGTAGGGCTATGGTATCAATTCAGGTTAAGGGGGTAATACATTTAATTTTTTTTAATTTCGATTTTGACAGTACTGTTGGTGATTAAATATTGATATCAAGATATTTAAATTCCGTAAAGGTGTTGAAGTAATGCATGGATGACAATTCATGCTCTGGGTTTAAGATTCAAACACCACTCCGAATGTTTGGTTGGGAATGTTTACACTGTAGACCAACTTGTCGAACACGGGCCGGGGGAAGTGTGTTACCCTACTGTTGAACCGATAGAAAAATCCAAAACAACGTTTATCAACAATTATATATTTCCATGAATCTTTGGAAACGGACGTATGTCTTGGCATACATTTAGGAGATCAGCGACTTTAAGAAAAATGACCAAATTAAGGAGTGTAATGCACCCATCTCTTGTATGGTCATATTACGGCTTATTGGGAAGCTAGTTGTAGCTACTTTAACATAGGCCATGGTGTGGTGGATAAATATGGTCCATTTTTTTAAAATGTTATGTCATGTGACCCAACTAAGGCCAAAATAAAAAATAATTACAACGTTTTATGTAAATACATTGTATACTGAGGGGAACAAATATGGGAGCACGACTTCATGACAGTGTTCCTTTAATTATTCTCAGATTTTCTCCCAGCGCTATTCAAAGCTGGTAATGAATACATGATTAAAGGACTTTCCTGTGTTCCTTTATTTGTTTCTCTCAGTATATGTATGCTATATTTTCTGGTTACGTTTCCATCATCAATGGTGTTCAGGCATATTTTGATTTGTTCTTAAAGGCAGTGCGCTTTACAAATTCGATTCCAATAAAATATGAAAGACATTTGCTGTTAGAGATTTTTTCACATTCCGCACATTCACTTAAGTTCTTGAGTTACCACAGTGATGTGTGTTCTGTAGATTGTGATCAATAGCAAAATGTATCTCCAGCGAGAGACTTTCAAAACCTGCTTTGCAAGTTGTCTCTGTTAATCATTCAAGGACGTCTGAGGGGCAGTTGTACGAAACGAGAAACTGAAAAGGCACGAGGGTGATGTTGGTTACTGGAGGCTTATAATTACGTAAAGTTAGTCAGCCGTATCTGTATCGGGTATCCCACCGCGAGGATATCAGATCCTATTATCCTCCTTGTTCACCTTGTCATTCTTCACGAAGCCATTGCTGAATATGTGTTTGTCCACGTTGTGAAAGCCTCAATGATACTGATGTTCAGCTGAAGGCTCGTCTTGAATGTCATCTTTTATGATGGATCCAGTATCCCCAAATGAAATGAGTCCTTTTCAGAGTTTGAGGACGAGCGCACCTGTCCTGCTTTGACCCGAAGTCGGTTTTCGCGTATCAAGTGCAACGGTCTGCAACGTTGACGGATACATCAGGCCATGGACAATGCAGCTGTATTTGCATAATCTGTTTAGCTTTACGGTGTGGGGGGCTCGACACTTTTCGCAGGGACAGGAATGTGACGCTGTATCACGTGTTTGGGATAAACTGACCCAATGTGGTCAAGCGTGAGTGGCGTTTTTGCCCTTTTGCAAATAAAACGGATGTTCCACATAAAAGCGAAAAGGGATTTTTGAAAAGGAATAGATGAATGAAATTTCAAAGTTGTTTTGAAATATACATGACATTTTAACCTACTGTCTCATATGCTGAGATAACGGGATAAAACAAGTAAAAATGATAATAACAATAATATTAATAATAACAATGGGCCTAGATTTTCGAAGCTCTCTTAGCGCTAAGATAGTTGAAAGTGCCATACTTTAACATTAACTTACGACTATCTTAGCGCTAAGACAGCTTCGAAAATCTAGGCCCTGGATTTCTATGGAGCCAACTCAGCTTAGTGTTACATTACGGCTGTGGCAAGGTATCTCAATGGGTAAGCATTATGAAATCAAAACCGGCCAGCACGCACGTGCATACACACGCGTGTGCGTCGTTACATAACTCCGATATTGTCGTAGAAATCTCGAACATGATGTCAGGACTCCATTTCAAATGTTCACTTTGGATACTTCAAGCTATTAAAAAGTAACAGACATTTCTACCTACGAATAGCTTAAAGTTGGAGATGTGGTTTTATTTAAATATGCATTCACCTCTCACCTTTTTGAGGCGACAGCCGAAGCTGTTTAATATTCACTAAACAATTATAAGTCTTTAAATACTTAAACGTTCGAGCTTTTAGCTAAAGCCCTTACTATATCAACACAGCCATGACCTTAACACACTCTTGAAAAATGGTTACGTAAGCTGAAAATCACCTATTAAACAAAACCAGTAAATGATGACAAAACATACTCAACAGAATACAGTAGCGTATATTGCATACGGGACATGAGCACCGAAAGGGGTGAGATTATGGTTACCTTGCGACAGTGCGGCCAGAAAGGAGACGAGCAAGACGAATCTGGAACTCGAAGTCGCCATGTTATCTGTAGCTCACGTCGGGTGGGAATGTATCAGGCACTCGCTTCACTGGTCACCAAACGCGTTTTGTAAGGGCGGGTCGGGTTGAAGGGGTGGTATCAAAACTCACAGAGCCAATATATGGGCATCAACATTCCTGTGTATTCTATACTATTCATGCATAACTTTAAGGCTCGTGTGGGTATTTACCATTGCCTTGCATCGGGCGTATCGAGAAGTCTTCTTTTCTTTAGTTGTAATGTTTTCAGTGAAACAGTTAAGATTAATTGCTCATGAAAGTGGGCAGCGTATCCCCTTCGTTATGAAACAGCCTATTTTTTTATTTGCACGAACCTTAACTGATTTTATTCAGTTACAGACTGTCAATATAATTTTTAAGTTTCTTTCGTTTTCGAACTGACAATCAGTAAGGCAACGAGTGATTCAGATGGTGCTTTAAGTGGTAATCAGCAATAGTCCAGTTACATAAGATCCTTCTGTCAATAACAGAATCCGGACAAGACCAAAACGTGCTGTACCTATTGACATGAGAGAAATGACTCAGTCTGGACCAATATTTAAAGTTTACTATTGTCCGTTTGCCTCAGCCAGGTGTACGAGAAGCACGTGCACAAGTGCCGACAAAGTTATAGATTCATCAACCTGTGCTGCGCCGTCTTCATCGTTTCTCGCACACCTGGCTGTCCCTTTCTCTGCACTCCTCCCTCGTAACAAACAGTGAACTGTGTAAATAGTTTAATGATAGTTTGTTAAACAACATTTTTTTAATTTTAAGGAATAAATTCTGCAAAAAAATCACAGAGTTGGTCTGATGTTTTGATTATAATCAGTGTTTCATTGAGTATTATATGGTGATCAGTTTTCGAGTTAGATTGCAATTCATCGGTCCGCTTTTGAGGCAAACGGACTATACATACGACACATTAAGGTGTAACGAAAGATTGTACATATTGTGAAGTGAAGGAATATTTCAAACTGAAGGACCGGGATTCAATGTCTTTACATGCTGTGGGTTAAAGTGGAAACGATCTTCGGGCATAATCCACGACCAAAATTTCTTCTTGTGCTTGTCAGACAAGCAAATTTAAGGCGTAATACCTTTAGCTGTATTTACGGGCATACCTAGTCTCTCACAGTTCCCGAACCATTATTTAATTATTTTCCCTTCCACCCAGTCCCAAAATCTAAATGAAGCAAGTCTTGATTTTCCCCAGGTTCTGATGCCTCAAGGCTCCCACTCCTCACTGGGGCTCCTTTAGCCCTTTAACATTTAAAATTATATTGATTGAGACTCAGCGTTAGTCTAGAGTATACCTGGTATTATCACATGGGAAATTACACGTATCACTTATTCGTCTGCATACAAGCAACTGGTTAGCCATTTACTGTCACGATCTTATACGGTGTGTAATTACATATGTCATCACCTGCAAGTTCATGTCGGTGTTTGAAAATGTCATACATTGGTATGTATTGCTGTAAAGTGACCGAGTGAGTGAGTATGGTTTAACATCGCTTTTAGCAACATTCCAGCAATATCACGGCGGGGAACACCAGAAATGGGCTTCACACATTGTACCCATGGGAGAAATCGAACCCAGGAAATCGAACCCAGGTCTTAGGCGTGCCGAGCGAACGCTTTAACCACTGGGCTACCCCCATCGCAAAGAGATTGTCAATCTGATATTACGTCGTTTGCTTTGCAACATGTATCGTGACTCCCATAGCATATATCTTGTGTGAATGACACCCCGTCTATGGTGTTTGGGTGAGGGGGTTGGGAGGGTGGGGGCGTGCGTATGCGCGTGCTTGTATGGTGTGCAGTAATGATTCTGCTATGTATACATCGTTATGTGTCGTACACACATTACAGTGATGTCAGTACGTTCTTTAAAGCTCAACAAATGAAATGAGGTATCGTTTCACAGACTAAACATGTACTAAACACAACATCCCCCAATAATAGAAGCGGTTGACAATCCTATTGCGTTGAAGTTCAGGGAGATATCCCTTCTTAATTGTGTTAGGAAATCAAGTGACCGAACAATTATACAATTATCATCGTGTGTGTGTGTGTGTGTGTGTGTGTGTGTGTGCATATATACTCCCAGTACATATACAGAGTTACTTCGAAGATGAATTTCTCCACTAACTTGGGGGAACTAACTGCAAACTTTATGCAGATGAATTGCATGAGGATCATGCATCAAATTGCTGAAAGCATGTGCAAATATCGTGCATGTGAAGAGAGACCATATAATAGATCATAATATATAATATTAAATGGTCTCTGATGTGAACAGCTGCGTTTTGGTGTAAAATTTTGGTCAGAATTCGCCAATTTTCACTCAGTTTCATCATTTATTTAACTCATGACAATAATCTTTTCAAGGTCACGAATTTGTTTTACAACACATCAGTTCATGTGTAAACAGTACCTTTAAACTGAATGGAAGTTTTGTAAAATCTAGTTCAGAACAGTTGACTGAAGTAAGTGGCTACATTTACACTAGTGAGTCTAAACTTTTGATGGGTAGTATATATGCACCATTAAGCAATAGTGACTACATTTGTATGGTATATTGCTGTATAATGCTTTGGCCTTTGTGACATAAACGGATCGTTTATTACCTGGAAAGCTATGGTATAAAAGGGCCATTGCTAGAATGGCGTTTACGTTACATAAATAGTCGTAATCAGTGTGTTTCTAACTGCAGCTAAGACACCTACAGCGTGGAATCCCCCAAGGGTCAGCCTTAGGCCCTTCTCTTTTTATTGTTAATGACATAGTAGTTAACGTTCGTCCTACTACAAGACTATTTGCAGATGAAATATCACATGGGGCTTCTTCGCGATGTAGTGCAATGATTCCGAATCCCAGATTTGGTTTTATTACATAAATGGGCCAAGCGTTGTTTGATATTATACAATCCTGATTGAACGAAAGCTATTTTAATCGCACTGAAGAAAGGAACATATATATCACAGCATAACATCTTCCATCTTCCGAAGATATCATGCACTCTGACCTAACCCCCAACAAGACTAAATGGTCGCAGGATTTCCCCAATATCTAGTTACATTAGTTTTGAATGATCTATGTATTATTGTATTTATTTTCGTATTAATCTCTATGACAAAGATAACATAACATTATTACATACATACCGAACTAGGACATAAGTTTTGTCATTTATATCCTGATGTATGTAGAGTAGGAATTGAAGACACAACAGACTATTTGTAAAACAGTAAAAACATAAATTCAATTACAAATGTACATGTTTAAAAGAGTTATTCAATGTAGATAGAAACACGTCCCTCATAAATGAGTAGTACAGTCGAAAATACATCAACTCAGTTTGATATGGAATGGGCTTTTACTAGAATGAGTAATATAAATAATCAATAATGTAGGGATTTATGTATGAAATACAAAGAGACTTTCCAAACTATGAAGTGGGTTTCACACAATGCATCCATGTGGTCAATGGAAAGGATGTTGTGAGTGTACCTTTACCGACTAGATTGACCCCATCGCTAGAGCATGTATATCTGCAGTTCTCTAGAACTGTTGCAGCTGTTTGTAAAGCTCTACAGCTTTCCCAGTTGTTTCAGGGACTCCATATTGTCATCATGACAGGTAAGTCATCAATGTCATGATTCAGAAAAGGCATAATTTTCTGCAAAATATGCATCAGTCGATAACAGTATCATATCACACACATCATCAGATTATCAGGAGTTTATTCACAAATGTCCAACAATCTTAACCATGGAAACATAAATAAATACTTTTTGTACACGTAGTCTGAGACGTTCACATTTTTAAGTATATTATAGTAAAAGCGAATTAATGCAAGAGGTTAACAGAGGGAGAGATAAAAATGTGGTGATCACCTTATACAAATTAAATTTAAGTTAAATAATAATGTTAATAAAACACATATACCTTTGTAACTATTTTTCAGGTGATATTTAAGAAATACAGTTCGCTCTACCACCATGTATAGTGTAATAAAGCACACTTTTGCCCTGAACTATTATAGTTAAAGCACGAGGACCAATCTCATTCAAGCCTTTTACTGGATCATGACATGTCTCTCTGTGAAAATCTAAGTTCACGTCCATAAGAGGTCAGTCAAATTAGGTGAACTTTCTATTCAACCAGTTATTGCTAAAGCTTCTAAATTTCTTGGCAAGAGCAAGCCAGGCATTTATACCAGCATGGTTAATTTGTATATCATGACAATGAAGGTGATTGGTGTGGTTGGTTGTTTGTTTAACGCCACACTCAGCAATATTCCAGCTATATGGCAGTAGTCTGCAAATAATCGAGTCTGGACCAGACAATCCAGTGATCAACAGCAAGAGCATCGATCTACACAATTGGGATACGATGACATGTGTCAACCAAGTCCGGGAGCCTGACCACCCGATCCCGTTAGTCGCCCCTTACAACAAACATTGGTTACTAAAGACCAGTTCTAACCCGGATCTTGGGATCGGGTGGTCAGGCTCCCTGACTTGGATGACACATTTCATCGATCCAAATTGTGTAGAACGATGCTCATGTTGTTGATCACTGGATTGTCTGGTCCTGACTCGATTATTTCCATATTGCTGGAAGTTGCTGAGTGTGGTGTTACCATCCAACCAACTAGAAATACACTCAGACATGGCAGCCAAAGTTCAGGGAGGCTTCATCTAAAGCAATCTTTTAAGATGGTGTCCTGAGATCTTCACACAGACAGGTTCATAACTGAAGCAGAATATCTCATTTTTAGTCAGATTGAGAAAAAACAAACACAACACACACCAAACTCGACTTCATGAGAATCTATGTAATCTTTACTTTATTGGTCTTTTTTCGTTTCTTATCGAAATCCTCCAGAATGACATCAAGAATCTGATGCTTGTTGTCCCACATAAGACTGACAATGACATCATCAAGGTCCTCGCCTCCGCTGAGGAAGACGTCAATGTTGTGGCAGTTCTCCCCGAGTCTGTGGTCAGTCACTCTGTCCTGTGGGAAGTTATAGGTGCGGATCTTCTCGGACCGTCCACCCGGTACCGATCTGCAGCTTCCTGGAAGCATTGGTCTCCGCCATCTGGGCTGTCAGCTGCTGCTGGTATATTCTGGAACAGACATGGTTCTTTCAATTTTCTGAACAAACAGAATCAAACAAACTTTGCTGCCTTCACCAACCAGGAATATTGGATAGATTCAGAAAGGGACATTTATGCAGCCCTTGAAAACATTTAACACTAGTCCAATAGACTATGGAAAACATTATTTCATAATTCCTCAGAGCTAGTTCTGCTTGAAAGACACAAAAGAGTTAGCTATGTTTTAGAGGTTCTGTTTTATATGCACCAAAAGTGATTCATTAAGTGAGTGAGTGAGTGTAGTTTTACACCGCTTTTAGCAATATTCCAGCAATATCATGGCGGGTGACACCAGAAATGGGCTTCACACATTGTACACATGTGGGGAACTAAACCTTGGTCTTCGACGTGACCAGCACAATATAACCTCTAGGGAACTGCACCGATCCGAATCATTAAGTGGTTCAGAATTGAACCCCTAAAATGCTTCTAGTTAATGAAGACTGTCATCCTTGGTTTTAACTTGCCCTCAGTACAGCTTAGGTCTGTGGGTCAGTTCTTGATTTGGTGTGAATTTCCAAGGCTGTTGATGTGTTTCCTAGTTTATCAGGCAGATTTTCAACAAAACATTCACTGACCTTGACCTAATGAGCTGCAATGCAATCTCTCGGTTTCGAATCTGTGACCTCTCAGATTGACATTCAGCAACAGTTTCTGAAAGAACAAGCACACTCCTGGAGTGAGTGAGTGAGTTTAGTTTTACGCCACACTCAGCAATATTCCAGCAATATGGCAGCAGTCTGTAAATAATCAAGTCTGGACCAGACAATCCAGTGATGAACAGCATGAGCATTGACCTGCGCAATTGGGAACCGATGACATTTGTCAACCACGTCAGCTAGCCTGACCACCCGATCCCGTTAGTCGCCTCTTACAACAAGCATGGGTTACTGAAGGTCAATTCTAACCCCGGACCTTCACAGGTAACACACTCCTGGAAGACAGTTGATGCTGATGTGGTGTATTTGCAATTATCCCCTTATAACAGTGAGTGAGTGAGTTTAGTTTTACGCCGCTTTTAGGAATATTCCAGAAATTTGGTTCACACATTGTACCCATGTGGGGAAACGAACCCAGGTCTTCTTCTTGACAAGTGAACATTTTAACCACTAGGCTACCCCACCGCCCCGCTCGTATAACAGAAGCACACACAGTCATGGTGCCATTCTAACAATACAATGTTTACCCAATGGACTGACTGACAGAGTTTGGTTTTACGCCGCTTTTAGCAATATTCCAGCAAAATCACGGCGGGGGACACCAGAATTGGGCTTCACACATTGTACCCATGTGGGGATTCGAACCTGGGTCTTCAGTGTGACGAGCCAACGCTTTAACCACTAGGCTACCCCACCGCCCTCGGTGTGACGAGCCAACGCTTTAACCACTAGGCTACCCCACCGCCCTTACCCAATGGAGATGATGCAGTTGATGCTGTTGACTTACTGGTTGGAGTGTGCGTGATGCGGACAGCGCTGTCAGTGTTGTTCACGTGCTGGCCCCCGCTTCCACTCGCACGGAATGTCTCCACATGAAGGTCCTTTGCATGGATCACAACATCGATCTGGACGAGAAATTTATATCTTTTACAACATTACATGACATTAACTACTCCAATACTGCTCATCTCTGATCTCATAACTGTGAACTGATTTCATACAGGTGAATTGGAAAATACACAGGTCACAAATCAGGTGAAGTTAAGCATCTTTAATCACAGAAAATAGCTGTTTTTTGTTTATTCTTTTGTTTGTTGTTTAGCGTCGCACTCAGCAATATTCCAGCTATATGGTGGCAGTCTGTAAATAATCGAGTGATCACAATCCAGTGATCAGCACCTTGAGCATTGACCTGCTCAGTTGCAATATGACTTGTGTCAACCAGCGAGTCTGACCACCCAATCCTGTAGTGCCTCTTATGACAAGCATGGGTTGCTGAAGAACAATTCTAACCCAGATCTTCAAAGATATGATTGTGTTCGGCAGCTTGACTCCTGATAGTGTCCAGAAATTTTCATGCTTTGACCATGCACTGAGAATATAGTGCCTAGCACTATAAAATTACATATATTACTATTATTCTAAAAAGCCATGATTGACAGAGAGGAACATGATTAAATCTATAAATCTGCAACCCAGATGCAGAATACAAACAATACACACCAGCGTTTGTATATATGATGCAATTGCCTTCTGCAGACCCAAGAAGATCTGGATTAGAATTGGTCTTCAGTAGCCCATGCTTGTCGTAAGAGGCGACTAACAGGATCGGGTGGTCAGGCTCACTGACCTGGTTGACACATTGTCATCTTATACCAATTTTGTAGATCAAAGTTCCTGTTGTTGATCACTGGATTGTTCGGTCCAGACTTGATTATTTACAGACTGCCGCTATATATTGCTGAGTGTGTCTTTAAACAACAAACTAGCTATTACTCCAAATAACCATGACTCACTGACAGGATCATAATACTGCAACCCAGATGCAGGAATACGAACAATATCAACAGACGCCAGGGTTTGTATATACGATGCAATTGTATTCTGCAAATCATGAGTCGATTCCCCCGTACCTCATCAGGTTGTGGCAATATGGCGACGGTCATGGTGCTGGTGTGGACTCTGCCAGACTTTTCGGTCCGTGGGACTCTCTGAACCCGGTGTACGCCGCCCTCAAACTTCAGGTATTTGAATACATCCGTCCCCTCTATGGCAGCAGAGGCTCGTCTCAAACCCCCTGGATTGACAAGGCAAAGAAAAGGCATTTGGTCAAATAAAGAAGATAACGACAGGAACAATTTTCATCAAACAAGCAAGCAGGAGGCCCAAGTCAAGTTGTAAAGAGATGTGATGTGTTTTTTCAAGCAAACGGATAGTTAACAAATCTTTATTTCTGTTTTTATAACATTTTGTGAAAAATCCTGGCAGTTCACGATATGGGGTATTTGATTTAACTGGCATCAGGTACATGTTGACATTAAAACCTATTTACACAAGACAAAACCTAATTACACAAGACAAATCCTAGTTGCACAAGACAAAACCTAATTACACAAGACAAAACCTAATTACACAAGACAAATCCTAGTTGCACACAAAAGACAAAACCTAATTACACAAGACAAAACCTAATTACACAAGACAAAACCTAATTACACAAGACAAAACCCTAATTGCACAAGACAAAACCTAGTTACACAAGACAAGACAAAACCCTAGTTACACAAGACAAAACCCTAATTACACAAGACAAAACCCTAGTTGCACAAGACAAAACCTAGTTGCACAAGACAAAACCTAATTACACAAGACAAAACCCTAGTTGCACAAGACACCTAATTACACAAGACAAACCTAGTTGCACAAGACAAAACCTAATTACACAAGACAAAACCCTAGTTACACAAGACAAAACCCTAATTACACAAGATACAAACCCTAATTACACAAGACAAAACCTAATTACACAAGACAAAACCTAGTTGCACAAGACAAGAAAACCTAATTACACAAGACAAAACCCTAGTTGCACAAGACAAAACCTAATTACACAAGACCAAAACCTACACAAGACAAAACCTAATTACACAAGACAAACCCTAGTTGCACAAGACAAAACCTAATTACACAAGACAAACCCTAGTTGCCAAGACAAAAGTTTACTAACAAGACAAAACCTAATTAACCTACAAGACAAAACCTAATTGCACAAGACAAAACCTAATTGCACAAGACAAAAACCTAATTACACAAGACAAAAACACAAAGGCACAATTACAAAGAAAAGACAAAACCTAGTTACACAAGACAAAACCTAATTACACAAGACAAAACCTAATTACACACAAGACAAAACCTAGTTTGCACAAGACAAAACCTAGTTACACAAGACAAAACCTAATTGCACAAGACAAAACCTAATTACACAAGACAAAAACTAATTACACAAGACAAAACCTAGTTGCACAAGACAAAACCTAATTACACAAGACAAAACCTAGTTGCACAAGACAAAACCTAATTACACAAGACAAAACCTAGTTGCACAAGACAAAACCTAATTACACAAGACAAAACCTAATTACACAAGACAAAACCTAATTACACAAGACAAAACCTAATTACACAAGACAAAACCTAGTTGCACAAGACAAAACCTAATTACACAAGACAAAACCTAGTTGCACAAGACAAAACCTAATTACACAAGACAAAACCTAATTACACAAGACAAACCCTAGTTGCACAAGACAAAACCTAATTACACAAGACAAAACCTAGTTGCACAAGACAAAACCTAATTACACAAGACAAAAACCCTAGTTGCACAAGACAAACCCTAATTGCACAAGACAAAACCTAATTACACAAGACAAAACCTAGACAAAACCTAGTTGCACAAAGACAAAAAACCTAATTGCACTGAGACAAAACCCTAATTACACAAGACAAAACCTAATTACACAAGACCCAAAACCCTAGTTGCACAAGACAAAACCCTAGTTGCACAAGACAAAACCTAATTACACTAAGTTGCAAAACAAAACCTAATTACACAAGACAAAACCTAGTTGCACAGAGACAAAACCTAATTACACAAGACAAAACCTAGTTGCACAAGAGACCTAAAACCTAATTACACAAGACAAAACCCTAATTACACAAGACAATTACACAAGACAAAACCTAATTACACAAGACAAACCCTAGTTGCACAAGACAAAACCTAATTACACAAGACAAAACCTAGTTGCACAAGACAAAACCTAATTACACAAGACAAAACCCTAGTTGCACAAGACAAAACCTAATTACACAAGACAAACCCTAGTTAAACCTAGTTGCACAAGACAAAACCTAATTACACAAGACAAAACCTAGTTGCACAAGACAAAACCTAATTACACAAGACAAAACCTAGTTGCACAAGACAAAACCTAATTACACAAGACAAACCCTAGTTGCACAAGACAAAACCTAATTACACAAGACAAAACCTAGTTGCACAAGACAAAACCTAATTACCAAAACCCTAGTTGCACAAGACAAAACCTAATTACACAAGACAAAACCTAGTTGCAAAAGACAAAACCTAATTACACAAGACAAACCCTAGTTGCAAAGACAAACCCTAGTTGCACAAGACAAAACCTAATTACACAAGACAAAACCCTAGTTGCACAAGACAAAACCTAATTACACAAGACAAAACCTAGTTGCACAAGACAAAACCTAGTTGCACAAGACAAAACCTAATTGCACAAGACAAAACCTAATTGCACAAGACAAAACCTAGTTGCACAAGACCAGGTTGCACACTGGTCCCATGAATTTATCTCAATAAATACAATCACCAATGGCCGTCTCATGATGTCTAATACAGTGAGTTAACTTCAGGGACAGATGAAGCTATAGCACTGAACACGATGTTGAAGTATGCACAGTTTAATGAAATCATGCTCAGGAGAGCATGACAAATGCCTCCTAAATGCTGGTGGTGTAGTGTGGAAAATACTGCTTAGAGGTACATGTATTGACTGCATGCTGAGGTCAGTGAAGTGGGGACCATTAAGAGTAAGGCAAAGCCAAAACCTGTAATTTATGCATGGTGTATCTAGACATAAATATTTGGCTGCATTTGTCAGTCATAGGTTGCACTGGAGCATGTATGTATAGTTAAATCAGTGAGTGAGTGAGTATGGTTTTACTCCGCTTTTAGCAATATTCCAGCAACATCACGCTGGGGGACACCGAAAATGGGCTTCAAATCTATTTTACTAATGGTGGCGCATGGTCCTGTGCACAGTGCTCAGGTCACAAATCAGTTGAAGTTAAGCAACATCGAACTCGGACAATCCTTGGATGGGTGACCGTGTTTTGCAGCTTGACTCCTGAGAGTTTCTAGGATTTCAGTCCTGCCCCACAACGAAGCACATGTGATGCATGTGGTCTCACCTTAGGCAAGTCAGTTTGTTCAAATTGCCTCTGTTCACCCAGCAGAAAATGGGTACCCGGTTGGAAAATGTCATGTGACTATAACCTTCTAGCGCTTAACAGGCTGCTTGGGTTATCCGGGGTAATAAGAATCAGACTCTGATTAAGCGCCGCGAGCAATCACTGGGTGTTTGGAGACTGTGCGCTATAGAAGATGACTTATTATTTTTATTATGTATGAACTGAAGGTATTATTAACCTGATAGGGGAATAAATATATCCTTGAATAACGAGTAGGATATTGTGGTTTTACCTATTTCACTGCGTTCATAGTCGATTATTTGGAAGGCCCAGCCCTTGAATTGTGCATAGTTCTCATACATGCTGAACATCTCGCCGGTGAACAACATGGCTTCCTGACCCCCGACCCCAGCTGACACCTCCAGTATGATGTCGTTTTTGTCCACACTTGATTCGCCAGCCAACATCAAAAGAAGCTGTAATAGGAAGGGAGATAACTCCATGAACACCACTGGACTGTTTCACAACTGACTGACTGAGTTTGGTTTTACGCCGCTTTTAGCAATATTCCAGCAACATCACGGCGGGGGACACCAGGAATGGGCGTCACACATTGTACCCATGTGAGGATTCGAACCCGGGTCTTCGGCGTGACGAGCCAACGCTTTAACCATTAGGCTACCCCACCGCCCCACTGTTTCACAAAGTGAGTGGATGAGTTTAGTGTTATGCCGCTTTTAGCAATATTCCAGCAATATCACGGCTGTTGTCACCAGAAATGGGCTTCACACATTGTGCCCATGTCGGGAATCGAACACAGGTCTTCGGCGTGAAGAGCAAATGCTTTAACCACCAGGCTATCCCATGTCACAAAGTCCTAACAGCAATGGCAAAAATGTAAGCAGGCCTCAAGCTGTGTACTAGTTTGTTCATTGGAAGATCCAGGTACGGTGTGTGAACCTCCTACTCTTTGTCAAACACTTCACATAATAACTGCTCTCTCGGCTGTAACCACATGTTTTATTTGCTTGCATACATATACGCATCATAAATCTATATTATTCAACTTGCGTACCTGTATTTCTATAGAGATCTGATTCAAGCATGCAGACATTTTTATGTCTCACAAAATCATTTACAGCAATTCTGAATTGATTTGGAGTGGGTTTATCATGTTCATTGCCATTTTTAACAGTAGTAATTGTGTCATCTTCAGGCATGAAGGAAGTGGTGAATGTCCAAGACTTTTACCACCTTCATGACCCTTCATGTACCCATCCGATTCCACCACATGGGTACAATGTGTGAAGCCCATTTCGGGTGTCCTTCGCCTTGATATTGTTGGAATATTGCTAAAAGCGGCTTAAAACCCAACTCACTCACTCAAGCATGAAAACGATATACTAGTAAGTACTAGTATCTATACCAAAACGTTGCTATTGTACAATAAAGAAGTTGATCATCCAAAAAGACTTGTCATTCCTATCTACCACAGCTGTTGTCATGGTTACCATACCCCATTCTCCTTATCCTTAATATCTTCAAGAAGCTCATGCTTCTCTCTTGTTGCCATGGCAACCATCTCGGTATCATCAGACCCTGTAAGTAAAAGTTTTGTTTTCAAAGGGAAGTTATGTGGTTGCATGTTCCAGAAAACTGTTAATCAGCTGCCTACTATAGGAACGAAACATTACGACTCCTCAATCAGACATATCCTAAACATTGAAAAGATTAAGGATTGTTGAATTTGAAATAAAATAAGAGGACTTCTTATACCACCAGCACATTGCATTTAGTCATATTTAGCAACATCAAACTATTTCCCATTTGGAAAACTAACTTTAATTTTTTTCATTTAACTCTTTCACAAACATTTGGATGGATCCCATACCCACCCCTAACACATGTACATTTTTGGGATGACGCTTTCTTCCAACCTTTCCCACTAATAAGTTATAAGTCCATAAACGATCAAGATTATCTTCATATTTATAATTTATTTACTTCAGTTCTGTTAAAACTGCTATTGTTAAAAAATGCTGTATTTTATTCTCTTTGCAACTAAACTGTACTTTAGTTTTTGTAGTAAAGGCCTGTGACCTTCAAGTACTGTGACCTTCAAGTACTGATTAATACATATCCAGTACTATCGAAAATGTTAGTTTCATGTGCAATATTGTCAGGTGCATGTTTCGCCCTACCTCTGTACCTGATAACAAGCTATCCAGTTCTGTCACCTCTGAATACTTCTGTTGAATGTCCCTGAATACTGACACAACAGGCGACAACTCCTGCAGACGTAGATTCTTGTCCTTAGAAGACTGGACATCTTGGCTGGCAAGAGCAGACGTCAGTTTGTCATACTCATTATCTAAACTAGCAAGATAGTCGTCAGTAGAGGTGGTTAGAGTTAATGCTGAATCTGTCTCTTTTTGATGCATATTTCCTCTTGTGGCTTACAATGTTTTCAACACTTTCATCTAAAATACACTTAGTTGACAACTGCTGTACATCTCGAGTAAGTGCATGGTAATGCCTTGCAAGAACTTGATCTACGTAGTTTGGTCCAAAGCAGTGCAAATTATTCTTGTCAGTATATACCATTCCGTCAGATGGCACAGAGAGTACATGTTTCACTTGACATATTGCCCGATATTGACAAAATGACATATTGCCATTGATGGAACAGATGGAATATTTTCTTGAACAAAGATTGTTCTGTTTTGTACAGCTTCTCTTTGGACTTTGTCTTCCTTGCCAACATAATGAGGAATACAGACGCTTAATAAAAGAAGTGGTTCCTTTGTTCAATGAGGCAGCCATTTTCAGCTTTCTTTTGCTTAATCAGGTGGATTCTTCTTGATGGAGATCTGAAACATATCATTTAACTAAGTAAAGTTTTATCATGAGTTAATACATGACCTAAACATGTGGGGGTCTGCAATTTTGTATGCATAAATACTAAAAAAATATTGCTAAAAAATATAGTAAGCGGGTTGGATGTCAGTGATTTTGTACATGGCGACGGTGAGTGTGTGGGGGTGGGGTGGGGGTGGGGGGGGTGGGGTGGGGTGTAGTCTCTTACATTGTACATGCTTCTCAAAAGAAAACATCATCACCCACCCACAGGCCCTCGTGTCTTTGCGAGGATTAATGATTTAAAAAATATTGTTTTTGAGATGACCCCTGACTCGAAATGCTTCACAGTACAATACATCATGACAAGGCCGGACACTTTGGTGCACCCCACCCGATTGCTTTGCCGATCGCTACGCTACCATCGCATACAATCGATTAAAACTTAATGGAAACATAATCATGGATGATTGGCCTATCGAGCACCACTCATGACACTAACCAATTCTTTATTGTTATTTCTGCTTGCTTCGACCACACACCCGTTTGTGTGGACATATCATCAGCCATTTGTGTCAAGATCGTTTAGTTGAGAGTCAAAATAGGGTTTCAATCGACTTGCAGAAATAACAATAAAGAATTGGTAGGTGTCATGAGTGGTGCTCGATAGGCCAATCACCCATGATTATGTTTACATTAAGTTTTAATCGATTGTATGCGTAGCGTAGCGATTGGCAAAGAAGTCGGGTAGGGTGCACCGAAGTGTCCGGCCTTGTCATAATGTATTATGCTGTGAAGCATTTCCAGTCGGGGTTATCTCAAATTTTTGTATATATTTTATAAAATCTTTAGTCCTCGCAAAGACACGAGGGCCTGTGCACCCACCCACCCATCCCCCACCCTAACCCCCCTAGCCATATTATGAACGGTCCCTTATCATAACTGACTTTCACAGACTGAAGATTATGATGTTAATCACTTGATCAGATGGTCCAAACTGCTGTCATACCGCTGGAATGTTTCTGATTGAGGCATTAAACAACAAACAAGTTACCATTTTAGTCACAGCAAGTGTCATTTTTTACAAATGATATGCAAACAAACACAATAACATATAATTCAAATATACATTCTTTCTACTGATTGTAAGTTTTCTGTAAAAAAATGGGAATGAAAATATTTTTAAAATAAAAAGCACGTTGCCACTGTAGTATGGAATTTAGGTCAAACTTCAAACAGATATTGCATAATAAATTGGGTAAGATTTTCACCCATTTCAGCCTGGTGTCATGCTGAACTGACCAAAAAAGACATGTCAGCTTACCGAATTCGCTGTCAAAAGAAACACGACAGCAGTACAAATACCATAACATGCCTCCAATCATGGGGGCAGCCATTTTGTTTTGCTTAAAAACCGGGTAAATAGATTTACGTCAAATCTCAAGAAACAGTGCAATACAACACAATACAATGTAAACACCTAAGGAAATAGCTTTGCTAACTGACTTGTTGTTCAAACACTACATTTCCATGTTAGGTTTAGATATATGAAAGTGAATTATTTGGAAAGTGACATAAAGATGTTCCCGGTTAAACCACGAATCTTTTCCGTATCCGGTTAGAAATGGCGTCAAAACGAAAATCCGAGAGTCAAGTACCGGCTGAAGAGAGCGAACAGCTCATTATTAGACCTCTGTTAGTTCTTACTTTTATGTCCATGTCTTAGGTTTGATGTAATAATGAAAGAAGAACAAAGATGTAAACGATAAATCATGATTTATAGATGCCACATCGTGAGCTGACCATGCGTCTTTGTGAACTTCATAAACATCACCATGATCATGGGCATGGGCGGCCATACCTTGTGCAGCCTTCTTCAAATGCTGTTTAGAATAACAGTGAACGAAACCAGAAGTGAACCCAAGAGAAAGGCTTGATTAATACCACACTTGAACAAGATTCGATAGATAATTTGCTTAATTTTTACCCCACATTGGGCTGTAGGTGAGGTCGTAAAAACTTGTGATACTTTGTAGATAAAATTCTTGGTGAACTCACTGACAAAATAAATATGGGCTTCTAATACTGATCTATTTGGTAGTACAGTAACCCCTATTCCACTCACCACTTTCTGGATGTACTTTCTGGAGTTTTTCTCGGAACTTGTTATTATCACATCTACTTGGTCATTATTGAAAATTGGGTTTGTAACTGGCAAACCTTGTAATTTAACAGAAATTTTTACTCTTTGAGAGACATTTAGAACATGTAGAGTGAGAGTGAACGAGTTCAAATGTATAGTCACATCGGCAATATTTCAGCCATATCATGACTAAAGAACATTTAGAAGTTGGAGCAGTAAGGAAGGATAACTATAGGGGTGAACAACATCTCTATTACAGTGAGAGTGACGTTTCGGTGTAGGTTCTAACACCATATTCAAGCAATTCATCATCACTTGCTTCATAACGGTGTTTGGGGCCGTGGGGTAGCTTAGTGGTTAAAGCGTTGGCTCGTCACGCCAAAGACCGGGTTCGAATCCCCACATGGGAAAAATGTGTGAAGCCCATTTCTGGTGTCCCCCGCCGTGACATTGCTGGAATAATGCTAAAAGCGGCGTAAAACTAAACTCAGTCAGTCAGTCATAACGGTGTTAGAAATGACACTGAAATATCATTCTCACTGTAACATGTGTAATAAAGAAGTTGTTCATCCATATATTGTTATCCTTCCGCAGTAATTGTTACGTCCAGATCATAGGGTCATGATACAAGATGATGCATTAGGACTGGAAATAACTAGCAATAAGATCCAAACCAATACGTGATATACATTGTATTATGTAAATTCGAGCCAGATTACCGGTAACTAACAATGGCTCGAAAACACCTGTCCACTTGCACTGAAACTAAAATTTGCAAATATTGTACTGAAGAAGTACAATACCTGTAATTCAGAACTTCCTTTTCAGAGGAGCTGGTCAAGAGGTTGGGCGATCATGTCACATCATGGAGTTCAAGGGAAAAACTATAATGGTAAATAGAAACTTACCTTTTAACTGTAGAGTTGTTTCCCTAACATCTTGCTAACAGCAGGGCAAAACTAACTAATGAGTGAGTGAGTTTAGTTTATAATCGAGTCTGGACCAGACAATCCAGTGATCAACAGCATGAGGATCGATCTACGCAATTGGGATACGATGATATGTGTCAACCAAGTCAGCGAGCCTGACCACCCGATCCCGTTAGTGGCCTCTTACGACAAACATGGGTTACTGAAGATCAGTTCTAACCTGGATCTTCACGGGATCTTTTCCAGTAACCCATAAATGTTAAAATGTGATTTAAATAGAACGGTTGGTCGGACTTGGTCACTCAGTTAATTTTTGTGTCATGGTACTTTGACAGTATGCACTATTGCTCACATGTATATATAGATCTATCTAACAGGCTGCAGTTTTCTTATATTACTTTGTGGTGTAAAGAGCAATGCATAAACAGAAATGCTGATCATAGTCTGGTGTAAAGTGATTCTTAATGCAAACTGATGATGTTTCTATAGACAAGACAGAGAATTTTAATAACACCGTCTGTGTCAATAATGTTTTATCTTGTTATCAGTGTTTGTTTAGTTATGCTTTGTCTTTCCATATAGGGACGGTGGGGTAGCCTAGTGGTTAAAGCGTTCACTTGTCACGCCAAAGACCCGGGTTCGATTCCCCACATGGGTACAATGTGTGAAGCCCATTTCTGGTGTTCCCCGCCGTGATATTGCTGGAATATTGCTAGAAACAGCGTAAAATTAAACTCTCTCTCACTCACTCACTCTTTCCATATATGAAGTGTGTGATCAGTTGTTTCATTCATCACTTTGTTCAAATTGGACAGTTTAGCATGAGAGTTGTGGTTTCAGCTGGACTGTGGGATCCACCCTGGAATGAACGGCTATGCGTCACTGCCGTTTCTTGACATGGTGGATGTGGAGGAAATAGACCTGCTCCTCATCAGTCAGTAAGTGTCAAGGTTGTGTCTGAATATATTTAGGCTACTCTGACCCATCGCCATCGAGACACAATGTTAAGGTTAAGGCCAGGCTGCTTTTTAAAACTTTTGTTTACATATCTGCCAACTCCCCAACACTGAAACATGTTTCTGTTTTGATGAAACAAAAAGTAGTAAAAATAAGTAAAGAAACCCAACTCACATGAACTAAGTCAGCGAGTCTGATCACCTGATCCCATCAGACACTTTTTAGGGACTGTTCATAATTTATGGCTAGTGAGGGTGATGATGATGTTGAGAGGGGGGTCACCCATTTTGTTCTTGGCAGGTAGGATGGTTATCACTTTGAGTCACTTACTTTGTACATAAATTTTATTGGGGGTCATAATACATTCATTGTACATGCTTCTCCGTAAAAATCCTCATTTTACTCATTGACTCCCCTTCATGTTCATTGAACATCTGTTGCTTTCCAGTTTCCACTTGGATCACTGTGGAGCCTTACCATACTTCCTGGAGAAGACAGGGTTCAAAGGTCGGTGCTTCATGACACATGCCTCAAAAGCCATATACCGATGGCTTCTATCAGATTATGTGAAAGTCAGGTATGTGTTGTTTTTACAGTTAATGAATGAGAAAATTATCTGAGATTATTGGAAATGTAATGAGACATCTTAAAGCCATTAATAACTTGTTTCTGAAACAGCAAGGACCTAGAGCTGCCTGAAAAAACGATAATTGGAATGGGGAAAATTACTTATGATTATTGATGTGAAAATTGTGTACATTGATGATATCTTGCGTAAACTATTGTGAATTAAAGCTTTACGTTACACACATAACACAAAGTTGCATCTTTCTTTATTTTGTTACTGCTTCTAAATTATGTTTAGAATCCTGTTTTGTTGGTAAACCATGCATAAGTCACAAGTGACATGAAATTTTTTTTTCTTTTGTTTTTTATTTGTTTACTCAAAGTTACTACTCCAGTATTTAAGATATACAGTTGGCTCTACCACCATGTATAGTGTAATAAAGCACACTTTCGCCCTGAACTATTATAGTTAAAGTACGGGGACGCTTGTATGAAATAAGGCCCATCCAACCGCCTGAGATGGGCTAGATTTCTGACGGACGATCTAACTTTACAGCTAGTCAGCCCGTTGGTCTGGTAAACATTTTAGATGTTCTATACATCTGAGTAAATTCACCATATTTGGTCTGGTTAAATCCATTTTAGGCTGGTAACATTTTGAAGTTTTAGTTCAGGGCGAAAGTGTGCTTTATTACATGGCGGTAGAGCGAAAACTGTATTTCTTTTCTAAGATGCCAAATTTAATACTTTTTAATGATAATTACGAATAATCTAAGGCAGAAAACAAACGACAGTGTCGGCGACCTAAATTAAGAATCCTCACACAGGGCTAACTGGCGCGCTGTTCTAATGATGTGTCTGCCCTCCTACGTTAAGACGAACGTTAACAGAAAAAACAAATGCTAAACATTTCGATGACATTTTACGTTCGGATTAAATACCTTCTCTAAATTATTTTAAGTACATCTGTGATTAACCTAAACCATATGGGGCTATATGAACGTCGCATTTCTACTACCAACGTAAGTTTAGATCAGTACATCCAGATGAAGCTGACTAGTCAAGCGACATTCCACGTTTGCATTGTGGGAATGTAAACATTGCAAACGTTACCGTGTCGCTGTAAAATTGTGAGTGAAACTGAGACATTTTATCCGTCGGAAAACATAAACGTAATGTTTCCACCAGTGATGTTAGCTGAGTGAAGCAACTGCAAACCAAGAAACTGGATGCAACAGAGTAGTTTACAGTAGGAGGCTGTACGAGGCGATGACAACTGACATGCATCGTGACGTCGGTTACATTGTGACGTAATGCAAAAGTGTTCGATCACGAGGGGGCAGACTAGAATGGCGCAGTGATGGCAACACATTGTGACGTAATGCAAAAAGGGCACATTATCGTCTGATAAAGTACAGTCGGCGCCTTTGACCTTTCACCGAAGCATCTTAGAATTGTCAATGATATAGTTAACGATTATTAATCTGTATGATCTATATTGACAGCCAGCCCTATGGTAAACACTACTTATTTGTGTTATGGAACAGAGTTGGTTGTGTTTATTCTTAAATTATTAAAGGCTCTTTCAAAGCTGTTTAGTGAAGTATAAAGCTTAAAAATGTTTTGAAATTGTTTTATAATGCTGTAATTAAAAAATGGCAACTCTGAAATTTTCTTCTGATTCTGAATTTTTCAAATCATCAGCAACATTGCAACAGAGGCACAGCTCTACTCAGAGAAAGACATTGAGAATTCCATGGACAAAATTGAAACTGTCAACTTCCATCAGGTACGATATGTCTTTGCTGTCATAAGGGTGAATGAGTGAGTTATTATGGCTTTATGCCGCTTTTAGCAATATTACAGCAATATCATGTCGGAGGACACCAGAAATGGTATTCACATATTGTACCCATGTGGGGAATCAAACTGGGTCTTCAACATGATGAACGAACACTTAACTCACTAGGTCACCCGTGTGTACTATTGTCATGAGGGAGTCATTTAGTTGGATAGCCACTGAAGAAATTATACATGAATTTCTTAACATGAGACTGTCACTATTATGGGTTGCCACTTGCTATACACAGTTGCATCCCTTGGTTACCTGCGCAACCTCTGATTGTGGTTTCGAATGCCGAGCGTGTTTCTAGGTTTGTGTAGCTTCAGATCAATGCTTGTGGGTTTCACAAATGTGGTAAATGTCTTGAAATCTGCCCAACAGAAAGATTAAATCACAGCCAAACATTCCTGTGACTGCACCAAGCGTTTAAGTATGACATTGTTCTGGATAGCGTGTGATGCACATACAACCTGCGCAAGACTTGCAGCACTCATCTCTGTCCCTAAGCTTATCATTTCTAGTCATGCATGCTGTTGGTGGCTGCCTCAAATAGTTTCAAATCAGGGCACAATTGTATAAAATTTGTAAAGTCCAATAAGGACTTTACTAAAGCCAACTAAGCATTTTGATTGTTAAATACGGACTAAAACATCATTAATAAGGACATACTGTTGTAAATAGTGATTGCTTTCTGAAATCATGGTTAATGTTAATATAGTGTGCATTTGAGTTTCGGTCAGTAAACAGAAATGAACTTTCATTTGTTTTGTATTATTTTTGTCAGCTGATTTAGTTTGAGCTTTGTTTCTTTTCAGGAAACTGAAGTGAATGGCGTGAAGTTCTGGTGCTACACAGCTGGACATGTGTTGGGGGCGGCCATGTTTATGATAGAGATTGCTGGGGTCAAGGTCAGTCCATACTGAGCCTGTCATTTGAAAATAATGCTATGCTATGCTATGCTATGCTATGCTATGCTATGCTATGCTATGCTATGCTATGCTATGCTATGCTATGCTATGCTATGCTATGCTATGCTATGCTATGCTCATGGTTATTACTAATGGTTATGATAGAGTGTGTTCTATTGTCAGTGAATTCATATAGCTGTTAATAAGGTTTAGTTGGGACAGGTGTTTTGGGTGCAGTAATGATTCTAATGAAATCATGTTTTTATGTAACTCTTTAAAGTCAAATGATCCCTCCTCTCTGTTAGAACCACCATTGGTGGGCAATTGGTGGCATGTTGTCAACCCTGGGAAAATTAGGGTTAGAATTTGTCTTCAGCAATCCATGCTTGTCTCCTTGTGTTTAGATCTCAGTTAGGTTTGGACTTATCAACCCATGCTTATTGTAAGAGGTAACTGACAGAATCTGGGGGTCACACTAGGTGATTTGCTTGATGCAAGTTCATCGACGTAATATTGCTGTTGCAGGGCTGTTGCTAACTGTCAATGCAGTATTGCTCGTGCAGTGCTGTTGCTAACTGTCAATGTGCTAATGTTGTTGCAGTGCTGTTGCTAACTGTCAATGCAGTATTGCTGTTGCTGTCAATGTAGTATTGCTCTTGCAGTGTTGTTGCTAACTGTCAATGTACTGTTGTTGTTGCAAATTATCAATGTAGTATTGCTGTTGCTAACTGTCTAACTGTCAATAATGTTGTTGTTGCAAATTATCGATGTAGTATTGCTGTTGCTAACTGTCATAGAATATTGCTGTTGCTAACTGTCAATGCAGTATTGCTGTTGCCGTCAATGTAGTATTGCTGTTGCAGTGTTGTTGCTAACTGTCAATGTACTGTTGTTGTTGCAAATTATCAATGTAGTATTGCTGTTGCAGTGTTGTTGCTAACTGTCAATGTACTATTGTTGTTGTAAATTATCAATGTAGTATTGCTGTGACTGTGTTGTTGATAACTGTCAATGTAGTATAGCTCTTGCTAACTGTCAATGTAGTATTGCAGTGCTGTTGCTAACTGTCAATGCAGTATTGCTGTTGCTAACTGTCAATGTGGTGGATCGGTGCTGTTGTTAACTGTCAATGTAGTATTGCTGTTGCTGTCAATGTAGTATTGCTGTTGCAGTGCTGTTGCTAACTGTCAATGTAGTATTGTTGTTGCTAACTGTCCATGCAGTATTGCTGTTGCTGTCAATGTGTATTGTTGTTGACTGTTTCTAACTGTCAATGTGTATGCTGTTGCTAACTGTCAATATAGCATTATTGCTGTTGTAGTGCTGTTGCTAACTGTCAATGTAGTACTACTGTTGCTGTCAATATAGTATTGCTGTTGCAGTGCTGTTGCTAACTGTCAATGTAGTATTGCTGTTGCAGTGCTGTTGCTAACTGTCAATGTAGTATTGCTGTTGCAGTGCTGTTGCTAACTTTCAATGTACTATTGTTGTTGCTAACTGTCAATGCAGTATTTCCGTTGCGGTGCTGTTGTTGACTGTCAATGTAGTATTGCTGTTGACTGTCAATGTAGTAGTGCTGTTGTAGTGCTGTTGCTAACTGTCAATGTGGTATTGCTGTTGCGGTGCTGTTGCTAACTGTCAATATAGTATTGCTGTTGTGGTGCTGTTGTTAACTGTCAATATAGTATTGCTGTTGCTGCTGTTGTTAACTGTCAATATGCTGTTGCTGTGCTGTTCGTAGCTGTCAATGTAGTAAAGCTCTTGCTAACTGTCCATGTTGTATTGATGTTCCAGTGCTGTTGCTAACTGTCTGTGCGGTATTGCTGTTGCAATGTTGTTGCTAACTGTCAATGTATTGTTGTTGCAGTGTTCTTGCTAACTGTCAATGTAGTATTGCTGTTTCAGTGTTGTTGCTGTCAATATATTATTGCTGCTGCACTGCTGTTGCTAACTGTCAATGCAGTATTGCTGTTGCAGTGCTGTCAATGTAGTATTGCTGTTGCAGTGCTGTTGCTAACTGTCAATGTACTATTGTTGCAAATTATCAATGTAGTTTTGCTGTTGCAGTGCTGTTGCTAACTGTCAATGTAGTATTGTTGTTGCAAGTTATCAATGTAGTATTGCTGTTGCAGTGTTGTTGCTAACTGTCAATGTACTATTGTTGTTGCAAATTATCAATGTAGTATTGCTGTTGCAGTGCTGTTGCTAACTGTCAATGTACTATTGTTGTAAATTATCAATGTAGTTTTGCTGTTGCAGTGCTGTTGCTAACTGTCAATGTAGTATTGTTGTTGCAAGTTATCAATGTAGTATTGCTGTTGCAGTGTTGTTGCTAACTGTCAATGTACTGTTGTTGTTGCAAATTATCAATGTAGTATTGCTGTTGCAGTGTTGCTAACTGTCAATGTACTATTGTTGTTGTAAATTATCAATGTAGTATTGCTGTGACTGTGTTGTTGATAACTGTCAATGTAGTATAGCTCTTGCTAACTGTCAATGTAGTATTGCAGTGCTGTTGCTAACTGTCAATGCAGTATTGCTGTTGCTAACTGTCAATGTGGTGGATCGGTGCTGTTGTTAACTGTCAATGTAGTATTGCTGTTGCTGTCAATATAGTATTGCTGTTGCAGTGCTGTTGCTTACTGTCAATGTGGTATTGTTGTTGCTAACTGTCAATGCAGTATTGCTGTTGCTGTCAATGTAGTATTGCTGTTGCAGTGCTGTTGCTAACTGTCAATGTACTATTGTTGCAAATTATCAATGTAGTATTGCTGTTGCAGTGTTGTTGCTAACTGTCAGTGTAGTGTAGCTGTTGCGGTACTGTTACAAACTGTCAAGTTGCTATTGACAGGTTCTGTACACTGGAGACTATTCACGACAGGAGGACAGACATTTAATGGCAGCTGAGATCCCCAATGTACGGCCGGACATCGTCATCATCGTGAGTTAATTCATGATACCCTCTCATCTCCATCTGGGAGCATTTTCTGTTCCACTTGTACCTGACAGTAATCTCAGATTCCTTCAAGTGCATTGCTTGAATGTGTGTGTTTTTTTTGTCAAATTTTGTTTTAAGTTTTTTGTTTGGGTGGTGGGTGGGGTATGTGGTATTGAGTGATTCCATATCACTGTTGTTGGCAAAGCCTCCCCTTAGCTGTACAACAAGCTCTATCACCTATGTGCATGTTGCTATCACATGACTCTTTAAACAACAATAAGTGCAAAATACACAACACTTTGGAAATCGCACATTAACTCTTTCAACACCAGTCAACCAGAGGCATTTACTGCCATGACACCGAGTTCCCAGAGACTCTGAGGTCATAGATGAAGTCTATGTTTGTGAAGGAAATTATAAGCTTGTAAAACGTTATTGCTACTACATCCCATACACCATTTAAAAGATCTAATCCTACTGTTGATAAATATGAAGTTTATTTTTATAATATTATTCAAATAATACAACTACAACTTAAATAAATTTATATTTGAATGAAAATGCAAGCTACATTTGTAACGCCCAGATAAAACCAACCTAAAGGAGCAAAAACTATGGCTTATTTTTTCCATTTGTGACATGTCATAAATTGCCCGCGGCTTTTTTCTTTTATATTTTCATTTTTACTGAATCAGAAAATTATTATAAAAAGATTTCTTAAACAATATGTATGGTCGCTCTATTTCCCGACATTCGCGCTTTCCTCGCCGGTGTAAAATGACATAACAACTGAAAATACCTCCGCTGAAGCTTTCAGATGAATAACATGCTAGCAAATCGCTTGATGTCGGGCATCGCTCTTCAAAAGCTCTGAACATCAACAATATCACTGTACCCTTGCCAAGAGTATTTTCACAGTTGTAAAGAAGCGCATTTTATTGATAAAGATTGGTTTCTAATGACGCTTTTTCGCCACAGTCTGCTATAAGGGTTGTGATTGGTCAAAATCAGACATCGGACCTAAGGCAGCCAATCATATTACGGCAATGGATACCGTCCTAAAGAAACTTAAATCTTTTAGATTTGGACAAAAGTTTTGGGTAAAATAATGCTATTCTGAACATATTAAGCAAGAAATCGCTACCAATAACGTAAATTATGGAACTTATTGGACGTGATCGAGTAGCTAGGGTTATGACCTGTGACAAAAAATGCTTCATGTATGTATTTTCAAGATTAAACATCGCGGTCCGAAGCCGTGAAGATTGAGGCGGCGAGAGCCAAGATGTCACTTGTCAGTGACTTGACTTGCATTACATGATCGCACAAAAAGATTGAAATAGTAATTTTATATGTACGTTTGACAACTTTTATGAATGCTGTTGTTGATTTTATTCATTAGTTTATTCAATTTATTTAATAATTTCCTCAAAACATCGCTACTTTGCTTTTTGACAATGTTATTGTGGACCCGCCGGCTAAAGCATGTGTCCGAGAATCGTTGTTTTCAATAATATTGCGAAAAATAGTTTATAATTTTAATTCTGCTGATAATATATGATAAATTGAAATTTAATAAGTGTTTTCAGACATTGTGAAATGTGATAGATTTGATATATGAATCAAAAGTCAGGTAGGTTCCTAAAATTATGTCTCATTTTGACGTGACTACTGCCTGGCCGATTAATCGGCCTCCGGTGTCTGGGGACTCATAACGTTGTGGCCGATTATTTGGCCTGCGGTGTTGAATGGGTTAAATCTCCAAATCTTCATCACAAGAATCATGAAAATTTACCTTTAACCAGAAGTTTACTGACATGTGTCTTTGGCAATGCCATTCCAGTGAATTGAGAAAATGTTTACTTGCCTAACTTTTGGTCTGAGGAATTGATGTTTGAATCAGATTGGTTCAAGATTGCTGAAAGCACCCATCTTCCCCCTTATGTTTTCATCGTGATAATTACATGTACCTGGTAATAAAAATCCAAGTATCTTACAAGCAAAATAATATAATATGACGGAAGTGTATTTGGCATCATGATAGGTCATTTTTCATTTAAGGGCAGGACAGTTTAAGGGCAGGACCATATACGGTATAGTGGTCTCAAGTTATAGTCCATACCACCAGACCAAATGTAGGGTATGTGACTGATGTATGGGATTAAGAGTATAGGAGCTCTGTAAACAAAGTATCACTGTGATGAGCTTAGGCTGTACTCTACATTATGTTCCAGGAGTCGACATACGGCACACACATCCATGAGAAGCGGGAAGATAGAGAGTTGAGATTTACCAGTCTTGTCCATGACATTGTGAATCGAGGAGGTCGCTGCCTCGTGCCTGTCTTCGCTCTTGGCCGAGCTCAGGAACTGCTTCTCATTTTAGGTAAGACTTTATGCATTTCTGACATTTTTTATTTTTCATCCTACTGGTGCTGAGTCATGATCATAATATATTTTCCTGTTACTAATATTTGACTGTTCTCAAAGTGCAAAAGAAGAATGGAACATGCTGATTTATTAAGGACTGATCATTTAATATAAGGTGGTAGGGGTGGGTATTGCAGAGAATTTTCATATTGCGATATATTGCGATGCGGAATCATATATTGCGATATGTATTGCAATATATTGCAAGGATTATTTTGTTAACAAAATCTATTTATAATCGAGTTAATGCTTGATTATAAAGCAAAAACACAACAAACTCACTATGATTGATTAACCTTTTATAAAAACTTTTTATCATGACAAAATAAAAATGTAAGTAACATTTGGCACTAATGAAACAGGGAAAAGAACAATTCAAAAAACGGAAATATCCGAAGATTTCCGAGTGTTACGAAGTTTTCCGAATGCATGTCAAAATACCGGTTTTCGCAATACGTATCATTTTCATGTCTGAACTGGTAAATACCGGTAAACCGGTTATATTGCGCAGCCCTATAAGGTGGGGGTGGTCGTACATTTTGCTGAGGTGTCCAGAACTTCCCTTGTGTTCCTCAGAGGCCAATAGTTGACCACAAATATGCAGGAAATGTCCATAAATATTCCCAAGTTGAAAATATCAAACTTTGATTTCACATGAAATATTATGGCTTTGTTGCACTCAATCAGCTGTTTCATTTTGATTGGATTATTACAAGAATTTTCAGCTTTCCTTCCAGTCATTGGTTTCTTTACTCTCATCATATTTGAATCTAGAGACACTATAAGTGGTTGACAATTAGCAAATATCTTTTTAACTTTAAACACTTGGTTTGAAATGACTCACATTTTGTTCAGATGAATACTGGAGTCAGCATCCTGAGCTTCACGACATCCCCATCTACTATGCATCATCGCTCGCCAAGAAGTGCATGAGTGTGTACCAGACATACATCAACGCCATGAATGACAAGATCAGACGTCAGATCACCATCAGCAACCCCTTCATCTTCAAACACATCATCAACCTCAAGGTGTGACTTGAATGGGTATTCAGTGGCCACAATGGCTGCTAAAATGGGAACCGTACTTGCGGGGTTACCAGCAGGAATGCCAATTCCCATCAGCGACACAGGGCTCAGTGGCGGATTCTGAGGAGGAGGGGGGGGTTCAGAGGGTTCGAACCCACCCCCCTTTTGATAATTACTTAATATGACATTGAAGATTTTTTATTGCGTTGGCGGAGCCAATTCGAACCCCCTGAATCTTCTCCTTTCAAAATTCCTGGATCCGCCCACGGGGCTGTATTTTTTAGACCTGTGAAGATCTGGGTTAGAATTGATCTTCAGTAACCCATGCTTGTCATAAAAGGCGACTAACGGGATTGGGTGGTCTGGCTCGCTGACTTGGTTGACATATGTCATCATATCACAAGTGTTCAAAAAGCCTTGGATTTTAGAATTTGTTTACAGAGGAATTGAAAATAAAGTACCTTCAGTAAGACCCCACTAACAGACATCAGTCTTTATATTGATATCTAAAAGTACAAAATACAAAATGCTTGTGAAAGTCCAAGGAGGAATGAAATAGTGCCACATTTTACCAAGTAATTTTAAAATCTCTCAAGTATTGTCAACTGTATTCTGTTTCAGAGCATGGAGCAGTTTGAAGACATCGGGCCCGTCAGTGGTGCTAGCCAGTCCTGGTATGATGCAGAGTGGATTGTCAAGGGAACTGTTTGAGAACTGGTGTACCGACAAGCGTAATGGCTGTATCATTGCTGGCTACTGTGTGGAGGGCACTCTAGCAAAGGTTAGTTTGGTTCATTGGTTGGTTCCACGAGCAATAATATTCCCTCTACATGACAGCTGTAACAATTGGGTCTGGATTGGAATATCCAGTGATTGGCATCATCAGTATCACTAACGGGATCGGGTGGTCAGACTCACTGACTTGGTTGACACATGTCATTGTTTCCCAATTACGTAGACTGATGTTCATACTGTTAATCACTGGAGTGTCTGGTCCAGACTCGATTATTTACAGACCATATAACTGGAATACTGCTGAGAGGGGCGTTAAACAACAAGCCAACATGAATATCAATCTTTACAATTGGGCTGCGATCACAAGTAAACAAGAAATTGAGTCTGATCACCCAATCCATATAGTCGCCTCTGTCACAAGCATAGGTTGCTGTGGATCTATGTCCTTTCCCACAGGTGAGGTAACTTTGATCTGAAAGCCCCACTGATAGTTTCTTGACGATGTTTCAGCACATCCTGTCTGAGCCAGATGAGATAGTGACGATGACGGGGCAGAAGCTGCCCCTGAAGTGTTCCGTGGACTACATCTCTTTCTCCGCCCATGCAGACTACCAGCAGACCAGCGAGTTCCTCCGAGCTCTCAAACCTCCACATGTTGTAAGTGTTGCACAACTTCTGCTGAGTCCTGCTTTTATCGTTTGGGGTGAGGGGGACAATTTTGCCTGTCTGTTATTATCTGTTCCCATTTTGGCAACAATATTTGTGATTAGGTATGCCACAAATTTTAATCAACAAAATATGAAACACTTGCCTACATCTGCAGAAGACGGTTCAGTTTGCTTATGCTTGCACGGTGGGGTAGCCTAGTGGTTAAATCAGCAGTTCGAACATGCAATGTGTTAAGCTCATTTCTGGTGTCCCCCGCCATGATATTGCTGGAATATTGCTAAAAGCGTAAAACTTCAGTCAGTCAGTTATGCTTGCATTGTGGGAGGGGCGGTAGGGTAGCCTAGTGGTTAATTCTTTCACTCGTCACGCTGAAGACCTGAGTTCGATTCCCCACTAGGGTACAGTGTGTGAAGTCCCTTTCTGGTGTTCCCCCGCAGTGATATAGCTGGAATATTGCTAAAAGCGTCGTAACACTAAACTCACTCACTTGTGTGAAGGCCATTCTATGTGTCACCCAGTGTCATAATCCTGGAATGTTGCTTACAGTGTTGTAAAATCATTATCATCCACTGATGAGATGTTGAGGATATTTGGATGCTATGTTCCAGGTTCTCGTGCATGGTGAAGCTAATGAGATGAGTCGTCTGAAGGGTGCGCTACAGCGGGAGTATGAGGACAGCACCGACTACAAGATGGAGGTCCACAACCCTCGCAACACTGTCGCTGTAGAGTTACACTTCCGTGGAGAGAAACTAGCAAAGGTCAGACCTGAAACTGCCTGGTGTGTCATAGTTACTGCAGTCACATGGGATTCTGCGTTAGGTACCCACCAACAGAGTTGTAACAGATGACTTTATATAAAACCTGATGTCTTTGTTGGTAATGTGTCTTCATAACCTGACGAAGTGGATTGTTGCTAAAAATGTCATTCAAACGAATGTCCAATTCGGCTAATTACAGCCTCTGTGAAACAGCTGGAATGTTGCTGTTATTATCCCCCCGGCATGTAATGCGGGATATAGTCGACGCCTCGTCTGTCCGTCCGTCCGTCCGTCCGTCCGTAATCATTTTGTTTCCAGAGCATAACTCAAAAACCGTTCAATATTTCTCCACAAAAATTGGTAGATATATCAAACAGAACCTAAGGTGGTGCCTTTTGCTATTTACAGGTTTTTGTCATTTTTATTTTTCTCGCTTTTCATGGAAACGTTTTTGACTTAGTCTTAAAGGTGGGTGGGCTTCGTTTCCGGAGCATAACTCAAAAACCGTTCAATATTTTTCAACAAAACTAGGTAGATATATCAAACAGATCCTTCAGTGGTGCCTTTTGCTATTTGCAGATGTTTGGCGTTTTTATTTTCCCCGGTTTCCATGGAAACGATTAGGACTTTGTCCAAAAAGGGAGGGGTGGGTTTCGTTTCCAGAGTACAACTCGAAAACTTCTTAACATCTTTCAGCAAAACTTGGCTGATATGTGAGGCAGATCCCAAAGTGGTGCCTTTTGCTATTTGCAGATTTTTGTGATTTAATTATTTTCTCGGTTTCCATGGAAACAATTCGGACTTAGTCCCAAAAGGGAGGGGTGGGCTTCATTTCCAGTGCACAACTCGAAAAGCATTCAGTATCTTTCAACAGAACTTGGCAGATATATTAGCCAAATTTTTAAATAGTGCCTTTTGCTATTTACAGATTTTTGACATTAATATTTCTCATGATTTCCATGGAAACGATTTGGACTTAGTTTAAATAAATGTCAAGCTGGACTTTAAATAACTGTCAGATGATTTGTTCTTTCAAATATGTGATGGCTGGTGGGATATGTCATCTTCTCATGACTCTTGTAATTTTAAGCAAGAAACTATCATAATCATGAACAGAAATGAACCAAGTCTCAATATTGATAACAACAGCAATACCCCCAAAGCCCTTAGTTCATCATGAACTAAACTGATCTGGGATAAGGAGCTACACATGTTGTAAGTTTTGCACAACCTGGGGTGAGTTCTGCTTTTCCGATTGGCGGAGACAATTTTGCCTGTATATTATCATCTGTTCCCATTATCCAATAATCATGGATAGAAATTAACCAAGAAGGACTACCAACCGAATAGTGACAACAGCAAAAAATTCAAACCCCTTAGTTTACCTTCATTATGATCAAAACTGGTCTGGGATATGGAGCTTTTGCTCTCTCTCAAATTACAGCAGAGATACCTGTGCGACTTTCCTTTTTTACAGATAAACACTCCCACGTACAATATTTTTTAATGACATGGCTTCATTGTCATATTTAAGTTGTCTCATACAAGTTAGGTCTTGAACGTCTGCCTGTTGTCAGCGGATGGGTGGACCAGTTGTCTGAGGCTTCACAATTTTGTTGTTCAGAGTTGCATCCCTTGGGCAATCAAACGACCTATGATTGCGCTTTCGAATCCCAGTTCATCCGGCCATTGTTTTGAGGTTTTCAGCATAACAATTCTTGTGTGATAAACATCCTGCATCATTTCGGCCGTCCTTCTATATTAAACTGATACTTTGTGATAACATAGGAAAACTGTTCAAAGCTGTGTTGACCCGAAATCACTCAATGACTCAGTCTTGACCAAGCACAATCAAAAATGGCCCTTGGAAAGATATTTGTTGTGGGAGATGACTCAAATGTATGTTGATGTCAGGGTCACAATGGCTGTAGTTTAAGAAGCTCCTACTCTCAACTTGGGCTGAAGTTGTATTTGGATATAGTACTGTATTTGTGAGGACAGAGTTGTGTCCCTTAGCATGTTTGGATCTACTTGTCATAGGTTCAAATCCCATACCTGGGTCTTTGGTTTTCAGCATCATATCAGATATTTGTGAGCTTTACCAGTCTAGTAAAACACTATTCAAAGCAGCACTAAATTCACTCATTGCAAACATAAAAATGTTATCAATCAAAGATCAAGCTCTTAGCTACTTGTGCACAATGCATTATGAGTTGTTGACTGAATTAACTGTTAACGAAAAAACACTCAATGAAAGCATAGAGTGGGTATCCTGAGTGGTGTCACGCTGGAGTGGTGTGTAGGATTTGCTCTCAGTGATGGATGGTGTAATGTTATCATTTATAATGCAGGTTGTGGGCAGTCTGGCAGCAGAGAAAGCTAAACAAGGAACCAAGGTGTCCGGGATCCTGGTGAAGAGGAACTTCAACTACCATATTGTGGCACCAGGAGATCTGCCAAGTAAGCTAAACTGTCGAGCATCACTCCTACTGTTTGCCCATTTACCATATGCCATCATATAGTTGAGTGAATGAGTGAGTTTAGTTTTACGCCGCACTCAGCAAAATTTCAGCTATATGGCGTGGCCTGTAAATAATCGAGTCTGGTCCAGACAATCCAGTGATCAACAGCATGAGCATCGATCTACGCAATTGGGAACCGATGACATGTGTCAACCAAGTCAGCGAGCCGGACCACCCGATCCCGTTAGTCGCCTCTTGCGGCAAGCATGGGTTACTGAAGATCAATATTCTAACCCGGACTGTAACGGGTCATATAGTTGAAATATCGAGCACAAAATTAAGCAACAAAACAAGTACAGTAAACAGAAACATCATTCCTTCATAACAAAGACTTCAAGCAATTTTTTTATTTCATTTATTTTTTACTTGTATTTGGGCTCATTTACATAAAGAGATATTAAATAAACATGCCTCAAAATTAAAACCACTGCATGTTTGTGCATTAAGTATTCCTCATGCTCCTTGATTTTATCTGATAATTATGACGAACTTGCAGTTTAAATGTTAGAAACCTTTGTTTACTTTGCATTCATTAATTTGAAATTTAGCTGATTCTGCTACAGAAGATTGGAGCTGTTATTCTAGTCCCCCGAGAGATATTGTTCCCTCTTGTCAGTTCATGTCATGTTGTGTCAGAGTGGGAGGGGTGATGGGGTAGCCAAGTCGTTACAGTGTTCACTAATCATGCCGAAGACCCGGGTTCGATTCTCCACATGAGTGCAATGTGTGAAGCCCATTTCTGGTGTCCCCCACCATGATCAGGGCTCGATTTAAGGGATGTTAACCTACTTGCACCAGGTGCAAACTAAGATAAAAACCTAGTTGCACAAGCCAAATTCCAATTGCTATGTCAAAGCTAGCTTCATTAATATGTCGTATATTGTACACATACAGGGACTGTGGTGTAGCCCAGTGGTTAAAGCATTCGCTTGTCATGCCGAAGACCGTGTTTGATTCCCCACATGGGTACAATGTGTGAAGCCCATTTCTGGTGTCCCCTGCCATGATATTGCTGGAATATAGCTAAAAGTGGCGTAAAACCAAACTCAAGCACTCACAAATGTACACATAGGTCATATTGTCATCCAGGGCTACAGCTAATTTTCAGCAAATTTTGTAACCTACATTATATCGTTGCAACTGTGAGATATATACGTCTCAGTTACCAAGTGACATTGATTTTGTAGATTACACTGATCTGGCCATGAGCACAGTGACCCAGAGGTTGAGTATAGCCTACACAGGAACAATCCCTCTTCTTCGCTACTACCTGTCTCAACTTGCTGGGGATGTGGAAGCCATCAAAGTCAACGAGAAGCAGGCTCTCAGGGTGTTCAAGACTATCACAGTTGTGTTTGAACCAAGAATGGTTGTCATAGAGGTAGGTGTTTAGATAGTCATGGTTGCTCAACAGAGAAGATATTTGGTGTTTTTTCAATGAAGTAAAAAAAATGTTAAAGGCAGCGTTAGGGGATAAAACAAGGACATGTTGGATTAAGTCGTTATGATGTGTTTCGATAGGGTTTCCTGTTGAACATGAGCATTTTTTATTTGTTATCCCCCGCCGCAAGTTTAGTGGGAAGCAGGGGATATAGTATTAGGCTCCGTCCGTCCATCCGTACGAATTAGAATATCTTAAGAACCGTTGACTAGATTCTTTTCATATTTGTGACCTAGGTTCATCACAGTATAAGAAAGGCCCCGTTTAGGTTTGGTGACCTTGACCTTCATTTCAAGGTCACAAGGGAACTTTAACATTTTACTCTGGTCAGCGAGATATCTCAAGAACCGCTCACTAGATTTTCTTCATATTCAACACCAAGCTTTATCTAGGGAAGGTGCAGGTCCCAGTCGATTTTGGTGACCTTCACTTAATTAAGATTTCAGTATGTTAAATTGCATGTTAAGATAGTCAACAAGATATCACAAAAACCATTCACTGGATTTTTTTCATATTTGACACCAAGCTTCATCTAATGAAGGTGCATGGCACAGTCATTCTTTTTCAAAGAGATCGTCCTTGGGGAACATATATGCATTTTCTGCGGCTGAAAATGTCATGTGACAGTTGTATCAATGTTTTAATAAAAATATTGTACAATAAATAAAATCTTTTTTATCTATTATACGGCCCCCACCACTTGGAGTTACCTCCCTGCTACGCATGCGCAGCCAACAAGGTAAGCACCTAGGCCTGTATCATCATTCCTTCTGCTGTCACTCAAGCGTTCACACGTGTTCTGAGTTACTAAGCTGATTTACTTCTCTTGTGAAGAATGTCTGAGACTTCAACAACTGTATGTATGGTCTTTATTCGTTCTTGAAAAAGAATAAGAACAGTTTTATTGACTTTGCAGTCTGTTATTTCTCATTTATGTGACTTTGTATTAATTTTTACGCTAGCTTTTCCGTGGTTTATGCACGTGTTGCTATTCCATGGCGGGAAGTTTAGCGTGCCACTTGGTTGAAATATTGCGTTATTAACCAAGTATTTCATGTCGCGTGGTCGCATTCACATACTTTTCAATGTTTTGTACGTGTATATTTATGCTGCTGTGTTCCGCCGTTAGCTACATGCTTGCGTGTTTGCTTTCAGGCGTTTACTGGGTGTACTGTCTGTGGGAAGAATATCCCGAGAGCTGATAGGCATGACAAATGCTTGTGCTGTTTAGAGAGAGCGGGGCATAACCCTGAAATCTGCGAACTCTGTCTGGCCTTTTCCCCTCGGGCCCAGAAGAGATGGGCGGCTGATTTCCTTCTTTATAAGGAATTGTGAGAGGCTGGAGGGGAACTGACCCAGGAGGTCCCCCCGTCCAAAGACAAAAAGGCTAAACAAGCTAAACCTAAGTCTTCGCATAAGTCGCATTCCCAATCTCAATCCCAATCTAGTGGTTTTGATATGTGAATAATCACTCAATTGTTTCAGCAGCACATGGACTCCATGTAGTCCCTTGTTCATGAGGGGACCAAGAGTAGGATCGCCGAGTCCGGCTCGATCCCTTAGCCTGGAGGTGACTGTTGATCCTTTGCCTTTGGCTTTGGGTCCAGACGCCCGGAGGGGGCGGGTTCGCTCCCAGTCCCCCTCTCGGTGCTGGCGCATGGTCCGTTGAGGATTCCTGGGGTTCCGGTCCCTGCGCCACCCCGCCCCATGAGAGCGGAGGAGCCGGTTCTGCCCGGTCTTCCTCCCGTGTCTCGGGACCGGGGTTTGAGTGTTGTGTCAGTTGCCGGAGCGGGGAGTTCCTTCGGCTCTTCACTTTCGGGGCGTCTGTGGCTCGGCCTCCCAGCGGGTCAGGCTTTGGCTCCTCTTCACGAGGAGACCCGAATTCTGACTTGGGCTCGGTTGCCGAGTCTATGGAAGTTGGGGAGGTCGAGGAGTCGGAGGGTACTTTCCGTTTCTTGTCGGCTCTCCGGGAGGTTAGGCAACGTATTGTCGAGTATATACCCCAAGCCGCGGTGCCAACATGTCGCTCGGACTCAACTGAGTTCCGCCTGCCGGGCGAGGCGTTTGCTACTAGGCAACCCTCGCAGACAAAGCTCCGTATCTTGCCTTCCCTGGTGCAGGATGTGATGGATCCCCTCCTGATTGGGTCACGCCTCCGGTTCGATTTACCTGAACTCGTTAAGAGGTACCAGCTCGGGGATGATTCTCTGTTCTTTGTGCCGGTGGTTGATGAGTGCGTGTTCACTTCGGTGCTCACTTCGGTTGGCCTCAGGGGAAGCTCGGCTTCCTCAGGTGCAGCTCCGGCTGCTAAGCAAGGGCGGTTAGTTCCACCATTTGCCCTAGCGGGCGCCCCCCTGCAACAGGCATACCGGACTTACAAGGAAGTCTACTGGAATGCCATGCACCAGGTGAGGGTGGTGGTCCACGAGGCCTACCTTTCCTCTATCAAAAGGTCGGCTCTGGAGACAGAAGGGAGCACTGGGGACGTTTCCCCGAATGTTGTTCTGCTTCGCCAATTATCCGAAGTGCAGGCCCACCTGACGCGAGACTCTTTGCGGTCTGCCGCGTCTACGGTGATGTGCGCAGTCATGGGGATGCGCAAGCTGTGGCTGTCTACGTCCCGTTATTCGGCAGCAACACAGCAGACCTTGCAGCAGCTACCTCCTTCAAGGACTCTAAGGCCTTGTTGGAGCAGCCGCGGGTTTCTCGCTCCCGCGCTCCTGTAGCGGGTTCCTCCCTACGCCATGTGCCGGCTGGCTTCGGCCCCTGGGCAGGCGTAGGAGGAGGAGCCGTCCCGCCAAAGGTAAGGGCAAGGAGCAGTCCTCTTCGTCTGGTTCCCAGCAGCCTTTTCGCGATCACGAGGCTCTGACCCGTGGGTCCGTCTCAGTCAGTTCAACTGCAGGGGACCACTCACGCCCTGTTACCACACGTCCCAGTGGGGGGCCGCCTCTCTCTATTCCTGCCGGAGTGGGAGAAGGCTACCAGCAACACTTGTGTGCTATCCGTCGTCAGTATCTGCCATCTACCACTGTGGAAGCGAGGCCCGCCAGAGTTCACTGGCATACGTCGCACTCCGGTGCCGTCAAGGCGGGTATACTGCGAGACGAAGTTCAGGCTTTGCTGAACAAGTCCGCAATAGAGCGCATACCACCAGGCTAGGAACAGGCGTGGTTTTATTCCACGTACTTCCTCGTTCCAAAGAAGGACGGCGGGTTCCATCCCATTCTCAACCTCAAGGGGTTGAATCGCATGCTAGAGGTTCCATCCTTCAAGATGGAGACACTTCGCTCGGTGATCACCTCTGTTCAGCCCGGCGATTGGCTTACGTCGATCGACCTAAAGGATGCGTATCTACACGTGCCAATTTATCCATCGTTCAAGCAGTACCTCCGGTTCTCTTACGACGGGATGTATTAGCAATTCATGGTCTTCCCCTTCAGCATATCCACTGCCCCCAGGGTGTTCACCAAGCTCATGTTAGTGCCTGCTACCCTCGCAAGGTCGCAAGGAAGGCGTTGTTACCCTTACCTAGACGACTGGCTGCTCAGCGCTCTAACTCAGCCAGCGAGCCTAGACTAGTGTGGATAATCAACCTCAAGAAATCCGACCTGGTACCCACCCAGGACTTGGTTTTTCTCGGGGCGAGGTTCCCAACTCACAAGGGTCTTGTCTCTTTGTCGCCCGACCGGGTCACCAGAGTACGGGAGATGGTGTCTTCGTTCCTCTTCCAGCCCCAGGCACGAGCGCAGACTTGGCTCCGTCTACTGGGTCATATGGCTGCAACTATCTCTGTCGTGTGGCAGGCGTGGTTGAAGATGCGCCCTATACAGTAAGCTTTGGCGAGTCTGTGGGCTCACTCGGAGGATCTGGAGCAGTGTCTCACAGTCCCTGGGTGGTTGTCTCCTCACCTTCAGTGGTGGACCAATGTTGGGAATCTCTCCAAGGTGCTGTGGGCGTTCCTGACTCTACCACTCATTCCCCGGGTCCTCTCCCAGCTGTCCACCGAGCCAGTTCGGCTACTTGTGCTACTGGCACCACTATGGCCGTCACAGAGCTGGTTTCCGGTAATTCTCACGTTTCTGGCGCAGCCTCCTGTTCTATTACCTTTGCGACCGGACATCCTCACTCAGAACGGCGTGCTATACCCCAATCCAAGGATTCAGTGGGTGGCTTGGCCTCTGTCAGGTCTAGCCTCGAAGCACGCGGAATTCCTGCAGCAGTTGCAGACACAATTCTGGCTTCGAGGCGGGATTTGACAAACGTTCAACATGAGGATAGGTGGTCCCGCTATGTGCGCTGGTGTTCATTTAGGGGGATTGCAGACCCCTTTTCTGCGGATTTAGTCCGAGTATTGGAGTTATTGCAAGCTCGTTTGGAAGAATGCTTGGCGGCTTCGACCATTCGTGGCTATTTCCACTTTCCACACCCCTGTCGATGGTGCTCTTCTCGGGCAGCACCCTCTTATGCAGCGCTTTTTAGCTGCCGTGGATCGGGTTCGATCTGCTGTCAGGCGAACCAGCCCACCTTGGGATTTGTCAATCATGCAAGATTGGCTGTCGAGGACTACGTTCTCACGTCTATCGGCTATTTCCATACAGATGTTAACATGGAAGGCCGTATTTCGGGTGGCGGTAACATCTGGGCGAAGGGTCAGCGACTTACATGCTATGTCTGCAGACCCGGCGCTGACTGTGTTCCATCCAGGTCATGTCAGTATTAGCCTCCCGGGTACTTACCGTTTGAAGATCGATCACGTTTTCCATGTGACAGCTCCTATCGAACTTCCTACTCTTACCCAGCCTTCCACATCGGGGACCTCTGCAACGAGCACTCACCCGTTGGATGTGTGTAAGACTCTCAAGGTCTATATCAAACGAACACAAGGGATCCGTATGGGTACCCATCTGTTCTGCTGTTACGGTGGCGGGTAGGCTGGCATGCCGGCTAGCAAACAGACCCTATCAGGCTGGCTTGTATCGGTCATTTGGGCTGCTTATCAGGCTAAGGGCAAGCCTCCCCCCTGAGGGGTTGAAGGCTCACTGTCATGGCAGTGGCCACGTCAAAGGCTTTTGCATTGGTACTGCCCATTGAAGAGATATGCTCTGCCGCTATTTGGAGCAGGCCTAGCACTTTTATCAGGCACTATCAGCTCGATACACATTTACGTGATCGTGCGCATTTGGCCGTTCTGTTCTCTCCAGTGGACAGTGTCCTGCCACCCTGACCGAGTGAGTCTTGGTTATCTGGACAGTTGATGCTGCTTTCAATTGTGTATCATTGATATATCCGCTGTAATCATATTTAACTCCTTTCGATTCTCTCAGGATATTATGGTTGGTTGTGAGTTAGGTTTCCCCCTTACGGTGCTCTTATAATAGATTCACGATGTGGGCGGTTTTTTTTACTTTCGCACTGTGTGCGAATTGCTTTGCTTAACCTATGAGGTCGGCTCTTAGTACTTTCCTCCCTATTGGTTACCCTCCCATCATGCCTCTCACGGAAGCTTTGGGACACGTGACAGGTGAGTGTTGTGGCGTCTGTTACATTCTTCCTAATGATCGCTATTTATGTGTACTTTGACAGAATTCCCTCCTCCCTAGCCTCCGTTCTTTGGGAGTCTGAGTTAATGCATATATGTACCCCAAGGACGATCTCTATGAAAAAGGATTAGCTAACCCTGTAGAGGTTTCCAATTCTTTGAAGAGAATCGTCCTTGGGGTAGGGCCACCCACCTCCCCGCAATTCTGTTCACTGATTTATTCAGCAGAAGGAATGATGATACCTTGCCTTACCTGGTTGATGATGATACCGGGCCTTACCTGGTTGGCTGCGCATGCGCAGCAGGGAGGTAACTCCACGTGGTGGGGGCCGTATAATAGATAAAACAGATTTTATTTATTGTACAATATTTTTATTAAAACATTGATACAACTGTCACCTGACATTTTCAGCCGCAGAAAATGCATATATGTACCCCAAGGACGATTCTCTTCAAAGAATTGGAAACCTCTACAGGTTTAGCTAAATTTTGGTGACCTTCACATAATTTTCAAGGTCACTGCAACACTTTGAAGATTTCAGCATGTTAACCTGAATTCACTGGATTTTCATCATAGACTTTCAAGAAGTCCCTTGAATGTTTTTCAATAAGCAATGTCTTTAGTACCATTTTTGCATATTTCATACACTATGACATTCATCTCAAGGTCAAAGTCAGTCTTGAAAATATTTGTGTGTTTGAACAACTAAAGAGAAGATATCAAGAGAGGTTGACTGGTCATGTTTTTGTTGACATTTAACTTCATCTTAAACTTTCATTACTTTTTAAGTTTGATTTGATAATTTGCGATGGGGGATTATGTCACCTTAGTGACAATGCTTGGTGTTGTTAAATTTTCCAGCTGTAAGATGGCAGTCTGTAACTAATCAAATCTGGACCTGAGCCCCGTTTCACAAAGCTATCGTAGTGCTGCAACTGTTGTATGTCCATAGACTTACGTCAGTCATAGCGCTACAATAGCTCTGTTAATTGGGCCCAGAAGTCAGTGATTGACATCGCTGTGAAAAACCGTGTTAGGATCAGTCTTTAGCCATCAGGTGGTCGAGCTCCCGAGCTTGGTTGACACATGTCAACAATTCCTTGCTGCTAAGATCGATGCTCATGATGTTGATCACGGGATTGTCTAGTCCAGACTCTATTATTTACAGACCGTTGTCAAATAGCTGGAATACTGAGTGTGGCAAACCAAATATCTGTTTTCCTGAATTCTGTATGCCATGATGACATGGACAACTAACAGAGCAATTAATGTTGGTTTATTAATGACAATGTGTTGTTGCAGTGGATCGCTAACCCAGTGACAGACATGTATGCTGATTCTGTTGTCACAGTCATCCTCAGAGCAGAGAAAGATCCAATGCCCCAGAAAAGTAAGTGTATCTGTCTCAGACTTGAACTTGTAGTCTGTAGCTCTGTGGAGCAGGTGATTGACTAGGGACTAGTTGTGACTGTTTGCTTGAAATGTCGCTGAAAGGCAAGTCTCTATATTATGAGGTTGATGACTACAGTGATACCCCGGTTACCCCGACACATTGTTTTTTTCATTAATCCTCCGGATAACTGAACATCCAGATATCTGGATTTCTGTCATCCAGGCTCTGGAGTTGAAACGGTAGCGAGCATATACTTCTGGTTTAAAATCACTTCCAAAACAGCATGGTCATTTTGATTTGCCAATTACAATTCACTCAGTGTGAGATAGGCCTACTAATCACCACCAATACCCTGCTGATTGGTCATTAATCCGTATTAGCAAACCTTGTCTCGTGTCAAGACACGCAGAAGATCAAAGCTTCGTGTGGATGAGTGAGTCAATTTTGTGTTGATTTAGCCATTTTTTTGGGTAAAATGTACCGCCCGGAAACGGAAACTGCATATCCATTATAGACAGTCACTTTTATACAGTAAGAGACTGTATTTTATGGAAACTGACCGGATGGGGAGGTCCAACTATCATTTAGTGATGATATACAAACTTGTATTATGAATATGATCTGATATCATTGTTACTATCAACAGCAAGACCGCCTCCGTGGTGGAGTGGTTAGAGCGTCCGCCCAGAGAGCGGAAGGTCGCGGGTTCGATCCCCGACCGCATCATACCAAAAGACGTTAAAATATGGTACTTGTTGGTCCTTGTCTGGCGTTCGGCATTAATGGGTACATCAAGGACTGGTCGGCTCGGAGTCAGTATAATGTGTCTGAGTGGGGTATTCATGCTTGACTGCGGCATGGTATCTCAGTGGGCTAGCACTATTAAACCAGCTTAAGTCTGGGCTAGTACAAGCAGCCGCACATACACATACACATACACACACATGCACATCGTCATATGAGCGAAATATTCTCAAGCACGACGTTAGACCCAATTTTACCTCACCTCACCTCACCTCATCAACATCAAGCCGCACAGATGCTTCACTGGCTCAAAGTCATGGCTGTATTGGCAAAATTTGTATTGCAATGACTGCCAGTACTTCTTTATACTGGTCCTTCGTTGTTCCGCAAAGCTTTGTGGAACAGGCCCTGGGACTCCACACATAAAGGTATTGTATCAGCTATGGTTTGAATGGAACTAAGGGATGGAGTTTGTTGTTGCAGACGTCCCCGCAGTGATGGTGGTGGACCGCAGCCACTTTCAAGAGTGTGTGATGGACATGATGAAGGAGATGTTCGGACAGGCCAGCACAGGGAAGCTAATCAAAAACAACAATCTCACAGTTACAGTGGATGAAAAAACAGCAGTGATCAACTTAGAGACTCAGGTGTGTAACTGAGGCCCCGTTGGTTAGAATGGGTACCAAGCAACACATAGTTGTCATAAGAGGTGGCTAAATGGATGGGATGGTCAGGCTGAGACCACTGCTTATATCCCTTGATTATTTGACCCAGGGTATATTATTTACAAGCCATTGCAACATTAAACTAAAAACACGCTCAAATGAGTGTCCTAGTTTTCCAAGGCATGGCAGTTACCTGTGCAGCTTTAAATCCCTCTCAGGGAAAAGCCCCCCTCCGTGTTGTAGTGGTTAAAAAAAAAGCATCCCCCCTCGAGAGTGGAAGGTGATGGGTTTGATCCCCAGCCATGTCATACCAAAAGAAGTTACAATATGGTACTTGTTGTTCCCTGCCTGGCGTTCGGCATTAATGGGTAAAACAAGGTCTGGTCGGTTCGGAGTGTCATGCTTATCTGCAGCATAATATCTCAGCGAGCTAGCACTATAAAACCAGCTTAAGTCTAGGCTAGTACAGAATTGATCTTCAGTAACCCATGCTTGCCGTAAGAGGCGACCACGGAATTGGGTGGTCAGGCTCGCTGACTTGGTTGACACTTGGTTTATCCAAATTGCATAGATCGATGCTCATGCTGTTGATCACTGGATTGTCTTGTCCAAACTTGATTATTTACATACCACCATCATGTAGCTGGAATATTGCTCATTGTGGCGTAAAACTAAACTCACTCATTCACTATTCATACTATCAGTCATTCAGTTGTACAGTGCAGACTGATTATGTAGGTGTTTGTATTTGAGGGATGGTGGTTATCAATGGCAGGCACAGGTCAAGACATCGTAATTCCTTGTTGAGATATACTGCTTCAGGTCATTTTATGGACTCATAGTTTCAGATATAATTACATTATTTTGCAGGAGGTTCAGTGTGAAGACGAAGCACTCCAACATGTGATACAGAACTCCGTCACAAGGTTGTACCAGGCAATTACACCTCTCAAGGTGGGATGAAGAACAGTTGGGATGCTGACAAGATATCCTAACATAGCCACTTCTTTACAAGGCATAACCCCAAAGATTCAGCATTCTCTGCCCTCAGTATCAGTTCGTGATTTTGGCAAAGCAGGGATGTCATTCTATGGGAATGGTGACCATATTTTGACACACAAGTCAAAGGACCAATTTGAAATGTGCAAAATGTACATGTATGTCTTTGCAGATGGACATTTAACACAAGTTAAAGGTTATCACAGCAAAAGGTACTTTAAAAAGGAATCGTGTTACATTACATGTTGATACATATGCTTCAACCACTGAGCAACATGATTACAGATTGTAAGAAGGCAATGATTCAGAATACGTCCGTTAAAGTTCAAGCTGTGAATGTTTCTGGTGCTTCAGGTGAAATCAACAGCTAGATAAGAAAACCAGAGTGAAGTTTAAATGAATCATGCAGTTTCCAATTATTGTATCCGATGTTGTGGGATGAGTTCCTTGCACTATACAGTGTATATCTTGGGTCTTTTATTATACATCATTATGATCTCATCATCATGAGAAGTGAGTGAATTGATTGTAAATAAATTAAAGGAATTGTGACTTATGGTTGTGATTATTTTATTGGTTGGTTTGTTGTTTAACATGGCACTGAGCAATACTCCAACTAAAAGGTTGCAGTCTGTAGATAATTAAGTCTAGACCAGAAAATTCAGTGATCAACAGCATGCCCTCAATCAGCATCTTTGGGTGATGGAAGATAACATCTTTTTGCAAAAATGATGTTTTGAATTTGTAGCATCAACTCTTGACTGTTAGGATTTTCATACTAAAAACTAAAGTAATAGTTGAAGTTTCAAGGAGAACAAGGAAAAGGGGTTGGTTTGGGCCCACAAGATCTGAATGATTGGATATATAGAGGATACTAAACGACCTTCGAGTTTAGTATTCTGCTGTTTATTACGCTCCAACCTAGATTCATAGAAACTGCCTACAGTGTGATCACTCAGCTTTCGACGAGTCAAGCAAAATTCTAAAACCATTGTGACTGAGGTATTAGCATTGTGACGTCATAACTGTAAACCATAATGACGTCATAGGTCTAGCGGTATTACACTAAAGTACTGTCAGAAATGCTAGAAAAATGCTTTTTGACTCATATTTAAAATTCAGAGGTATTACAGTTACTTAAATAACAAATATCACTTTAAGAAACATCTACCTAATGTAGACCCAGGGTATAAATTTTGAGACATGCCCTAAAATGTGTTTTTTACTGATGAAAATACCAAAAACTTAGAAATATAAGCGGTAGTGGGACGTTATTTGATACAAACTTTAACTGCCTGTGTTACGTCATCAGCATGCATGGTATCGACAGGTGAAATTGACACTTGAGCACACGCTCGGGGGAAGGGTCATCTCAATAGATGTTTTCTTCAAAATGTTGAATGTATGTACGTATAGTACAAGTGTTGGTTATGTAAGGGATCATATGATATCCACATTTCGCACACCAACAATACCTATATATATATATATATATATATATGTGAGTGTGTGTGTGTGTTATCTTATCGATTGATTGTAGAAATGTGCAACGGTTTAATAAATGTTTTGCATGTCAACAGTATATTTGATTGCAAAAATATGGATGTAATTCGGTCAGTTTAATCTAGTTGTGAACATTGGCCAAAGATTTAACGAAGTCACTGGTATAGCTTCTAGCTTTAGACTATATATATTCTTCTTCTCATAAAGTTTGTAGACTGCCCGTCTAAGTACTCCCTTGTCAAAGTTGTCAAGGATGGTTTTACGTCCCGGTTTTGCTCTTGAGACGGTCCCTGTCTTATCTGATTTGTTTACAATATTGTAAACTTGTTGGTAAGACATACCAACAGCTCTACAAGTTCTGTAATAAACCTTTTCTAAACTAATGAAAGGTATACCTCTCTCTTTTAAACCTTATAATCGACTGCAAGTAGTTGGCCATAGTGAACGCTGTGATAAAGATGTGCATGCATGACGAGAAACTTATTTATCAAGGCTTAACATTTATATTAATATTTCTTCAATAAAGAAACGATAATAAATTAAAGTAACATTTATTTGTTTAAGAAAAAGGCTAATTCATATTTTTACACCACCTGTATTATTAGCATTAATGTAAAGACTATTTCAGATTTCTATTGTTGAACTCTGAAAAAATCTTGAGTTGTTGTTTTGGTACCAAATTCTCTCCTGTAAACTGCCCTTTAAATGCATGGGAATGTTAAATCAATTGAAATAAAAATTAGGTACACTATAGGCGAGTTGATACATTGACAATATAGTACATTTATCACCTTTATAAAGATATTAAGGCTGAAAAGCATTTTTTTTAGCATTTCCGACAGTACTTTAGTGTAATATTTTGGGGGCTGCAAAACGTTATGTAAACATGAAAACCTCTACTCATGGAGTAACTGCATCTCAAACGTGCACTACAAACGTTATATGCGCTGAAGTTCGCCATGTGCTTTTGCAAAGGGACGTCACTCTAAACAACATTTGAAATCTTCATTTAGGCCCATAGGCTTAATAACGGGAAAATATCCTGATTTTAATACCGTGGGCGTAATTACGAGTGGGCTTAGATATGGGAAATCCCGGTACGTATGTAACTTTATTTTGGCCAAAGCATTTATTTGTCTGTCACTCCTATTCGTAACCAGAAAATAATTGATCAAATAGAAATACTATTTTCCAATATAATTTTCTGTTTTCCAAAACTATTTCAAGCCATGTAAACTCAAACTGAACTTCAGTGACAATTCCAAAATTCTATGACCACATGAACCCTGTATTATGAAATAAACTGGAAGGTTTACATAGGATGTTTATGTCAACCCTGTCCTCAGCTCCACATAATAGTTGGTGACACGAGTAAGGATAATGGACAAACGATTCTTTTGAACAGTCTAACTTAATCCAAAACGCCACTCCAGTTCATGGTCACTTTTCGAATCTCCTGAAGACCATATATACTTCCAACAGTCACAGTAAAATAACAGTCTCATTAAAACATCTCCATGTTCGCTGCTGTATCAAGCATGGAGGTCTGACCGAATATAATTGGGTATGTTCCACAAATAAATGCCCCTTTTGAAGCCTTCTTTATTTGCTTAGTAAAGCTACAAATTTCAGTACACTTTAGTATCAGACCTACTGAATTTACACGATTTCACATTTTGAAAGTTTCAGAGAGAACTTCATGTAAAGTAGAAGCACCACAATATCTGATGATTACCTTTTGTTAGAGCAATTCTAACCCATATATTCACAGGTCAGTGGTACAATTACTAAGATCTGTTTGCTTGAATTGGCTGAAGCCAGCCCTGTATTTGATTTGCTTAGTACCTGTATATATTTAGGGGTGGCCTGTACATTTGTACAGGTGGTCTGTATGTACTTTTGGATGGTCTGTATTATGGGTGGCCTGTACATTTGTACAGGTGGTGTGTACATATTTATGGATGGCCTGTACGCATTTATGGATGGTCTGTATGTATTTAGAGGGGGTCTATATGTATTACAGGTGGCCTGTACGTATTTATAGATTGTCTGTATGTATTAATGGGTGGCCTGTATGTATTTATGGATGGTCTGTATGTAATTGTCCCCCGCCGCAGCGTCTGTCCGTACGTACGTCCCGATTCTTGTTAACACGATATGTCATGAACTGTTGTACCCAATGTCTTCAAATTTGGGGTATTACGCAGACACCAGTCGATCTGCGTGACCATGACCTTATTTTCAAGGTCACCACGACACTTCGACCACTTTTCCAACTCTTGTTCACGCGATATCTCATGAACTGTTGTACCTAATGTCTTCAAATTTGGTGACAGCATACATTGGAGTATTATTACACAGACACCAGTTTATTTGGGTGACCTTGACCTTATCTTCAAGGTCACCACGATACTCTGACCGCTGATATCTCATAAACCATTGCACCCAATGTTTCAAGTATGTTGACAGCCTACATTGGGTGATTATGCAGACACCAGTCATTTCAGGCATCTTGTATGTGACCCAAAAATACAAAGTAGTAAATATAGATATTCCATTCTTTAGCGGCGGGGGACTTTGCCATATCAGTGGCAAACACTTGTTATAGATGGTCTGTATGCATTAATGGGTGGCCTGTATGTATTTACAGGTGGTCTACGTATTTTCGGGAGATAAAGGAGATAAAGTTATAATATTAGACGGAAGGGCAAAAAGTCATTTATTTGTGGGATTACATAACAAAACATTTCAGCTCTTCCAGGAACACATTGGCAACAAAGACATGTGAAGTTGACGTTTATCCAAAAAACTCCACTTCCTCGTTGCCAGTTAATTCCCTGTCAGGTAGAAGGATTGACTCTGGGAGCTCTGAAATGAACAAAAACAGATAAATGGACATTCAGGATAAAAATGAGATTTTGCTTGAAATGGGATCATTACGGTGGGTTGGATCATGTTTGTCATGAAGAAATAACCAGTTTTCTCCAAAATCTAGTTGTTTAACCTATTCCCTGCTCAAAAGTGGCCTGCTGACTAATTGGATTTCAAGCCTGTTATGATTTACATGCATATTCAATTAATCAAACAGTATTCAAGCATGAATTAAATCAGTATTTGCGATCACTAGCATCATAATTCACAAAATGATTGTCTGGCTGATATTTTTAAATACCTCCCTTATGAATAACATGCGAGAAGATATATTTGAGGCGGGTATCACTCAAAACTTTTGCTACAAAAAATTTTCAGAAAATATATAATTTTGATTAGCGCTGCGTAATATAACCAGTTTACCGGTATTTACTGGTTCAGACATGAAAACAATATGTATTGCGATATGCTGATCCAAAAACGGTATTTTGACCTGCATTCAGAGAACTCAGTAACATTCGAAAATTTCAGTTTTTCATACCGGAAGTCATGCGTTTGTTGTAAAATGGCGACCCCCCAACAATGATCAAATTATTGTGGTGCCAAATACTAGGGCAAAGGCTTCAGTATGGCAGTATTAGGTTGAAAAAGTTCACGGTTGATGGAACTACTGGTAAGAGTAACGTGGTATGTAAATATGCAATGGTACAGTAAATTAAATATTTGTTAAAGCTTAATCTAGCATAGTGATTTTGTTGTGTTTATAAATCAAGCATTAACTCGTTTATAAGTAGTTGGTTTAAAAAAAATAAAAATTCTTGCAATATATGCTTTCGCATCGCAATATATCGCAATATGAAAATTCTCTGCAATACCCACCCATAATTTTGATGATGTAAACCGATAAGGGGAATTGCAAGTGTAACAGGCTCGTTTCAAATGTCACAGAGTATTTATTTCATGCTTGTTGTCTTTTAATTTGCTGAAATAATTCACATTTGAAACAATGATAAATGCGACTTACGAGTCAAAAGTGTGGGCAGGCAACTTTAAAGACGGGCAGACAGCATTATTGGTCAACTGCCCAAGGGTCTGGTTGAGTTTTAAAATTATTTCGAACACTGCATTGCAGCCTAAGTACTGGTCAAAGGGGTGGAGGGAATGAGGAATTGGTTAACTGACAAGTATTTCACAAATGGTTGATAATTTTCTGACATGATGAACTTCCAATCCTTCATACCGGAGCGGTGGGGTAGCCTAACGTTTAATGCGTTTGCTCGTTACGCCAAATACCCCGTTCTCTTCCCTTCATGGGTACAATGTGTGAAGCCCATTTCTGGTGTCCCGTTGTGATATTGCTGGAATATTGCTAAAAAACAGCATGAAACCATACTCACTAACTGATACTGTGACAAGGAAGGAAAACTGCTTTTGTCAAGTACTGTAGTCATACATGTTTTCCCTATATTTTCCTTAATCCTGTAATACACTGGACTAAAATTATACTGTCACATTTGTGATTTGTCCCAAGGAATAGATCGCTGTTACCTTTAGCTTCATGCCAACAACCATCTGTACAGATAGGCATGTTGTGTGAAAGGGCGTATGAGTAAGCTCTTTCTAAATTCAAAGCCTTGGCACATTTTTTGGTCATGTCGTCGATGTAATGTTGAGTATCTTCACTTGTCTTAGGTGGATTGTCCTGAAAAGAAAAGCAGCACCATATTTCTATGTGATTAATCATTCGTGGGTTTGTTTGTTTGTTTGTTTGATGTTTAACGCCACACTTAGCAATATTCCAGCTATATGGCGGCAGTCTGTAAATAATCGAGTCTGGACCAGACAATCCAGTGATCAACAGCATGAGCATCAATCTATGCAATTGGGATACGATGGCATGTGTCAACCAAGTCAGCGAGGATGACCTCGATCCCGTTAGTCACCTCTTAAGACAAGCATGGGTTATTGAAAACCAATTCTAACCCTGATCTTCACTGTCAGGCAAATCATTGTGGGACAGGATCTACTAAAATGCAAAACAACTTTTGCCAAAACTGGCAACAACATTTGGGAGATTTGGAGAAAGAGTGTCCACTGCTGATTGCTTTTTCTAGCTTACTTTACAAGAAAAACAGTAATCTTCAGCCAAGCAAAGCAAGAGATATACATAGGGAATCATTATGTCCAGTGATGTTTCATCTCAAATTTTATTTTTATTGACTAGTTTTGTTGATACATGTTCATTTATACAAGAATTGCCTGATGGGATATGATATACATTACGAACATAATGTACATAAAATACATTCTGGTTTATCCATACCAAACCTTAAGAAGGAAATCATTAAAGACTTGAGTAGAACTATTTATATATTCTCTTTGGTCAGGGAGACGAGTATTGTTTCACATTAGGCCTAAAATAAACATGTTGTGGTTCCGATTACCCGTCTTGAATTCTGGTGCCGACCCTATCTTTTTTTAAGCAGTATGAATAAAGTAAGTTTTCAGATACTATTGTTTTTCCCCAGCACCGACAGACATCAGTCATTCTGATAGAGAAAGTCGACATGATGGCTGCAAGCTTGATTGAATAAACAATTACACATTGATAAATGTGTGATAGTTCATACTTTACTTCAAAAAAATAAATAAAATAAAATAAAAAGATTCCACCTACCTACCCTAAATTTTAAAGAGGTGTAATCAGAACCACAACATCTTTTTTATTTGGCCCTATGAGGATGGACATTACTGGATAATTATTGTACTAACTTTAATTTTTGTGAATCTCCAAGTAAATGTACTGATTGCAGCGATTTAAATCTGACTGTAGTTACAGTATCATTAGGACTAGTAGAAATCTGCGATTGTTAAGAGCAGATGGTATCATTAGCCTTGTGGTCTGAGCATAATAGTTTCAGTCACTACAATGCAGGGATGAGAATGAAGTTTTGAGAAAAACTCTGAAAACTAGCTAGGGGTTTAGCATCTATCGGATTTAGACGATTCACAAAAATTACCCTTGGCCTTATGAAGTTCCCTGAATTCCGCGGAAATTTCTCATCCCTGATCATGTCACTAAGTAATAACTTGGCTTATGGATCCCCATTCGAAATGTACATATTGTTTTATACACAGTGGTCCTAAAATAGTGGTGCTCTGATTAATTATAATAATCAAAGATTGGCCGGAGTGACCAAAAAGACCAAGCTATCGATCATATTTTCTCATAATCAAACACAAACAAGTTTGGAACTACTGTTTTAGTGTTTGAAACATGATGGAACATCTTAGAAAACTCATTTCATTTATTGAAAAGTCATCACTGAATATTTCTAAAAGAACCCAAGAGGTTTATGTTCATGATATATCAGTCATCACTTGAAAGTAGGAAGTTGAATCGTTTAACATTGGATGTGAAATTTGCAAATGCAATTTGCAGTTTCTAGATAAGAGACAAAAAACAACAGAGAACCATATTTCTTTTCTTTATACTAATCTGGATTAACAGAATAGGAAAATCTGAAATTATGGTGAAAAAATAAAATAATAAAAAAAAAAATTGTTTAAAAAATCCAATATTAGATAATGATAAATGATAAATAGAGGATATTTTGCTAACGTCAAATAACATATATTTTTCATCAAGTGGTCAGACAAAGATGATATGTTCACGAGTGGTGCATATTGTTATATAAACATAACTTTGTCAGACCTCTCGATGAAATATACATGTTATTTGACAACATTAACAAAATGTTCTATTTATTATATTTTGATCATTGTTTATAAATGATCGACACATCGAGTAAGTCTGCATTTTATTACGCAACCCAACTACAGTCTAGCCCTTGAGTTCCAGGCAAAAGTGATATTCTACTCAGTGAAATAGCATGTTATTCTACTCAGTGAAAATACCATTTTTATTTTCACCAATATTTAAAGTACTTCCCCCTTAAGAATATAATAATAATGAGTATTTATAAAGCGCTGTATCCATCCACAAGGTGCATGCTCAAAATGCATATATATGTAGAGAACAAAAAACCCAAATGGGTTCATGATATTTTTGTGATTTTTTAAAGTATTCTGTAGGACACTAAGGACACAATTTCATAGAAATATTCCAAAAATACTAACGATCACTTATTTATTGTCATCATGATAGGGGGCGGTGGGGTAGCCTAGTGGTTAAAGCGTTTGCTCGTCACGCCGAAGACCCGGGTTTGATTCCCCACATGGGTACAATGTGTGAAGCCCATTTCTGGTGTCCCTCGCCATGATATAGCTGGAATATGGTTAAAAGCGGCGTAAATTGAACTTCATGATAGGAAACAATGTAACCATAACTGACATTCCCCAAAACCGTTTACTCATGAAAAAAGAGGCCTTAATTACTTTCAGTGAAAGATGTTTACTTACAACTCTGCTCCTATAGAACTTGAGGGCCTGTAAAACTGTACGAATGTGATACCGGAAGAATTCCCTGTTCAGTCTCAGAAGCCCTTTCTGTACTGGCAACCTGAAGAAAATGGTAATTCAATTCAGTTGATATTTTAGGGGAAAGGAATGTCATGTGTAGTGTTGGGAATCGGAAACCAAATCCACTATCGATTATCGGAGGACTTGTGGTGAACCATTATCGATTATAATCGAAATATATACATTTTTAATGTAATCAACAATTTTAAGGGTTTTTCCCCAGGTTTTTTCTAATTAATGTTTTTTTATGACTAATACTGTCATGCAATGAAATGCACGCATGAAAGTAAGACACTGGAATTGTAATTAAACAATAAAAGTGGTTAACATTTTACAATGCGCATAGCTTTATGCTGTTGAGCGCATGTTTGTTCGTGAATATTCATCAAATTAATTGGTTAGTATACTTAATTCAAGGGTGTTATACAAAAACAACAAAATTCTGATTAATCAAACATATTTTTTTACAATCAATAATCATTTTTAATCCTTCTTTCGATCGATTTTCGGAAAAATTTTTTTCATCAGAACACCACTAGTCATGTGATTTTAAAACTTGGTCGATGGGAGATGATGCTTTCTTATATACTTTCTAATAAGGGGAAACAACTCTACTTAGGAGGCGAATGAGCTGCATTTGTCAGGGCTCCAGATAAGGGGCGTATGTACGGCTAAAAAATATACACAGTAGGAAATAATTTAGAAAATGTAGCAGATACGCACCACAGCAATGGTGACCGGTGTACAGTTTTAGAATCATTTATAGACATGTGTATCTGAAGAAGCAGGGATTGGGAAAGGCAGGGGCCATGGGCCATTTTGCACATTAGAATAAAAAATGGCCCATTAAAATTTTGAAGTTTACTATTGATACAAGGGAAGTGGCCCATTCTAAATTCAGAAAATGGGATAGTTCTCTATCCCATTCCCTGAAAAAGTATTGTTTTATTGTTTATTGACCTGTTTACACAAGAATAGCAATATGTTGTGGTGCAAATATGAAACGAAACACAAGATCACTGGTACTCCATTAAATTCCATTCAGTAGTTTTTCCAGTACTCCTGTATTGAAAATATAAGGAGTACGTATTCCTGATGTTGAAAAGTTATCTGGAGCCCTGATTTGTAATTTAGATTGGCATGACGTCAGAGATTAGTTTGATGTTGAATTTCCTTCCCAGGAGAAAGTGCCAAAGTCATTCAATCATAGAAATGGAGTGGAGTGGAGTTTAGGGATTTCGGTAGGGCTGACTATCGATATAGACCATAGAGATTAATAACTGTTAACTCAAATCGATCAATAATTATCAGAGAAGTGACTTTGAGCAAAAATCCCCCAAAATGTCTCAAAGAAATGGATATATTTCACACCGTTGGTGAGCAGTGACATGTTTATGTATGGGTTACTTAAAGGTCACATGCAACATAAAACACAACTTTGCAGATTCTGATACCTTTCGGTATGGACATACCGAAACAAATCGTCAAAAATGCAAATTCAACTTATAAAGTTGAAAAATAACGCGATGAAAAAAAACGCGCGAAATCGGAGTTCAAACGTTTCACTAATTTTCCCCAGACTTTTCTGGGGAATACGGGTTTCAACAGCTGGGCTGCGCTCATGGCACGTGCGCAGTGAAATAGGTTCGCGCAACTTGGAAGCGGGCTGTCTGGTGAATACTCGGTGAAGGCTTTGGTGTGAGCTATTTTCATAATGTTTTGTTGATATCTCACAGGCGCGAGCTTTTTATATGTTATGACAGTAAATAAACTGTTTATATAATTTCATTTGTCTATTTCACCACACGTTCTTCTTACCGAGTCACTTTCTCAAGTTCGATACTTAAAAGCAATGTCATTATTTAGCGTTGACACAATTTCTAACTGTGATATAGATATGTCGTTGTCACAGACAAAACTCAATGTCTTGTTTTATTGACACCTATGTGTCTGCCTGCCTGTCTGCTAATGACAATATTCAATACACAACTGCTATCACTGACCACATGCAATTTGAACTTAACACCAATCAGGCTATACACCATAAACAAAACGCATTGGTTTATGGCCCGAGTTCGGTCTCTGTCACATTATGTAATTACACGGACAGGCAGGTGACTTAAGTCTAAAAATGACTTAAGTTCCCAATAAAACTTAAGTTTTGACTTAAGACTTATGTTTTTTCTTAGTCATATTCACAAAACGTATTAGACTTAAGTTTGCGCTATTTTCGACTTAAATCCTAAGCCTGTTGTTGGCTAGGCTTAACTCTATGTATGTAACTTAAGTCAGTTGACAAAAATGGCCGCCAGACATGCCAATAGAAGAATTTACCGTCCAAGAAGTAACCGTTTTGAGGACTTAAGTGATGAAGAACTCATTAAACGGTATCGTTTAGACAGGGGCGGCATACAGTTTGTACTTGATTTGGTCACGAATGCCATTCAGCCTAACACAGCAAGAAATCATGCAGTCGATGCCACTGTGAAAACACTTTTGACATTGCGCTTCCTAGCAACAGGAAAATTCCAGCTATGTAATGGTGATGATCATGGAGTTAGTCAGCCTACTGTGTCCCGTGCTGTACATGAGACTGTCAGTGAACTGTCATCACACCGAATTCTCACTAGATTTGTTCACTTTCCGACACAACCCAACGAGATCCACGCGAATCAAATGGCGTTCTATCAGGTGGCCCATTTCCCCGGAGTTATTGGTGTGATTGACTGCACTCATGTGCAGATACAGGCTCCACGTGTCAACGAGCATGTCTATGTAAATAGACATCACTACCACAGTATCAACACACAGGTAGGGGCCTATACTTCTACATTCTAATCACACGTCAATTCTTATGAGTTTATCCAATTGCTTCAATTAAAACAGCTATCTTCATTACTTTATGTAATAGTTTGTTTAGCTGTCATGTTGGTAAATATTCACAAGTATCCTTACCTTAGAACATTTTATTTTCAACAGGCTGTCTTTGATGCTGATGATAAAATAACTGACATAGTTGCACGGTGGCCCGGTTCAACGCATGACAGCCGGATATTGACAGAAAGCGGACTGCACCGCTTAATGGAGGGGGAATAATCTGCCAGCCGGCGCTCATCTCCTCGGAGACAGCGGATACCCCTCAAAGAGGTGGCTCCTGACACCCTACCTCAGACCACAACCCGGTCACCAGACAAATTACAACAGGTAACAGTAACAGTAAACACCGAACAGTCAGCCAAATCTTATCTAATTAGAGTTATCCGCCCTTCTTAGGGTTAACGTACAAAGCTGAAATGGGGTGTGTCTAAAATAAGATTGTGGTGGAAAATGTAGATGCTTAGATGTAATAATAACAAGACTGATTAGTCATTTTCACTTTTTAAACAGTTTAAAAATAATCATATGACTTAGATAAAATAGAATTAATTATATTGATTTGAAATTATATTTTATTATTATTATTTTTGTCTCTGATTAATCCGGTTAATTATTAAGTTGTCAACACATATCTCTTTCCAGATCACATAAGAGAACAAGAAGTTCAGTGGAGAGAGGATTTGGTCAGCTGAAAAGAAGGTTCAGTGTCCTTCATGGGGAGATGAGACTTTCACCTGAGAGAGCATGCAAAGTAATAACATATTTTTTTTATTTGCTTTTATTCAATGTATCATTTTTAAATGATATATAAGTAATGACCATGGATCTGTTTGTGTCAATACAGGGTTTTTTTCAATCAAGAACATGTTATGTATTATCTGAAAGGTATATATATAATGTGAAAATGTGTTATGCCACAAAATGTTGTAAATGTGATTTGTAATAAGAATGATAACATCATTAATTGTGAATTTAAGATCTGAAAATTTTATGAGCAAGAAATTCATATGATATATAACTTTATAAAACTGGGTTTCCATTTAGGTCATCACTGCATGTGCTGTACTGCATAATATTTGCAAAACCAGGAATATTCCTCTTCCAAATCTTGATGGCAACCACAGGGTCAACCCTCCCCCACAAAATGGACAACTAGTTCTGCCTGCACAGGGTATCATGGGAGTTCGATACCGGGAACAGTTCGCAATTACAAACTTTCCTTGTGAGTATTTCAAAAATGTCTTTTTAATTAGTATCTTTCTTCCTATTAATCAAACATATACAAAAAGTTTCATTACTGCAATATATCATGACGATATGCAAAATGGGCTGTTTTCCAGGATATCGTCCCCCTTTTTCTCCAGAAATGACCAAATGATTAAATTTCAAATATACAATAGCGAATCCTTGTAAATTTCCACTGAGATGAAATTACAAGATCATTTAAAGGAATTTGTAGGCATGAATATGCTGATCCTAAATCCTAAATTCACAGACTGCATGACATTCTTAAATCTTGCTTATAAATTGAGCAACAAATAAGTTCATTTAAAATGAAAACATACAATCTGTTCAGTTTCAAAGTTTAATCAAAGCCAATTGTGAATCACTCTTCCATATTAAGTTTCTGCTTGAGGTAGCGCTTCTTTAACTGAAGACATTCCACCTCTAACTGCAGTTTTTCTCTCATCAGAGCATGAAGTGGATGAAGTGGCTGAGGCAGCTGAGGTTGTGGTGGGACCTGTTGATAAAGCTGAGGTGACTGAGGTGATGAACTTGGAATATGAAATACCTGTGCTGGTTCACAAACTTGTTCACAAAATCTGCAATGGATAAAGAATGTGAAATTGAAATACAGAATTAATAAAATAATGAAGTGAAATATGTTTTTCTTCTCTTTTCAGTCCAACAAACTCCTGAATATAATTATTTTGATTTAAGTGTAAATTATTTGACAAATGGGACAGGGAACAATGAAATAGATTATAATAATGGACATTCTTTAAGACACTGTTATAAATTAAAATATTGGAATTTATTTTAGACACTTTTATCAAAAATAAATTTTGGGATTTTTTGGGTCTAATTATTGTTTTACATGCTTTTGAATATCAGAATAATTTTGAAACTATCAAACAAAGCGAAGAAGGAGCTATGAATTCTTTTAATTTTATCATTAGTGATGTGGCATTATATGTACGATACAACTATTATCAGGATTTGATCCACATACCTCTTGATCCGTAGCTGTACACGCTAACCACCCAATCCCATCCCGAATCAATATTGAAATTATAATAATGAATATTGATATTTGTTACAATGTTAACTGTTACTTCATTACATTATACATTTGTGTATACTTTTTGATATCCTTAATCCTAATTGATTCATTTAATTTTGGCTTTTCTTAATCAGAATATATTACTTTTACATTTCTGTATTGACACATTTAATTTCCTATGTCACATACCCTTGTTGAGCTGGTTGCATATTCAAGATTTGCAGCATTGTGGAGTCCATGGTCTGATTAATCCCTGTTAGGATTTCATTTTCTCTCCCAATGACGTCAATGACATTGTCAGTAACAGGACTGAGTGGTGTTGGTGGAGGACCGCCGCCTGAAAAACAAATTCTATTGATCAATTTCATTATACATAGACAGTGATTTTTAAAGTCAAATAGGTTCTGTATAATCTATATGTTACAGACATTTATATTATAGACATTTTAATTGGATGATATTGTGATGAAAAATAATTAATAAGTGTTCGATACGTACCAGTAGTTGTTGTCGCCCTGTGGAAGGTTGAGTAACTCTTCTTTCCGCTGCTTTTCATATTCTTCCACTTCTTTTCGATTTCTTCTTTGGTCCTTTTCACTGAACCCCCAGCATTTAGGCTGTCAGTGATACTCTGAAAAAGATTCATTCTATTAAACTCATATTCTTTTTAGAACCCCATGTTATAATATTTATTACATTTTATAACAAAGAATCATCAACACCATAAATTAATTTCTTGCCAAGGTTTTAAAATCATTGAGCAAAAACAGATACAAATTGAAGGTAACAAATGATATTGTTTTAAGCAATTCAGTTTAATCATTGTGAAATATATAACATTCAATAAATATATAATAGCAGCAGGTAATAAATTAAATGTAAATGACCATAGCTTTTACAAATGACCTAGCATGACCACATGTTCAGGGATTTGTGAACATGTTCAGTTGTCAGCAGGTTTAATAGGATATGTTTTGTTAGGAAGTGTATATGAGACTTAGTTTGTACAAATCCTCTAGCATCTACATCACATGTTCAGTGATTTGTGAACATAGTTTGTCTTTCAGTTGTCAGTGATCAACAACAAAAGCAAGGATATATTTTGTTAGGAACCGACTATAGAGACTTAACAACAAAAATCTCTATCCTCTAGATCCCAGTCTCTCACGACAAGCATAGAAGCCTTTTGACAAACATTTATTGGAACAACAACATTTTACATGGAATGATGTTGTTGAGTTATACTGAAACAGGCATTAAATTAGTGCTGTCAGGATGATAGGGTTTGTCTATATCACAGTAAGATAATTGTTATTTTCACTTGTATTAAATCTGTGCAATGATAATGTTTATTATGTCAACAATTTCATGGGGGGGTTTTAACCAAGGGAAAATCCGAGGAGACATAGCATACATATAGATCTATATTTCAATTTTTATAAAAACAAAAAAAAAACTCAACTGCATTAAATGGTGGGAAAGACTTCCGCCCGTATCCCCCCTTAAATTTCATTTTAGTCAAATCATATCACCTGAATATATATTCCTCATCTGATAATGATGAGTTTAAACATGTTTCTTCAACTGTATCTGAACATACTGAAAGACATATCCAACTTCTGAAAATGCCTCTCAAAGAAATTCTTCCTCATCTTTAAAATTTAGGGGGATACGGGCGGAAGTCTTACCGCAACGGTTCTTACTAGGTCCTTATTAATAAACTCCAATAATTGTTCTCGGACCAAGCCTAACTCGACGTTCTTATTCACATTGAATGCACTCACCTGCCACGCCTCCTGTCTGTTTGCCGAAGTCAAACCTGGCCCGAATTTTCCTTCTATCAAAGTCTTCCTTTGCTTCACAAGTTCTGATAACTGCAAACATTCGTCCTTACTCCAATTCGGTTTTCTTTTCTTTGCATCATTGGTCCCAGTTTCTGCCATTTTGATCGTTGTGTTGTCGTCTGCGGTACGACGACAGAAGGGAATCCCCGCTTGACGTCACTTTTTATTTTCTTGCATTAAAGAGTTCCACCGGAAGTTTTCCGTTGCTGGTATTTTCCCATTAGCAACGATGCGCACGCACATCGGCTATGAACTTAAGTTTCTGATCGATTTAACCTCCGACTAAGCTAAGTTTTTTGACTAAGTCACTTTATGAATACGAACTTAAGTTTCTGACTTAGGTAAGTCAATTTTTCAAAACTTAAGACAAAACTTAAGAAAAATCTAAGACTTTTTTAGAATACCCTAACAATGATTTTGCTAGAGAAAAATGGCAATATGACATTCTCATGATTATTTCACTTAGGGCAGACTATATCAATACCAAACTTGATAACCTTCATGTCATTTGAATGACAGTCAAAACACTACAGTTACAGCATCCGTTAAGGTCCGGGTTAGAATACAGATCTTCAGTAACCCATGCTTGTGGTAAGAGGCGACTAAGGAGATTGGTGGTCAGGCTCGCTGACTTGGCTGCCACTAGAGATGGGCGGTTTTACCAGTTAACCAGTAAAGTGTGTTTTTTTTCCATGAGCTGGTATGTACCGCGGAAGGTTGAAGAAAACCGTCTTTTTTTTGTTCAAATAAAACACTACTTTTCTCTTCACAAAGATATTTGTTAGCAAAATTTGTGATCTCACTAGTTTTTCTTTATATGGTTTCTTTAAAATGCCGCTATCCAATGTAGATTGAACGAAGAAAATACTCCAACGAAAGGGCAATGGCATTGATGATTAACAGATTTGTTAACTTGTTGTTCAGTTTTGAAATTTTCAATTTCATATGGAAGTTTGTGAAGGATATTATCTCAGTTTACTATTCCTTTTTGTGATGACTGATGAGTGATGACTAGTGATGAGTGTTTTTGCAAACTAAAACTTGCACTCCTAATAATTTAATACCTGAATAATGCTGAATTCAAGAATCTCATTGCTCAGCCGTGACTCTTGTAATATTTCTAGTCAATGTGATTTTTGTGAAGTCATTTTGTGATATTGTCAAGTTATGTTAGCTTATGTCGTTGAATTATTGGGATTAACAAGATTGTTTATTTTGTTCATAATGTTTCATTACTTCATGGTCCAATCTATTCAAAATCATTAAATTATTATTATTATGCTAGCATTTGTATAGCGCCGATATCCAGCTCAGCTCAGCTGCTCAAAGGCGCTTTGTTTTTTCCCTCGTTCACTGGATGTCAATCTCAACGGCACATCGTATTGTCAATCTCAACTCCCTGGGGAGCATACAACTCTTGCAGCCTACTAGGCGCACCGAGTTAGTGTGGCATTCCCATCCTTACGAGGTACCCATTTTTACAGCTGGGTGGACTGGGACACATAGTCACAGTACTTTGTCCATGTTTACTGCACGTTGCTGTACCCGCAACTGGGTGTTTGCACGTATTCATGTGGCCACCATCTGGTCATATACCAACGGATTCGTGGGTTCTTTTAAGTGCACAGGGTTGTGTACCGTACACTAGGGGTTGTGACAACACTGAAAGAGTCTGCACACAAAGTTGACTCCAAGGTATTTACACCCGGTCACAGGTGGGCTCGATCCCGGCACCTCAATCTCGCTGGATCACTAGCCTGGCGCTTTAGCCAGTTCGCCCACCGCGCCCCCAAGACAATCATTAGTTAGTAGTTACTGCAGTAGGATGGTAAATACCGTGGTACTTGAACAAAAAACCTTGGTATACTGTGGTTCTGAAATTTACGTGGTACCCAACCCTAGTTGCCACATGTCATCGGTTCCTGCGTAGATGGATGTTCATGCTGTTGATCACTGGATTGTCTGGTCCAGACTTGATTATTTACAGACCGCCGTTATATAGCTGGAATATTGCAGAGTGCAGAGGTGTAAAACTAAACTCACCCACTACAGTTACAGGCGCTGGTCTTTATCCAAGGATGCATAACTGAGACATGATAGAATGGGGAAACTTTGGGTTGAATGGTTGACCATTTGGACACACCACCACCAAATGGACTGGGATACCTAATGATAGATAGTGTATTAATTACTTACGAGCATCCATTCTTTTGTGCAAACGAATCCGCTTCACTTTTCAGTGCCAACAGGAAGGAACGCTTGACTATTTTATTATCTGCAGAAGAAACATGCAAAGTATAATGCCAATCCACCATTGTGCCCCACTGGTCAGACATAAGATCACCCTTTGCTGATAAACACAGGTGTATATAAATAAGAACAAATTCACACTAATGCCCTTGCCTGACAAATTGGGGAAAATATTCTGATATAGTGCACAATTAGATTTTTAAATCTAATTTTTCTTGTTTTTGTAAATTTTGAGATATCAGAAATTTTCAAGTCATTTTGTCTTCAGACTTGGGGCTAAATATCAACCCCTGAGAATGTGTAGATAAATCCGCCTTGTGAAAATAAGATAATTCATTCACTTGAACAAGAAGTAGGTAACTCTGAATCATGTTTAAAGGTCACATAAACCCTAGGGGGTACAAATACATAAATCACTAACTGGCATCGTTATAAATGAAACCCCGTCATTAAAACTACTCATTTCGACCTTTAATTGACTTAAATCGACCTTTTTGACAACAGTGCACAATTCTCACCCGCGAACGAAATTTCAACCAATCAGAGCGGCGCGCCTCTGTGACGTCATATGAGGAATAGCTTTGAGAGCCGATGCAGAATTCATCTACATTTTAGGGGGTAAATTATCGTGTTTACAGGCTTGTATAAACCTGAAATCGTGACAATTGTTGTGGAAAATGAAAGCTATATGTTCTCACAATCTACTGTCATTTAATTTTGTCTCCTGCTTTGCCTAGTTTCCGAGTTACAACTTGTTTTCATAGACGATTCTGTCAAAATCGATTGGTGTCGTTAGGCCCTATTTGTATAATGACTGATCCAAATTGATCCCATTTCTGTGTTGTTTTACCTCGATATTTAATCATGTCATGTAAAAATCTGTTTGTATTCTCAAAACAGTGTCGGCCCATAAGTTTTCACATGCAATACAGCAATTAATACTCCCTCGTTGTAACCCGTGTTAGGTGGTATAAACCTACACATGTTATTTGTCATCATTCACTTGATGGTCAGTTAATGAATTTATAACAGGTATAATTAGTGGTAACACACTTAGATTACCCGACAAAGGTTCCCATTTGGCATTTCTTGTGTCTGGAGTAAATATTCAACATTATAAACATCGATCAAAGGATTAACCGATAACACACTGATTGATTAATTACTTTTATCTTACACAGCGGAATTGTCAAATGGTAGTGTTTATGTATGTAGATTTACTAATCTATACTGAATACACTCTGTCGTGTCGGTGTCTGCATAAAAAAAACGTTCTTGTTTCAAAGGATTAACCGGCAATACATTGATTGATTGCCCATTATTGGCTAACTAAATTACTGTTTTTAAAGAAAGGCGGACATTATGCAATTAGTTGCCAGGTGTGCTATCTTGGGTGACCAATGAGACTATACACCAATACCTGAAAAGATTTATCACTTTTTCGTATATTAAACTGTTAAAAGACACATCATTTGGAACAGTTTTGTGGATATTGATGGATACATTCCTCGAACAAGGTAATGGCCTGATATTGTTCCTATAACTTTAATCTGTTTTAATTTTAATATTTGGATTTTGTTTTTTATTCATTTGTCGTAGCATTCAACAGAATCATTGTTTTCGCCGTGAAGTGTAATGAGAATTTTTAAAAATGGCGGCGCCCTATCGGGAACATCCGCCAGTCTGAGGATAAACGGTATTTAGGTTTGTTTTCACCGAGTTACAAAATCAAAACTACTTTCTACTGGTAGTAAAATATGTATTTTATTGATGGCCAATAGGATTTTGCATGACATAGCGTATATCATAACAATTTCTCTCGTGGCAGCGAGGTGGGTGTCAATATAATACTACTTACAATATTATTGTTACTTCGACCACAACCTCACTTCCCGAGGAAGAAATCGTTATGTTACAAGTTGTGTCATAGAAAATCTTTATGGTCATCAATCATATGCATATTTTACTACAACTAGTAAGTAGTTTTGATTCTTTAACTTCCGTGAAGCGATCTGAACACAAGTAAGATATCGTTTCAGGCTTCCACAACGCTCGCTTCGCACTCACAAACATAACCCTTTTAGCACGAACTGCGGGGTCCTGTGGAAATCTGTGCATGGTGACATCATCGCCCGACCCCTAGGAGCAATTGACGACAAAGCAACGATTCGGCATGTCGTCGTTGATTTCGAGAAATCATCAAAATGATGAGCGTGCTACACATTTTCTATACAACTAACTGAAAATCGTTCCTCATATGACGTCACTGCAGTGCTTTGGCGACAGAGTTACGTAACCTGTCTGTGGTTTTGTTGTCTGTGGTTTCGTTGGCGGGCGAGAGGGAAGCAGGCGACTTTTTGGCCACTTTTAATCGCTCGGTATTAATTAACCACAAGTTTTTAAAGAATAAATTTGGTGTTCCGCATAAGACTAACCACAAATCTTTCATATGTAATGGTTAAAAGAGTAACAAAAAACAAAGTTTAGTGGTTCTTTAACAAATAAAGAGGTTGATATGCCAAAAAACGTATTAAAACAAGTATGTCTCGGCCTGATCAAGATAATGGTGCCTTTCCAATGATCCTTAATTTGTTTGGGGAGATATTGTGCATAGATTCTCAAGTTCTTCAAACAATAAAGCCAATAATTGAAAATACTGAGGGCCTTTTTCAAACCAGAGAAACAGACATTACCCTGTTGTTGTACTCTTACTGCAACAAAATTTCACAAATAGCAGGGATTGGGATAGAAAACTTTGACAATGGGCCATTTTCAAGACTAATAACCATTTTCTGAATTTAGAATGGGCCACTGCCCTTGTATCAATAGTAAACTTCAAAATTTCAATGGGCCATATTTTTTTTTGTTCTAATGTGCAAAATGGCCCATGGCCCCTACCTTTCCAAATCCCTGAAATAGCATCATATTGTATATATGTGACTGGAATGTGTAAAACGTTGGCAATATTCTACAGGTAGGCCAACAGAATTATTTCATTAGGGGACAGACCATTTGTGTTTGAAAGGTAAGTTTTAATACCTGTATGTTTTAATTGAATCAATACTAAACATCATCAGAAGCAGTATCATCATAAGTGAAATACTTACACAAACGCCATTCAGTTGAATATCCATATGTGGTTCTCCTGAGATCAGAAAAGGCAGGACATTTGTCCAGCTGGGAGTTCTCCATCTTCTGGCCATAATCACTCATAGGGATGAGGACTACAGCAGAACACAGGTCTGTGACAGCAACAGTCACCAAAGCCGCCACAAGCAGCTTCCACATGATGCAGCCTGGAAATAACCAGTAGTTTTCAGCTGTTTTAAAAATCCCTCAAAATTTTAATTGTCTGCAGATGATATGTGTTAGAGAAGATTAACTTACAACTCAACTACTTTCTTGAATGAAATGAATGTGTATTCCTTTACCCATATACAATTTGCTTTTTGCGGCTCAACTATTTACTCAATTAATTTCTAAGCTCAACTATTTTCCTAACCTTAGAGACACTGAAAGGGACGTCCAGTAGTGCACATATGTACCCATGTTTCTGTTTACAGAAATGTCCGGGGTTGTATTTCATTGTACCATAGTCAAAATCCAAATGCAGAAACGAACCCAAGGATGAACACAATCAGCATTGCATCATAATGCTGTTTGAGATAGGGTTAGGGTGAAGTGACACTAAACAATATGGAATACCAGGAGGAACACCCAACATACAGTACACCAGAAATTATTGAGAATTTAAAGATTGTAATTTTTTTTTTTTATTTACTCATTACTCACATATTAAATGTGAATATTAGCAGAACATAACTCCAGATTCAAAGACAGGTGAACAGTTAGTATTTTGTCAAGTCACCATGGGCAGCAATGCAGGCTTCAATGCAGCCGCATACTACTGATCAAAGAAGTTAGAAAGTCATGGTCCATGCTGTCTCAATATCGGACCCCCTCTTCTTTCATTTTTCTTATTGACACTTTCCTTCTTAAGTCCCCAAACATTTTCTATTGGATTTAGGTCAGGGCTATAGCTTGGCCAGTCTAATAATGTCATATTTTGGGTCCGAAACCAGGCCTGTGAATGCTTTGAACGGGTCGTTGTCCTGCTGGAAAATCCAAACATTTCCATCACACACTTGAGCAAATGGAAGTAAATGCCCTTCCAGAATATCTTTGTACCCTCACTGTTTATATTCCCTACAAACACAGAGGGGTGTTGCCCCTAACACACATATGCCACCCCACACATTAAATTTCTGACTGTACTTCGGGTGCTGATACAAAGGTTTTTCAGTTTGTTTGGTCCAGAATTTCAGTGTATTAGGAAACAGCCACACATAACTTTCATCTGAGAAAATCACCTTGTCCCCCACAAAAAATTCTATGCTGTAAGCACCAGTTCAACCTTCGCTCCTTTTGTTCAGGTTTCATGATCGGTGATGGAATTCCTGGACTTTTCTGCCAACCCATTGCATGCAGCTCAGTTCTAATTGTCTCCTTACAGACAGCCACAGTTCCTCTATCAATCATATCCAGCCTTAAGTTTTTTAAACTCCTTTGTTTGTTTTTAGAAACAAGAATACCAAGCCGCCTCCTGTCACCTACAGTCAATTTCCTGGGCCTACCTGGGCCTCCCTGGTGCTCAATGCCATATCCATTTGCAATATTTTTCAAAACATAGTCATCTGTTTTCGTTCAACATCTGTTTTCGGTCGGCCGTTTGCGTGTTCATTTCTCGCGGTTATTAGCGAGATTTTACGTCACCAGACAGGTTATTTTTAGCAGGAGGTCGACTGCTTCAGCTAACAAAATGCTTCGTGTGAAATTTAGTAAGGTACATGATTGCAAACACACGTAAATGTTACGTTTTAGAACCGAGTTTACTAATGCATAAATTTTCATGTAATCAAAATGCTATATCTAAAATATCGTCAGATCCACCTTTTCAGTATAGCGTCGTCTGCTTGTTTATAGTATGACGTATTATTATCCCATGACATATTACGTGGCGTTGCCGTCGTAAAAAAATATATGGAAACTGGATAGGATCATCTCTTATTACGATTTTCCAAAATATTCATTTAATTTTCGAAACTGCAATTAATATATTTCTGTGTCATGGGCCCAGTGTACTCATCCTGCATGCTGTCATTGGGTCCACCTCAAGCTGTGCACCTCCGTATGTGTAGTGAGATCTTCTGATGAGTTTTGGTGCCCTTGTCAGCGCGAACCGGAGGAGTGAAACATGCCTGGACATGTGATGTAACTAGCGAAGTCTTATCATGATTAACTTTGACATGAAATTATTACGACCATAGTTTCTAATAATTATTATTGGAACTATTACAAATATTCTTTTTTGGACTGGATGTTTATTAACTTTATATTATAAAAATATCAGCATAGCACGAATACTGCTATTTGATTCGTGTTTTACGGAGAACCAATGAAGTGAACGAAAACAGATGACGTCACTTCCGCATTCAGGATCTTTGCGTAGCGAACTACGAGGCCTGCTGTGCGGGTGAAACACGAGGTTAATCCGTCAGATATTTGAATATCATAAATAAATAACAAACAAACGAGGTAGGTTTGTTTATTATCGATTTATTTATGCACTTAATGTTACGTTGGTCGACAATCCTTACATGACCGAAAACCGAATACACAAGGATATATCAAAGCCGCCTAAGTTATTGATAAACAATTTGTCATACGAATTTGGTTGTGTCACGTGTCATTAAAAAGGCTGACATTAACTTCTGTATGGTGCCAAATAACCGAAAAACAACGTTTTTATTCTGGGCTTTCACAATGACTGATGTGTTACGACTCAAATACGAGGAAGAGTGTAGATCTAATATATCCTGTAAAACGCTACCTCTCAGCACATGTATTTCATGGAAGTAACCTCGATCCTTTTCTGTGTTTGAAAAGAATACCAATTTACAAATGCATGCATTCGGTATCGGGATCGAACTGAAAAGCTACGTCTCTCATTCAAATAACAATCCCCAAGTGATCTAATCACTTCAGAACATATGATGTCCGCCATTTTGAAATTCAATGTGAGCACGAAATACCCAATCAACATCTGACGAAAATAATAGGCTTCAGGTTGTACTAAACCATAGAACGCTATACGAAGCAAATGTAGATCAAATGTATCTATTAGATCAATGTTGATCACCGTATTGTGATCTTAATCAATTTTATAGACAGTAGTTACTCACAATTTACAGCTCTCACAACTTTTTCGAGTTATTATGCACGTGAAGTGACGTCACTGTTGCGTCATTGTATACGTCATCAGTTCGATTCCCCGCGTGCGAGCTCGGCTATATTCGGCTTATGTATTTCCCGACATCCCGCATGGCGGAACAATTTATACAGAATGTTACTTTTTGACCCTACCAAGTGTGGTATAGAGAAACAATTTCTGCTGAAACTCAATCACAACATTTGTAAGTTAAACTTATTAAAAGTATAATGAAGTGAATATGGTGAATTCTGTTATTAAAAAGTGCACTATTATTTTATGGCGAAATGAGACAAATCGTGTCCCAAATCGTTACACAGACGAAGTTTGTACCTCACTGAAACCAGTGTTCGAAATACCTGCCTGCCCGACCGCCCGGGACGGGTTATTTTCAACACGGACTACCAGATTCTCAAATTCACCTGCCAGACGGTCAGGTTAAAATTTAGACATGTATATGAAGATATGATATTTTGTTTTGTGGGCGGGTAAGTTTTGGTCAGGGCTGGCAAGTTTTGCATCCAACCATCCCTGTGGTCTGGCTGAAATTTATGGGAGTTTCATACCCTGCTGAAACTTGTAAATGGAGCGGTTTTCAATGGGGTGACTATTATACATTTTTTATAAAGTTTAAAGTCGAAACCATAACATGAAAACATACGTGTATGATTAAGCAGAGTTTCCAACCCAAAGAGAGAAAAAAAGCTTGAGATGCAGAGGTCTGAGGGTCGCCCTCCTGGCCGGGTCCAGAAGCTCCCTAGACGCCAAAGCATACTGTAAATTCCCTTCTAAGAAAAGGACCGCCTCCGTGGTGTAAGTGGTTAGAGCGTCCGCCCGCAGAGCCTTCATCAAGCACAACTTGTTGCAGCATTTGTAAATACAGTACCAAACGTTCTTCATCCATGCAACGGCATATGAGGTGTCACCAAACATCATCTAAATTCAAATGTGATTTATGTGACAGGGCGTTCGCCAACAACGATAAACTAAACTCGCAAATCAAGCAAGCAAGAGCATGAACGGAACACATTTCTTTGTGAAGTGTGTGTGTGAAAGTGTATACTTGTCGCGCGATTCCCATGTGCAACGATACCACCTGAAAAAATCCCACACCAGTGCTTGCACATATACATGTACAATTTGCAGGATTCATTTCATTTCAGTGACCATTGCTTAACATGTAAACATGGAGAGGGTATACATACGATCCATAGGGGCTTTCTGCAATACTACAACATTTTGACTTCATTTACCCACCCAGTGATGTCATGAGTAACACACTTGTTCATTGTGCCGCTGGAGTCATACTCACCTCGAATTAATTTGAAAAGGTTAATGTTCTGAACAAACCATTGTATGAACACTGGGGTAACAGACAGTATAACACCCATGTTTGCTGGCCAAAGCAAACAGACAAAATGTTATTTAGTATTCTGATGTATCATTTTCCTCTTTTAGACGGTGAGTTTGCAGTGTTTCGGCGAATGGTTTCTGACAGATAACGTGTTGATAATAAGATTTTATTTTCAAGTGTTTACTTTCTTTTGCCCGGTAATGTATATGAAGCTCATTATGGTACATGGATGTACACACTTACCTCTGAACGTAAACCAGAGCTAGTCAGTTCGCATGTGTGTATTATACTTAGTGGGGTGGTTAGCCTTCTTCAAGACCGGTGCTGGGGTGGTGGGGTGCCCTGGTGGTTAAAGCGTTCGCTCGTCACGCCGAAGACCCGGGTTCGATTCCCCACATGGGTACAATGTGTGAAGCCCATTTCTGGTGTCCCCCGACTTGATATTGCTGGAATATTGCTGAAAGCGGCGTAAAAGTAAACTCACAACACCGGTACACATGATACTAATGACGTGTAATTCCATTAATATATTTAGAACTCTAAATATCCCTAAATTGTAACTCCGTGATAAGAAAATGATACAGAAAATATCTAAACAGCACAAAAATTACGAATCTTTCTCTTCACACGCCTCACATGATACACTTTGCTGAACGTACACACGTTGTGGAAACCTACGCTGCATGGCCCCGTCTATGTCTTTGTGGTGACCACCGACCACCGATTAGTTGGTCAACTACAAATCTCCGTGAGTAGTGTCGGGGGTCACAGACTAATCCGAATACATGTCGTTGGTTTTAATTTTGCCGAAGTTTCCATTTATACGGAGGCAATTCAGGAGTCAAGTCTTTACAAATTCTCTATTCATATCGACGAAGAATAAAAGCACAACTGTTTCATACAAAATGCTAAAATACTTAGTAAATGTATAAGTGTGTTTTGGGCTTACTCCATGAAAAGCAAAACGCAAAAAATGTGCCATGAAATAGGCACAATCCAATTTGCTAAAATTGCTTTGTTTGAGGGAAATATCTCATTAGCAATGTATTTGAACAGTGAAACAATTTCGACAAGCAGAAGGAAGGCTATATTGTCGAGTGGAAAGGCTCCGGTAAATACAAGTTTCAGAAAGCTAACGAAGTCTGTGACATGATCAGCACGATGAAGTTCTTTCACCCCGTCTGATATCAATCATGTCATTTCACGGACATACGCGTCATACTTGACTTTCCATCAACATCGGGGGCGCGGTGGGCGAGCTGGCTAAGGCGCCAGGCTAGTGATCCAGCGAGGTTGAGGTGTCGGGATCGAGCCCACCTGTGACCGGGTATAAAAACCTTGGAGTCAACTTTGTGTGCAGACTCTTTCAGTGTTGTCACAATCCCTAGTGTACAGTACACAACCCTGTGCACTTAAAAGAACCCACGAATCCGTTGGTATTTGACCAGATGGTGGCCACATGAATACGTGCAAACACCTAGTTGCGGGTACAGCAACGTGCAGTGAACATGGACAAAGTACTGTGACTATGTGTCCCAGTCCACCCAGCTGTGAATGGGAACCTCGTTAGGATGAGAAAGCCACAATAACTCGGTGCGCCTAGTGGCTGCAAGAGTTGTATACTCCCCAGGGAGTTGAGATTGATAATGCGATGTGCCGTTGAGATTGACATCCAATGATCGAGGGAAAAAATACCAGCGCCTTGAGCATGCACTAGTGCGTGGATATGTGCGCTATATAAATATCCTATATATATCCTCACAAATGTCACCCTTAGGCGATATATCCTTGTCCCTCTGCTTCGCTTTCTTGCTTTAATAGAGGACAACTGTGTCTGAATGTACTATAGATAGAGATTTTGTGTTTTTGCAGAGATGTGTAATGTCTTTTTTGTACCCTCAAGTTCGCTTGGTACAATGTCATACACACTTGGCAAATATTGATTCTTGCCTTTGTTTTTATCAAATGCTATGGCCATTGTCTTTATTTATCAAATCTCCGTGTTTCTGCACACAGTGATTCACAACTGCAGAAAAGTCATCTATATAAGGGCAATATCCCCACCTGACCTTCTCATCTTTGTTGCTCAGTCTGAAAGTGATCGAAAATATACTTTGTTATATCGAAACACCCGCCTATTTCATATTTTCGATAAACTTTTGAGAAAAGGTGTATAGAAAGTTCCGATCACTGCTTATTCCAAATTTCCGATCACTGAATTCTGTGATCAGTGTACTCCCGCGATCACTTCACTGAATATCAATTTTACATTTTGTACAATAACTTCTACAATTTCACCCGAATGACTTCTTCTTTTTACAGAAGCTGGTATATTGGTGATACATTTTAACTCTGTTTGTCTTTCATAAGAAAAATTATATTTCAAATAAACTTAGTATTTGTCTGCGTGAAAAGATATGTTCTGCCGATAATCGCTGATTGCTTTCTTCATGTTTCACCTAGCAACTTCAAACTTTCTATAAATAACCATCCGTACCTTTGCATTCGTGTAATGTTCATATTTAAATGATATTGTTCGTCTTACACAAATGGTGGCTAGATGTTTAACACTGAACTTACATTCACTGCCAAAACAAGCACGCGATCACTGCAAACGCAGGCGGACAGTCACCCTATCACTGCACCTCTGCAGGACAGTGGTTCCATGGGGTGAGTGTTCCATAACTTCCAAACTTCCATAACTTTGTTTGTGTTCGATTATGAGAAAACGTGATCGATTGCTTGGTCATTTAGTCATTGCAACCAGTCTTCGATTATTTCGATTAATCGGACCACCACTAAGGCTACCCCACCGCTCCTCCAATTTGCATTAACAATATTTTTTCACAAAGTTGTTTTTGTCTGTTACATTTCAGAAGCACTACAAGCTCGTTCAAAGTCACGATTGAATTTATCTTATAGACTCCAGGGAATTTATGTTTCTAACATACTAGTCATTCTTTAAGGATGTGAAATTTGCAAATGCATTTTGTGCAATTTTCGAAAAAGACTACATGTCTTTCCTTATTTTTTGTGCATTAACAAACATAACGAGAAAACTTTGATAAATGACGCAAACCAATTATTTTCGATAACTGATCGGTTGTAACGAACCAATCATCAATTTTGAGACTTTAACCAATACCCAACACTAGGTAGCCTAATGGTTAAAGCGTTCGCTCGTCACGCCGAAGACCCGAGTTCGATTCGCAACATACAACATATAGGTACAACGTGTGAAGCCCATTTCTGGTGTCCACCCGCTGTGATATTGCAGAAATATTGCTAAATGCTGTTTAAATACATAGTCTTCACTCACTCATATCTTTCATAACGTTGTACAATTTTTCTGGAAACCAAGCAAGAAGTTTGATATCTAGGATAAAAATATTCGAAAAGGACTAAACATTCTATTTTTTTGTACACAAAACAAGATGTAACTTCGTGCTAATCGTGAGACATCGCTGTTCTGTCAATCGAACGACCTAAAAACACTTTAAAAACATGGCAATTACCTCTAAAATGTGTGAATATGTATTATAGAATGACCCATTTTTGACAGGTAATATATTCAGTTATTGTTGTGTGCAGTTGAGCCTTTTATTCCAGAAACCATTACAACCTTCAAACGTCCTTCACAAACCCGAGAGTTATTCCCCCTTTTCTGGGGGAATGCTCACCTTGCATACCGCTAAAGAAAATGGAGTTATCTCCCTTAGATCAATGTCATTGCTCCGGAGTCTAATAGATATTCAATTGCAAAATGATCAAAGAATATATTTCTTTTACTTTTACCCTTAGCTCATCATGACAACGTGCTGGTATACAATGGGGGATCGGCGTTGGGGGGACTGAAACGTGAACATTTATCTCAAACTATTCAGATACATATACACAACACCTTTTAGAAAGTGGTCAAATGTAACATCTGTTATATTTATGATTACACCGTCCCATCCGGGACGCCGCCGTGGCTGAGCGGGTTAGACCTCTGACTTTGTGTGCTGGCGAATAGGTGCCTGACTCTGGGGGCGTGGGTTCGAATCCCGGATGGGACCCCAACCAACAAAAGTACTAGAATCTGTACTTTACAGTGTGTAATCCCAAATATAACATATGTTATTTTCAGATATAGATTAGTAAAATTCTAAAGCGCAATTGAAGAAATGCATTTATTTGAAAGGAATATGGTATCAAGATCAGTTCTGTTCAGACAAGTGCAGCTTGAAGACGTTTTTGGTGAATTTCTTCAAATGACTGAAACGACATACTGACAGCTGACTCATCACACAATTCATGCTGTTCGTTTGTTAGTTTCAACAGTGAATTCCTTGTCCATAACATATAGTGAGAATAAATTAGCATAACTCCACAAACGTATTTTGAAAGCCTAAAAAATACACTTTTGCTGAAGCTGCTAGTTCAGATTTGAAAAAAACTAACACCTGTATACAAATTTAGTGGACTAATCTCATAAAAGACATGCGTGAAGCGAGATTTTATCAATCCTCTCCGATGGTGAAAACCTCACTTCGGCGTTCGTGTTTGCGATCTTTTTCTGAAATATTCTAAACGATTCTATGGTTATCGGCAGCCATTTAGAATGGTCATTGGCGATTTCAGAAAAAAAAGAAGAAGGAAAAAAAACCCCCAAAAACAACCCAAAAACACCCGTGGTCACTAATGTGTTATTTTTGTAAATTGAATATACCAGTAAAAATCTGACGTTCAGGGTCCAAAACATTCATTGTATTATGTCGTACTCCACCGGGAATTGTTTTGAATTAGATGCTCTCAGATGCAATTTCCTGCTTTTTTAAGGTAAAACGATTCCATTTATGTAACCTCAAATTTTGTATAAAATATTATATTTTCCTGCTACGTTTTCTTTTTTTTCATGCTTTTTAAAATAGGTTTCTTTGTTCAAAACTGTAGCATCTGTACATAATATTCCGAACTAAACTTTATAAATATGTTTATACCTATTTGTATACATGCAAAACAACTGTGGTTTTTTTCAGTTTAAGTATTAATATACAATACTTGTAGGATTATTGAATTCCGTTGTCAGTCCAGAAATTGCACGCGAAATTCACATCATGTCTTCAGGTTTGTTCAATATGTTTGGAGTCATGTGCATTAATACAATCCTTTTTCGAATTTAGTCTTTTGATCGTTAATTATCATTAGGTATGGCACAATAATGTCTTGAGTTTATAAGGTTCCGGGTAGTCTATGTCATTGCCCTGGATTCCTTATTTTATTTATCAATGGTTGTTGTAATCATATGTAATTAGGTGTACCGATTCTGGTACCGATCATCTGTGAGATGGGCTGACCGCAATCTTTGCGTCAGTGTAACTTCAGGGATGCGGTGGGGGTATATGACACTCAAAAGAGTGTTATATCAATACGTTGATGTACAAAACATATTCTCTAAAATCATTCTAGGGGGGCAGCTGCCCCCTGCCCTCCGGGCTCCTTACGGCCCTGTGTATGCCCATGTGGCATCCGTGGGTAAGAACAAGCTGGTACCATGTTCATTCTAGTGTGCCCATCGACTTCGATGTGAGAGACGGGGCCAAGTTTACACGAGGCAACAAGGACATGGTACCAGTCTATCTCAGCACGCGACAAATCCCGATCGGAAGTATCTGTTGATTGGTTGAGTCAAATAGCCCGTGTTGTGACGTCACAAATTTACGTCATCCGCACTGCTGTTTCAAATTCATTCGTAGACGCTACTGCAGTTGGTTGAACGAACAGATCACAAGTAAGTATATTACGTTTGCATTGTTTAGGACGATGTACCCAGGACGATTTCGTTAATTATCATTAGGTATGGCATAATAATGTCTTCAGTTTATAGGGTTCCGGGTAGTCTATGTCATTGCCCTGGAGTCCTTTTGTTTTTTAATTGTTGTTGTAATCATATGTAATTAGGTGTACCGATTCAGGCCCTGGATTTTCGAAGCTCTCTTAGCGCTAAGATAGTCGTACGTTAATGTTAATGTATGGCACTTACGACCATCTTAGCGCAAAGAGAGCTTCGAAAATCTAAGCCCTGGTACCTATCATCTGTCAGATGGGCTGACCGCATTCTTTGCGTCATTAACCACAGGCCCCCACCGCCAACTCGGTCTTTGGCGATTTAATAAAAAACATCAAATGCATCCCCACGGAAAGCCCATGTATATGCCTCCTACATACATCGGAGATATGGACAAAAGCTTTTGATGCTTGTGAGACCTTTAAAATATGATATATTCATTGACATGTGCGTAATTGTCCGGTTTTCGATCATGTCACCGTATTTCTGTGATGAACCTTTATGTATTATATAGTAGGGGATGATGATACTAAACCGGGGCCTAGTTTATCGATTTTCTGGCCCGCAGTGGGGGCCTGTGTCATTAACCCCCTGGGTGCCACAAGGACATATATGTTCTTCCTCTTCAACACTCACTTTGAAGTCCAAACAATTTGCAAATATATCACGCACACAAATATGCTTCATAGTTTTGAATTCTGTGGGAAATTCCCTGTTTGTTTTTACCATCCACTATTATCTCAGACAAAGCTAAAGTGCTATAAAAGACGTTTCCAATAGGCTTCATCGTAAATGGGGGCGGTGGGGTAGCCTAGTGGTTAAAGCGTTGGCTCGTCACGCCGAAGACCCGGGTTCGAATCCCCACAAGGGTACAATGTGTGAAGCCCATTTCTGGTGTTCCCCGCCGTGATGTTGCTGGAATATTGCTAAAAGCGGCGTAAAACCAAACTCAGTCAGTCAGTCATCGTAAATGTCGCCATTTTTGACAATACGAAATCGCGATTCACAGCGTCATTTGCTGTATGTTTTGAAACGTGAAAATGGGATAATTACTGGGAGTATTGAATTTCAATAATTGCATATGATCACTGATATCAGTCATTATCAGTTTGTCCACGAAATCACTAATGACTATTCTGAAACGTTGCCGATGAACTTAGAATCGGTTGGGATGTTTACGAAAATACACCAACACGAAAGCCGAAGTGCGCTTTCCAACATACTGGATAGTGTTTACAAAATCACGTTTCGCGAAGGCCGGTATTGAGACGCATATTTATTATTACATTACGTATATGTCATATTCCGCTGCGACAAATGCATCACTGAATTCCCATGCTTTTTAGAATTAAATTACAAATGGTCGGCCTACCTTTAGAATACAGCACCACAACTTCTCGTGAGGACGATCTCTGCCGTAGGTCACATGTCAGTAAGACAAGGCAACCAGTTTGTGAGAACCCGTCGGACGCGAACCCGCGACCTTCGGATTGTTAGCTCAACAGCTAACCGACTGAGCTACGTCCACACTGTTACACAATGTGCAAATTTATCGAGTCATTCCTGTGACGTCACGGAAATGAACGGAAAGAGTCGAATAGGTCACGGACAATTACGAATGCTACGGGTAGACTTGGTGTCTCGTGATTTCATTCTTGGGACAATTGCCGAATGGATCCGATGCCATTTGGCACACTCGTCCCATTCCGTAATCTACAAATTAACGTGTGGCGTGGAATGAGCCGATATGCCTCAAACTGAAAAGGGTTGTTGACGTCAGGCGTCAGACGTAGATTTCACGGTACATGCATGAATGACGCGCTTTTATATAAATCGGTGATTTTGTGACAGAAAAGTGATGTAGGGAACACTGTAAGGATAATGTGGATCGCACTAAGGAACGAGGGAGACATGAGCATGTGTAGTGACGGCACGAGGGTGAGTTAGCCTTCGAATCATTACTGAACAAAATTTATGTTGCGTGTGAAAGAGGCTTGAGTGCAAATTCCAGGCCAATTTCCATTAGCCCACAATTTCTACATTAACCCATTTCATAATGTACTTTCGACGTTTTTGGTTTCCCGTTTTTGTGTGAAAAAAAAGTATTAAAATGCAAAAAAGAAAAACAACAAATGGTACTCACGTATTACACCGGACATGTACCTGCTATATTGGATTAGGTCCCTAACCCCTCAGCCCTAACCCTAACCCCTTGAAATAATCCTAATAAATAGAATGCATTGACCGAACCACCGGACATGTACCTACTATATTGCATTAGGTCCCCAACCCCAACCCCAACCCCAACCCCAACCCTAAGCCCTAGCCCTAACCCCAATACCTTGAATTAATCCTAATAAATAGAATGCATTGACAGAACCGGCACAAACACGACTGACGTGTCTAGTGTAATGCATTATTACCGCTTCGAAAAATAAAATACTAATAAAACACTTTTCTATGTAATGGTGCAAATTACTGAATGACAAAAATATATATGTAAATTTAAAAAATTACAAAATACAAAATACACAAAACATAACACCTCAGCAGCCCGTAATACAAATAAATATGAGTGTATTAGTGAAAAAAGAAAAATATTTCAAACTGGTGCTTGCAAAATATTGCGCATCCGCCGGTATACAACTACTGGAAACTCTCAACATCGTTGGGCTTATGCAATGAAATAGCTCGTAGAGATGAAACACCAGTGAGCGGAGCTTATACGCACTCGCTGAGCCAGACAACCGTGTTGCCATGCAGGCGTCATAGGGCATTGTATCGAGAACGTGCTTTCGAACAAAATCACATTACATTACGTAAAAGGGTATTATGACGTATTTTTAAAGTTTGTGGTGCTGTATTCCAAAGGTAGGCCTAGCATAAATAATTTTCATGAAGTGAGTTTTAGTTTAGGATGTTTCTTTGTCATATTTGACACGCAAATTCTCTGCTCTGCGCACATAATTTCAGTTCATTTTCCCGACCATCATTTAACTAATGACATCACATTTATCAACTTACGTATGGTTCTACAATGCACAATCCCATAGGCCGCCATGTTAAAGGTGTTCACGACACTGTACATATGTTGATTAAATTGTTGCCATTCGATAAATAAGCAACGGAAAATTAAACAGAAATTATGTGATTGTAGGTAAGGTGATTCCTAACAAATGTGCACAATTTGTCTATAGTCTGTTTGCGGTGAAAACGTACCGATGAATTTCACTTTAAACAAAAAAGTAAATCAAATAAAGAGAAATTAAGATTGCGAATCCTCAATTTTACCTTGGCCATTTGAAAATGTAAATCTCCGAATTTTATTCAACTTAGGATAAAAGTTGTTTAACAAACGATCATAGTTTCAAATCGGTATTATTGGTTTGTATCGATTCGATTTACATTTTTGTTCACCTGTACCTTTTCACTGCAACCAGACAATACGTAGGATCTTGCGAAATTTACGTTATGCTACACTAAATTAACATGTTAAATATGACAAAGAAACATCCTAAACTAAAACTCACTTCATGAAAATTATTTATGCTACACTGAAATAACGTGTAAGTCTATGGAAATTACGTCAAGTGTCCGAATACCTTTTGCATGACTCGTGTGTAGACCGTCTCGGTTGGTCGGTCGGACGGGCCTTATTTCATACACTGGTATCGTTCAGGGCCCACTTGCACAGAACGATCTTAGCGCTACAATTATTGTAAATTCATAAGATCGCGATCTTAGGCTTCGGCTACAATCGCCATCGACTTGCACAAAGCGATTGTAGGCTAAGATCGTTGTAAGTTACAATCGAAACTTACAATTGGTCCAATTGTAAGGAGCTAAGATCATTGTAGTCTGTGACAAAATGGTGTTCAAGTTTCACGCAAATAATCAGCTTTACGTTTGGAGATTGCTTTTATATTGCATAAAACTGTACTGTATGATTCGCCTCGACACTTCAACAACACGGATAATGCACAACCGATTAACGCCGGATACATTGTTATTTGCTGTAGTGAACCACAGAACTATTGAGTCGATATCACAAAGTACTATTCCCACCCGATTCAATGTTGGAATAAGTGTGAAACAACATACCTTTTTGATAATCAAGGAAGGATACTACCAAATGGTGTCCGCGTGCGATTAACAATGGCCGTGACCTTTTCATTAACTCAAGAGCAGATAATTTTAGTTTATGGGCAAGATGGGAGTGGTTTCCCCTGGCCTATGCCGTTGCCGTAGAGTCGTCATGCCCAATCGCAGAGTTCAAGATATTTTCTTTTCGGTGATGGAGTGATTTTGTCTTAGTTAATCATTAAAGTAATCAAAAATTAGATACAAGTTAACGTGCAAAATCAAGATTCAATTTTAATTTCACTTTTAGAAAAATATTTATCAACACAATAGGGTCATATCATTAATATACTGTGAATGAGTATTTAACAACTGCTCTCTCGATATATTATTTGATGTTCGTATTTCCCTGTCATGAATTCTTTACAACACTTCTGTAGCCATATTACATTTTCTTGTTATATTGTGAGAAAACCAATACTTCTAGGGTATATTTAGGATTTTACACACACACAAAAAAAAAAAAAAGGAAAAAAAACTGCTGTGCATTAAACAATGTCTCATTGACAACCAGTGGCAAATCATGCATTAAGGTGTTATATCATAAGTAAATATTGTCGATATTTGATATATTATTATAATTTTCATAATTATTAAGTCACTAAATCTAGACCCAAATTTATGAATGTATTTTTTCGCAGTTCAATATTTTCATAAAACATGGGTAGGTATTTCCGTGGTTGAAATATCACATTCTCAGTTCATAAATCAAGACAGTTAAAATGTAGAAAAATATATGCTATCGTCCACGTAATCGTTTCCTTCGAAGATTTCTTGGAATGTTTTTCATGAAAATTCTGCAAAGCGCGATTGAGGGAGGTATGTATTGTGTGCAGGGACCAGTATCACTCTCTATTTGCGCAGTATGCTATGCGCACTTGCAGAGAACTGTAGACAGGAGTCGAGTTTAAGAAATTCGCACCTCCACCGTTGAAGAGTGCGATCTTAGCTAAGATCGCGATCTTAAATCCATGCGGTCTTACAATCGCGCTAAGATCAGCTTCGTGCAAGTGGATGAGGGCAATTGTATGGTGATTGTAAAGTTGATTGTAAGGCCCTAAGATTGCCCTGTGCAAGTGGGCCCACATACTTTTTCATGAAACTAATTTCAGTTAATTCAGTATCTACATTTAGCCTTGTTCAATATCTTACACGTGGATTATAGGGTATACGTTTATATAATCTTTGAAAGTTTTTGATTGTTTGAATAATATTCACATAGGAAATTGACACATTTAGTGTAGTACACCATATTTTATACCTTAGCACAAGTGTTAGAAGATCTAGCCTCGCCATAACTTCCACATGTACTTTAGTTCCTATGATGTACACTATTCAATGCATTGGGACTAATAATGCAGTTTCATATGAACATGTTATTGAACACTGCAGCGGTTTAATTCAGCCTTATAAGTGAAACTGATAATATTAATGAAAATGATTTTATGAAATGTATATGCACACATATGTAAAGGAATGTGTCTTATTCATTGACTTTGTTTGTGTCGTTTTATAGACAAAACAGTGATGTATATTGATTGGCCAGGTGCGCGTTTCTCAGAAACATTTTAGGTTTCACTATCATTGTTTTCGATCATATAATAAATTCATATTCGGTTGAAAGATATTGTGATGACAGGATATCAATCTCTAACTATATTTATACAAAAATTGTTTAAAAATGTATAAATCATGTCATGTCTTACATTGGACAAACCTTACATCCATATTCTAATAGTTCCAATACAAAAAAGCTATCTTTTTGCATGTTCAGTGCATACTTATGAAGAAAAATAGCTACATAATCATAAACAAAGAAAATACTTATCCTAAAAAAATATTCGGGTATTGTGAAATATTTTTTCCATTTACGTTGAATTAATGCCAAACAGGTGCGCGTGTTGTTCACAATAAGATACACAGTGAATACACATATATTCCGGATAATATTTAAATGCTAAAATCATTCATCTTATGTTTTGACTAAAAAACTCTTAAATTCTGACATAGAAGCCGAGACCTTTTATGCAATTAATGGAAATTAGGTGAGATATATACTAATCAATATACATATGTCGATTTTTTCCGACGTCGCAAAATACATAAAACAAGCAATAACGTCAACTAAAATGTTGTAATCTTTTCAGTAGTTTCATTACATTTGACGATATGGCTAGTACTCTGTTAAAATTGGTGCAAAATTAGTCAAATTACATCTACACAAGCAGGAGAATATGAGAATCTAAGAACTAACTTATCTATCGGATAGGGCCATTCAAATCGCTATTACGTGCTTTCTGAGATAGTACTGCAGAGGCCCAGATAAGCTGCGTATCCGGGTAAAATACGCATAGAAAATTTCCAATTACCCATTGAAAAATAATTCTTGCGTACCAATTACGCATTCAAAATGTTAGATACGCAAAAAGTTTAAAACATGCGTACGGAATATATTTATAAAAATTGCTTGCGTTGTGAAAAAGACATCGATTGCTATCAAGTCGTACTGTTAGTATAGGATGAGTGATTTTTTTATGAAATCATTTCCATTATATTTAAGTTGGTTTTGATTAGGTATTAGGTATGACATAAGGCAGAACATACCTACCTGCTTAGTAAACTTACTCAATGACATAATACTTAGGTGAGTAAAATGACTGAAATACGCACATATTTGAAAGCAGTGGGTAACGGAAAATGAAATACCCACTCAACGTTCATAATACCCACTCCAACAAAATACAGTGGGTACAGTATACACATGAGCTCTGTAGTACATTGTCATCTTTTCTTATAAATTGTGAAACTACCAAAATGTATCCGCTCACATTGGGGAACTTTGTATTGGAATAGTTTGGTTCACGGTGAACAAAACATAACGAAATTATGGCGATTGTATGCACAACACATTCTCTGCAAGTGGTCTGCGTTACATTGACCAAGTGTTAAGCATAGCGGAGTTATGTCACGTGTTATATCAATACGTTGATGTACAAAACATATTCTCTAAAAACATTCTAGGGGGGCAGCTGCCTCCTTGCCCCCCGGGCTCCTTACGGCCCTGTGTATGCCCATGTGGCATCCGTGGGTAAGAACAAGCTGGTACCCTGTTCATTCTAGTGTGCCCTTCCACTTCGATATGAGAGACGGGGCCAAGTTTACACGAGGCAACAAAGGACATGGTACCAGTCTATCTCAGCACGCGACAAATCCCGATCGGAAGTATCTATTGATTGGTTGAGTCAAATAGCCCGTGTTGTGACGTCACAAGTTTACGTCATCCGCACTGCTGTTTCAAATATTCATTCGTGACACTACTGCAGTTGGTTGAGCGAACAGATCACAAGTAAGTAATTACGTTTGTATTGTTTAGGACGATGTACCCAAGGTACAGCCACTGAGAGCCGTATCAAATTAATCCTAATCTAAATTTCCATCTTTTTGTATAAAGTAAAACTATGAATATCATTTTGAGGAAATATCCAGCTTACTAGAGGCTTAGTACAAAATGACTGCCGTAATGGATAAGGATGAAGGGAAATTGAAACCTAAACCTATTGCTGAGCATGCGTCACAGTTTTGGATTGATAACGTGGCAGCCGCACGCACCATGCCGAATTATGCGTCCACCGTAATTGTTTTTAAGTTTCATACTGGCTAGAATGCATTATACAGGGTACCTAGCAGGGTTTGGATTATTTTCATCTCAGTTTTATATTTTTCACCTTTCCGCGCTCGCATCACGTGACCTAATTAAATATGGCAGCAGGTATCCGGTATAATGCATGTGTACTGGGTAGATTTACTTATACCGGTACCACTAAACGTATTAAGGAAGCTAAAGGTTAGGGTTCAGGGTTAGGGTTAGACTACTATATACAACCTGAAGTAGCTAAAACAATGGCACCGGTATAAGTAAAGTGCTCCATCCATACATTTGTGTTCATGTTCGACTTGAGGAATTATTTGTGAGTAATTTCGCACTGGCCCTCGTGTCTTTGCGAGGATTAATGATTAAAAAAATATTGTTTTTGATACGACCCCCGACTCGAAATGATTCACAGTACAATATACATCATGACTAAGTCTCGCCAGACTTGCCATAATGTATTATACTGAAAAGCATTTCGAGTCGGGGGTCACCTCAAATTTTGTATATACAGTCGTGCCCCGTTTATCCGAACACCTGTGTTTTTCTTGAAATTGTTCGGATATCTGAACCGAGGACCATATGGAAAAAGACAGACAAACAAACGAACATAATAAGCCTCAGACGTATTCTTTATTGATTGATTGATCAACAAATAACATACTGTAAACGTATTATATTTCGCACAGGTTTTATTTTCGCGCAAAACATTTTAGCGCGAAAATTAATACACCGCCAATAAACCTGTCATTCATTCAGTCTAGCCACGCTCGCCCCTGAGTTGTTACCAAAACATATCAAGTTTGAAGACAGAAATCTACGGGAATCTTAAAATGACGACTGATAGTAGCATAAAGAATCATACTTAACTGTCGCTGTAATGAATTTCCCAAAACATAATTAAATAATGCGCCAAATCCCATCGCCGAATTAGCGAAAACAGCAATGTGTGTTGTGGCCGCCATGGAAATTGGTCACATGACAGATGGTTTGATACAAAACAGATTACCATGAAACGACTCGGAAAGAAATAATACAGCAGTATTTTATCTATTCATTAAGATTTTATTTACCAGTACATCATGAAGCGAATAGTCACTTAACACTCAATCATCTCATTCACAACAACCCGGCTTGTTTGAAATCACAAAGAGCTTCATATACAGTAGAAGTTAATCTCATCTGTCTGTCAAATGCTAGCAACCAATCACGAAACAGTTCTGATGTCGTCCACGCTTTTGCATTGTTCCTGTACCCAACAGAAACCTCCGGATTGAAATCACTGCCAAAACAACGGGGACGTCTAGCCTTGCCAATAACAATTGACAGGCCTCAAGATTAACTATTTTATAAAATATTTAATATTCGCGAAGACACGAGGGCCTGTGGAATTTCGGCCGTTGGAGACCATTTCTCAGAGGGGTTCTGTGTTCACCGCGGCCAGCTGTTAGCGTGTCGTTTAGCAGAGGTCTTCCACAAGTCACCGCCTAAAACTAGAGTGTTCTAGGTCCTAAAAATGGTATTTTCGAGAAAATCGATCGTGAAGTTTAGAACAACAGCATTTTCAAAACTATTCGACGAAATTGTCTAGAATGGTGCACATATGATACAGTAAGCCATAAGTGAGTCATCATTAGTGAAATTTCCATGGACTTTCATGTTAGTTAAACTGTTCCAAGAATAATTTTCGAATTACTATAAAGGCCAGCAAAAGAAAATTCTTCACGGAAAGTAACATAAGAGAAATATAAAAGATAAAGTTATGAACCCTATTAAAAAAAATAACTTAGTTCGCGGGGGGGGATGTCCCACGACCTAGTATAATAGCAAGTTCATGTTCACAATTCATTAATTGTTTCATTCCCTATCAATCTGCTGTAAAAGAAAAACACAAATAGTCACACAATCGATTATTCGAGGTTACTGTATGATATAAATATATATTATTTCTGATTTTCACGAATGGCATGAGATATTCTGAATGGCGATAACTGTTACTGTGAGAACATCTATTTATATTGCCATGATTCCCACCGGCACGTTATATAAAAACATGATTGGCGACAGTGAACGGGCTGGACACATGGGTGAATAGCTAAAGTATCATAATTAATTCTGTTTCATTAATTTAACGAACGGGGAATAATTTTGCAAATGTCGCTGAAATATGGCGATAACTGTTCGCTAGCCAGTAGTGGTACAGAAACCCAAACTGTTGAGTAACCCACGTGTATAGTTACATGTTTGCCACATGTTTTCTTATTTTTCTTTAGTTATTGTTTGGGTATTATCTTTTCTTTCTTTCTTTTGTTTGATTCCGTCTGGTTCACATAAAAAAGCAGGGTATAGGTCTATTGTACATTTTAAATAAAAACTTCGGCAGAACTCACGCCTTTTTATTTACTTATTTATAGTTGAAACGTATATGCAGTTTTTTTTGTTCCATTCAAGGATGAAGCTGTTGGTGCTTTGCGTGTTGGCGATGATGGTGACGGTGGCGATGTCTCGCCGATGGAACTTTGTTGCCCACAGACATGTTTCCAGGCAATGTAAGTAGTGTCTTCCATATTCTTTCAGGGCAGTGTAAATCCCTTGCTAACGGAAGCTATCTCTTGTGGGTTAGATTGTACTTAGTTTATCCCCAGCTGTTTAGTGTTTACCATTGATGGTTTGTGATTTTGCAAGAGACAAATAGCAATATGTCATTTTCATGATCTGTCAACTCTTAATGGGACATTCTTCCAAATCATTGAACCCATATCTTCAAATAATCTTCAGGACAATCTTGATAATAAGTTAGTGTCCCGTAAAAATGAACCGATCTGAAACCCTGTGATTGTTTTTTTTATTTGTTTAAAAAAGGGATAATATCTTATCGCTATTGTTTTAACAATATCGAACCAAGTTCATTAAAACAGACACGATTCGTAGATGTATTTTAACAATATGAAACAAGTTCGCGCAATGCGTCGCCAATTTTGAACGTACCGTGAAAAAAACAATGCGTCGAAATCGCGACTATATAATATATATGGACCCACTTGTAAAGAGCTGTTGTAGAGCAATAACTATCGTGACTAGGTGTTACCGTCTTCAACACTGACGTACCAATAGTTGTAGCGCCATAACTGCTTTGGACAAATGGTTCCTGGTGCATTTACCGGATACAGACGCCATGTCTGACAGAATTTACCCGTAGGATTTAGACCAGGATTTTCTCTTCGTATCTTGCATTACTTTGTTTGGAAGCATTTACTTTTTTTATGTTGTACTTGAAGTTTCAAGATAAGTTAAAATTTAAAGTATTGTTATTCTGAAATATCAACATCTTGAAATTCAAAGAACAAAATAACGAATGACCCAGTAAGGTTTCCGTTGTGTGACAGGGTTCCATTATTTACTGCAAGAATAGATATTTTAAGGAATGCCCGTATGCCCGCTAAACTCGCCGCAGAACCATTTGAGTGCCCGGTCACAAACAAGATCATCTTTCTCACTTCAAAGGCGAGAGTAAACTAGCAAACAAGCTTCTCCGCAATTTAAGCTTTCCAACAGTGAAATTTTAAGTTGGAAATTGGCAGAAATAGTGCTTTTAAGGTATCTATGACCTCAAACATTTAAATCAGATGCGATGTAGACCTTTTGAGCTTTTCATCTTTCATCTTAAAGCAATGTTTGAAAGATGAACGTTTAAAGTGTTACCCCACTGTCTGAATCTATCAAATGACAGTCTAATCAAACGTAAATTAATTTTTCTTCAAAATAATCGACCATCTTTTTAACCAGGGTTTCATCGGTTCACTTTCTGGGACATTAGCGGCCTATCGTAAATAGTTTGTTCAAAGATGAAACAGAATGCCCTTTCAAAACCTACATTATGGAAATGTCTGCCTTTCAGTTGAATTTATTGTAATACAATTTGCATGTACATCAAACCGTGGTAACTACTTGGCAACGGATACCTTCTTCAGTTTGTTCATAAAGTTATATTTTGTTTAAAATGTACCGATACAATACTTCGTATTAAAAAAGAAAGACTTCTATATTGGAAGCATAAAACATGGCTGCTAGGTATCCGGTAAATGCAAGTGACCCGTTTGATATGCAAATATATTCAAATGTTTCGTTTTAATGCTAATTTCACTACATTTGACGTTGAAGTTGAAGTTGCACTGAAGGTCCAGATCATGGCTGGGTTTGATAAAAAGTTGGCCAATTGGCTTGCACGTCATGGCAGGAATTTGAGGTAAACATGAGCTTTCTTATTTTGTATATATTTTTATATCATACGCAGCGGTGCGATTATAGAATACGTTCTCCACCTAATTATCTATTTTATCACCAGGTTTACCTTATTCGACCAATCACCCACCCTTTCCTCTGATATTCAAAGGGTTAGGGTTAATTTAGTGTGTTGAACAATCCTATAGCGGCTCCAAACCTTCGTAGCATCATGTAGTGAAACCTTCATCGCATCATGTAGTGAAATCTTCATCGCATCAAGTAGTGAAACCTTCATCGCATCATGTAGTGAAACCATCGCATCATGTAGTGAAAGCTTCATAGCATCAAGTAGTGATCCTGAAATCTCACAACACATTTGACAGACAAAACCCTTGAGGGACATTGAAAGAGCAAGAACATTTGTAGCAAATATATAGTCTTGTATCCATATAGAAGACATATCGTGCACGGTATATAAAAACACAAGGTGCTACCATCTATCGTTTCATATATATCCTTAGTATTTTTTTAACAATGAGATTCTGTGTGTGCATTGCCCGAGTAAGGCAGCTAACACTACAAGGAGTTTTAAGACTATAGAAAGGTTATGCGTAACAGTGTTGATGTTAACAATACTGCAGTTGAGCTTGGCTCTTCCAGCACATCATGGGAATAAATACTAAATGTGCTGCGATTTTCAGGTAAATGATAGTGCAATGTTTCTTCTTCTTTTGAATTTGTGGTTTGTTTGTTTTTCAGCCCAATTCAGAAGAAGACGCTGTACTTCGTTAATAGGCGTTACATGCAGACTCACTGGCAAATGTACATGCAGTTCATAAACAGGGAGATAAACAAACTTGTAGGTATCATTGAACGCCATAGACCCATGAAGATCCGGGTTAGAATTGATCTTGAGAAATCCATACTTGTAAGAGTCGACTAACGGGATCCGGTGGTCAGGCTCGCTAACTTGGTTGACACATGTCATGGTATCCCAAATGCGTTGGTCGATGCTCATGCTGTTGATCACTGGATTGTCTGGTCCAGACTCGATTATTTACAGACCGCCGCCATATTGCTGGAATATTGCTGTGTGCGGCCTTAATGACAACCAACCAATGTAATGGGGAAAATAACATGATAGACAAATGTGTTGAAATATATTTCCATGTTTTGGACCCATATATTTAAGGCTTTTGGATCGTAGTCATTGCCCTAGAAAATAAACCAATCTGAAACACTAGTTTTTGATCCAGCAATAACATATTACAAGCACCAGAAAAAATCACTTCGTTTTCATGCTTCACTGTGCAATATATTTTTTGGCCTCAACTCTTCCATTTTTACATATGTTTTCAGGGTAGGGCACCCAACGTTAACGATTACAGTCGTGTTGGTGCCGAGATCGGAAGACGTATTCCTCTGGAAGTAACCTACAGCTTTTTGGTCAGGAGAAACTTGATCCCTAGATGGCGTCAGTACATGGGAAACCTTCTGGCCAGTGAGTATAGTGTGTGTGTGTGTGTGTGTGTGTGTGTGTGTGTGAGATAGAGAAGCCAACCCATACGATTTTATCCTGTTCGTTACGGAAAAACAACAACACAAAATACGCGACTACAAATCAAACTATCAAATAGCATACGTACCATACACAATAAATTTCAAACACATTTTATTCCAGTGATGCAAAATTAGTACCTTTTGGGCAAAAATAGTATTAAGTTTTGCATCAGTTAGGCCTAGGGTGTACGTCTGCGTGTGTGCATGTACGTCTGCGTGTGTGCATGTATGTATGCATGTACATTGTTTTAGATATTTTCTCGTTCCCTGTTTCACATCATTTAATGATGTTATATATGCTTTTATGGAGATATACAGACTAATCAGAAAGCGTACTTCTGCAGCCCTTCGGTATTACAGTGTATGACTCTACACGGAGAGCTTATTCCATTTCTTCAGTAACACTCACTCTCTTATCGACCAATAGGGATTGCATAAACAACAAACAGGATTCGTTCGTTTTAAATCTCGGTAACACAACTTCATTTTAAACGCATTGTTATTTGGAACTTCTTATGGAGGTTTGTTTTGTTTTTACAGAACGCGTGGAAAATATCCCAATTCGATAATGCACGTGGAACCAATGCACAACCGTGGCATGACGTAAAGAGACAGAGATGGGGGTCTTTCATCAAACGCTGAATGGGGCCATGACGTCATCTCAGCGCGCGGGTGGCCAGATTTTTCACCCGATATATTCTATTTAACTCGTAAACATTGTACAATAGTAAATAAATACTTTTGCTACGATATGTATTAGCGTTGAAATGGTACATCTGTTTTTGAATGGCAGGATTCTTCACTCAAGCGACTGTCTACAAAATGGTGTGTGTGTGTGTGTGTGTGTGAGAATACAATAAGAAAAAACATCATCTGTCACCTAGCAATCATCTCTCTGAGGCAAAAGGTTTAACAGCCTATAACTTGAGTTTCAGTTAACTCTCTTGATTCTGGAAAATGCTAGGTTAGATTAGTTAATATTACCATTAAAGTTAGCGAACAATCCTATAGCGGCTCCAAACCTTCGTAGCATCATGTAGTGAAACCTTCATCGCATCATGTAGTGAAACCATCGCATCATGTAGTGAAAGCTTCATAGCATCAAGTAGTGATCCTGAAATCTCACAAACACATTTGACAGACAAAACCCTTGAGGGACATTAAAAGAGCAAGAACATTTGTAGCAAATATATAGTCTTGTATCCATATAGAAGACATATCGTGCACGGTATATAAAAACACAAGGTGCTACCATCTATCGTTTCATATATATCCTTAGTATTTTTTTAACAATGAGATTCTGTGTGTGCATTGCCCAAGTAAGGCAGCTAACACTACAAGGAGTTTTAAGACTATAGAAAGGTTATGCGTAACAGTGTTGATGTTAACAATACTGCAGTTGAGCTTTTTGGCTCTTCCAGCACATCATGGGAATAAATACTGCAAATGTGCTGCGATTTTCAGGTAAATGATAGTGCAATGTTTCTTCTTCTTTTGAATTTGTGGTTTGTTTGTTTTCAGCCCAATTCAGAAAGAAGACGCTGTACTTCGTTAATAGGCGTTACATGCAGACTCACTGGCAAATGTACATGCAGTTCATAAACAGGGATTAACTCTTTCAACACCAGTCAACCAGAGGCATTTACTGCCATGACACCGAGTTCCCAGAGACTCTGAGGTCATAGATGAAGCCTATGTTTGTGAAGGAAATTATAAGCTTGTAAAACGTTATTGCTACTACATCCCATACACCATTTAAAGATCT